CCCCCCCCCCCCCCCCCCTTCTTTTCAACTTCTTCTTCCCGTTGAAAGTTTTCCGGGGTATTCATGCTTTGTCAGAACGCATAGCTACACAACATGCGTCTGTGCATGGCACATAATTACGCGATGCGTAGTTATGCACATGGGGAGCTGAGTGACAAGACGTTTTTTGGGCAAGCTTCCGCTTCTTACTGTGTTCGAATGGACCCAGTGAGGCGAGGACCACATCGGCTTCGCCCTTTACCCACTAAAGCGAAGGCCTTAAAGGGCGAAGCTTATATGACATAGAACGTTGGTTACGTACTGTAACCCCAGATTCTATGAATATAAGCGTAGCCCTTTAAGCGTCGGGCCTCACTGGCTCCTAAATGGCTGAAGAAAAAAGCTATTTTGGGAGCCGATTTCCCGCTCTTAACGTAATTTATACGGACCGGGTAGGGCCCACACAGCAGGTGGGCGTGGACTAATTTTTTTCAGTGCTTATGCTCTGCATAACGGGATAAACCCACTAAAGCGAAGGCCTTAAAGGGCTACGCTTATATTCATAGAATCTGGGGTTACAGTACGTAACCAACGTTTTCTTAGCTGTCAAAGATGGATGACATCATTATACAGTAGGCTTTCACACAGCTGCATGCATTGATTTAAAGGCGATGTAAAAAACGCTTCTCATAAACAAGTCAAATAAAAAAAATGTTACCTCAAGAGTCATCTTTGTGTGAGCACCACGGAGCTGGGCTGAAGGGGTTGGTTCGGTGAAAAATAGAGCAGCTGTAGCTGCAGCACAGCTGACCCATGCAATAATTCAGAGGACTGGGGGGGGGGGGGGGGTAGAGAGCTGATTGGCTGCTGGACGCTGCGACGTCACGCACACGCAGTTATATTACACTGTCATTGAATATTAAACATTGTGAAATTTGATTCAGATTCATATATTTATACTGTTTATTTTGAAGAAAATCATTAATTTCATTCATTCTCAACCAGTCACAGAGGAATACTCTATTTTTTATGCATGGAGTATTTTAACCAATGTTGGTGAAATTTAGTTTATGTTTATTGTTGAAATGTCTTGTTTGCACCAGCCCATAAAAAAAGTAGCATTAGATTTACACCACATGACGGTTTGTACTTTCTCCTTTGACTCATTTATATTTAATGAAAAGATCCTGTTTTCAATTTAAATGTTGATATTCAGGTATATTAATTTATGTGTTATTGTCTGTATATTATATGCTATCTGTCTAAAACAGGTGTCGACTAACCTGTGTAAATAAAGGTTGAATGAATGAATGCATTAAATCTACTGTCTGTTTAAAATCAGGATTTTGCCTGAATCATTGGTCTGCACCATTTATGCGCCGGCGCACGTAGCGGCGCATCGAATAGACGGAGTTTGCACTCAAGCAAACGTTTCGAGCCTCGCACTGTATTTGCTTGACTGTTTCGGTGCCAGGATCAAAATTTTCGTAATGAATACAAATAGCGAAATTACGACGTTCTACATTTAACGGGTAAATAATTTAAAGCTGTTTTTGTTTCGTTTTTTATATCATTTATTCTATTTACTTTTCATTTTATGCTTTTTTATATGATTTTCTATGTTGTTTGTACCTCATCTGTTTTTTTTTAAACAGGTCTCTCTTGTAAATGAGTCCTCGAGACTCAAAGAGACTAACCTGTATAAATAAAGGTTGAATGAATAATAATTTTAAAAAAATCTCGACCGCCCGGCGGACGGTGTTGTACTAAAAGAAGCAACCTGTCTTAGCAAGGGCTTTTGAAGACAACGAGGATACTTTTTCCAACACAACACCCCGGGGAGCGGATATGACGCTAGGCCTTTAACGGTGGAGGCGCTGTTGTTGTAAGTTTTTGAATAAAGTTGTTACATTCAAAAAAATGGCGGCTGCCTGTGATTCCAGTGTTGTTTGATCGAAACCACTTTAAAACACATTTCCTACAGTACTCCAGCAGTTTTAAAAACCAGGTAAAACCAATTATTTGCTGTTTTGTTAGCACTAGCTAGGAAAACAAGCAGTGTGGAGTTTTCTTAACCAGCCTAATATGAATTTATATGTAAAGCACGTGCTGTTGATTTAAATCTGCTCTTTTTGCAAATTACCGGTTTGAATGTTTCTGGAATGACTTCTGTTGTGACTTGGCGTTATATAAATAAACTGAACTGAATTTTACAAAATGAAGTATAATCTAATTTTGCTTCCAGTAAAAGTGCAAAAACAACCTTCTGTTTGTTAAAGAAACTAGGAAATTATTTAAGTCAAGACCAAATTAGCAGCAGTGAGTTTATTCAAGACTGCTCCTCAGTCTCAAAAGATTAAATGTTTTATAGGGAGTGATTTATTTGAAAATTGCTGAAAGACTCCTAATTTTAACCAAAAAAAAAATAATCAAAACCTGTGTGATTCAGGCCCTCGTTCTACTAGACAATTACTCTAAAAATTAGAAATGTTTTAACCTTTATTGACTCGGTGTTTGTTTGTTTTCATTTTAGACGAGCCATGTCATCTACAAAGAATTCAGCTAAGAAAGAAGCCAAAAAGCATATTTCAGTCAAGACCTCCTTCACCTCTCCCTTCAGTTTAAATTGGAGCGCTCTTCCTCAGAGCGACATGACGTTCATCCTGAAAACCCTACAGGACAAACTGACCTCCACAGGCCTGCAGAAGAAAGAGGTGAAAGCATGTCCCCCGTGGAAGAGAAAGAAAAAGAAGAACCCCATCTCCACATCAGAACCTGTTCCCCAGGTGAGTCAGGGCCAACAGGTGTGTGATCCCATCAAGAACGGCTGGACAGATGTGGCAGCCAGACGGCAGCTGGCCATCGGCATCAATGAGGTCACCAAGGCGCTGGAGAGGAACGAGCTCCAGCTGCTGCTCGTCTGTAAGTCCGTCAGACCGCAAAACATGACCAATCACCTGATTGCTCTGAGCGCCACCAGGGGTGTGCCGGCCTGCCAGGTGCCCCGACTGAGCGAGAGCATGTCGGCGCCTCTGAAGCTGAAAAGCGTCCTCGCTCTGGGATTCCGGCAGTGTTCTGAAGACGGAGAGATGTTCACAGACGTCATCGATGCCATTAAACCAAGAGTGCCGCCGCTGGACGTTGCCTGGCTGCAAAGCGCGACACCTGAACACCCTGCTGTCATCAAAGAGGAGAGGGAGGGGGAAGCTGGTGAGACAAGAGGCCATAAACGGAAACTGGAGAGCGAATCTGAGAAGGTCACAGAGTCTCCCTCCTCCTCGTGTACTCTGCAGCCTCTCAAAGTAAAGAGAATTGTTGCGAATCCTGCAAAAAAACGAAAGACAAAGATTAAGAAACAGCCGGTCAAATAAAGGAACTCTGCTGAGATTTTTTTTTTTTTTTTTCATTTTTTAACCCAGTAAGGCCCAGTAAATTTAACCAAATTAACTTTGAATGTTTATTAAGACAGACTTTAACATTTAAACCTGTATACCTAAAATGAGAAACGAAAAGGCATTCTTTTATCCAACTAATCAAACCGTTTCTGCTTCATTTATTTAGTTTAATACGCTTTAGATCATCTTTCAAATACCTGGATGATGCAGAAAGTTTAATTTGAAGGCCAAACTCGTTGCTGTTTAACTTCGAGACAAAGATTAGTTTCAGTTTTGTGATGTTTTTGCACATTAACTGTGAAAGTAAATGTGTTTAAATTGTTGTTTCTCTACTAAATTGATCAGAACAGAATAAAACGGAACAGAAGTATTTAATTTTAGCTACTGTATCTTTTGAGAAGTTTTTGTTTTTATACTAAAAATAGAAAAGGAAACGTGTAGTTATTTTGCGCAGTAGGGAAAACTTGAACAAATTAAGCTGAGTTTATTTTATTTTGATATCGAGACATTTATCATTTTGTCAAAATTTCATGACTGCTGTGGTTTTGTTAGGCCACAGTGGTACCTTCTTCCTCACCAGTTTGTTTAATACAAATCAGAAAGAACTACTTTTCTAAAGACTTTCTACATTCTCACTGTCGGTACAACTAATACAACTTTATTTTTAATTTAAACCTTTACTTTAGCAGGAAAGAAATCCATTGAGATTGATTTCTTTTACAAGGACGTCCTAGGAAAAGTAGATGAAAATAGATGTGGGTAAATTTAACATAAGTGTATTTACAACACCTGGAGTTTGTTCTGGATTACACCCAATAAAATACTAGAAGTTGAGCAAATGTTTCAACTAGTTAAAACCCAAATATCCCACTCAACTTCTGTATGAAAGGCCTGGTGAAGATGATGAAATTAGCTCAGGCTTCTGGCATTGAGTTACTTGGAATTTAGCTTATTTTTTCCCCAATAAAGCCTCGTATGAGCCGCAACAGAAGAAATTACACCTCACTCATGTTTCTTTTTAAATGAAGTTTATTCAGTCAAATATCCATGCTGGTATAGCTGATGCGAGTCGAAACGGACTTATTTGCAGGGGGTTGTGTTTAAATGATGCTGGTAAAAAGTTCTTCAGCGTTTTCACAGTTGATGATTATTGAATAAAGTTATTGTTCTTCGTTCGAGCTGGATGTCATTTCACAAGTGCATTCGCCTCATCTGACATTAAAAAAAGTCTCAACTAAGGCAGGTATTTTTGGTTGAGTTCTCACTGAAGATTGTGGCTGCAGAACCGACGTACCGACATGCTCATGGTTCACTCAGGCTGCTGCAGGCAACACATCCACGAGAAGGGGGGGCACACTGTTGATTCATTTTCAGAAGTGAATTAATGCCACTTGTGTCTTTCTCCAAATTTAACCAATTCAACATCAGTGATTTTAAAAAATAAACTGACTTCTGAAACTTTTTAATTGACCACTGTTTGTCCCTTTCTGGCTGACCTATAAAGGAATACAAAACATGTAAAATGCACCAAAATAAAAGCCACCTTTAAATCCTAAGACAGTCACACAAGCGGAACATCAACAGCAAAGTTTGTTTCGAGTTATCTGGCAGCTCCACCTTACAAGTGGTCTTGCAACATTATTTAGCTCTTCATTATGCTCATTTGATCTCAAAAGCCAAATCCTCTTAAAAAGTCTGTAAAGTTTTCCCCCAAATCAAGTCATGTTTTCAGGGCAACGCAGAACTGAGACTTTTTTTTTTTTTAAATGTACATTTACAGACATCAACTTTTACACATTTAGCTGCACAAGACACAAATGAAATCTATGAAATGTTTTCTTTCCTGCCAAAAAAATACAAAAGTAAATCCAGAAAAGTGGAGGAAAAATCAACCTGGACCAGCTGAAATGTCAGCCCGGTTCTGTTAATTTAACTGGACACATTCAACATGCAGCCAGTCTTTACAGCAGCTCATCTGCTTTTTTAACAAAGCATTCAAATGATCCGAGTGTGAAACTCTTGAATTATTGGAAGGACTGTGGCTGTTTGATGTCTTTCAAAGTAAATAGCCCGATTCTCCAATATAAAAGTTTTTTTTTTTTTAAATAGAAAATCGCAACCATGTAACTTTTTTTTTCTTTTGCTTACGCCATTGTAATTATCGCCATTCACTTTATGCAATGGTTATGTCAACTTCATTAGGCTCCAATTTCTTTCTTAACCATTTACATAAATGAACCCAATTTTAAGAAACGGCGTCATAAAACAATTCCAATTGTTTTAAAAGAAGTTGTACAGTGTGTGTTTTGACAGCAGACCTTTTCTTGTTTGTAACACAGTAAATTGTGCTTCATCAGTGCATTCTTCATAAAAAACAAAACAGCAAGTTCCACAGAACCAATGAGAAATGCAGTGAACCAGTCCTGACAAACTCACTGCAGAAATAAATACCTTACTTTGAATGTAAACAACACATTTTCATCCAAAACATGAAGCAGGAGGCCGATGCCCTTCTTGTCCTTGTCTGTTATTAAATAGTGTTTGTGCAGTATGTAACTAGGTTTAATAGTTTTAAGTTATCTTTATCTGGTATGCATGAGTAGATGTGTTTCCTAAAACTAAACCTACACTGATGACGCCGATACAAAAAGGAAACAGCAGCACAGGAACGTTTTGGATGGGACAACCAAAAAAAGAAGGAAGGGAGTTACTATTTCTGGTTGTGTTTACTTGTTGATTATCATTTACATAGTTCCATGAAATTAAATACACCAGCCCCTTGTGATGATGTCTGCTGAGGATGAAGAGCTATAAACAAAATTCACAATGCCAAGGCATCCTGCTGAATGTCAAACTGTTTTGTTTTAGATGCGAGAGCATGTCAGGAGCGTTGTACTGGAAGAATATCTCAGGCATAGCATGACTTTCACATTCAGGATGATGATTTAAGGGTTTTCGCCTCCGGCCGAGCCGAGAATGTTCTTGATGAAACAAGTGAACCACCACTTGGTCACCAGGTTGGCTTTACGGTTGTAGTTCTCGTCGTCGAGGTTAGACGACCTGCAGGTCCAGGTAAATATCAGGAGGGCAACGACAACCTGGTGGGTTTGTGCAGCGGCTGCAAAGAGACCTGCTACTGGAGGACGAGACCAACCTGGAACAGGAAGATCGATGTGTTATTACTGGTAGTTGGGTTTTGGCATAGAAAATTGCTTACATTATAAAATGTAATTTATACTGTGAAGATGTACAGTAGCTCCACAGAATCTGATCTAACCAACACACCTGATATGTGCCAACTTAAAAAAAATAGCTTTAAACTGTAAAATAAATAAAAAATTTGATGTTGACAAATCCAACCCAAAATGTGATTAAAAACATTTGAGACAAGACAATTGAAAAAGTTTTCTTTGGATCCCCTACATATAGTCATTTTGCATTCATATCAGCCATTTGTATTAGGTGGTAGGAACCAGCTGTGGTCCTCAGGGGCTTCCACACTTCCTCTACTTCCTCAGGCGACTAAGGTGAGCTGGACCGGGAAGCTCAGTCCTCACCTCCTTCTACAGGTGTGCAGTGGAGAGCATCCTGTGCTCCAGCATCAACGTGTGGCATGGAGGCTGCACAGCTGCAGAAAGAAGAGCTTTGCAGAGAGTGGTGAAGGCTGCACAGAAGACTGTTGGAGTCAGCCACCCCACCATCACAAACATTTACACCTCTACATGCAGGAAGAGAAACACCTGCATCAAGAAGGACCCCACTCACCCAGTACACACTTTTTGCCCCTCTCCCCTCAGGCAGAAGGTTGAGGAGCATTAAGTGTAGAACCACTGGACTCAGGAAGCTGAAGCTGTTAGACTCATGAATATCTAATCAGGAAAATCACTGTAATGCCACTTAAATTTGTGATACGTGACTCATCTGTGCTGCTGATTATCCATGCTGCTGATCTCATGCTGCCGTATTCATTCATACCTATCTACTCACCACAGACTCATGTTCAGGCTGCTGTTGTTAAGCCATATTGTTTGAGGTTATTAATGTTTAGTATATCTTAGATCTTTTAGCGTACCGTTTGACATTTGTTTGTAGCATATATTAGTGTATATCTTAGATCTTTATACACTGTTTCTTTTTACACTTTATATTTTGCTATTTTTGGGTGTAACTGGAACTCTGAGTACATCATTTCGTTCCATCTCATGAGTATGCGATGCGAATGACAATAAACTTGACTTGAACTTCAACCTTGTTCTAATTGACAACTAATTAACATGCTTCAGCAGAATTTGATGATGAAGATGAAGTCATTCAACCTTTAGTCAGGTGTGTTAAAGCAGGGAAACATCTCACACTTGCAGGTCAATGGACTGGGGGACCAAAGTTGGGGACCTTAAACGTAAGGAGTGTAACCCAATTTAACTATAGCGTTTATCTGACATGTACTGTTGTTGTTGGTTTTTTTTTCCCCATCTAGCTTTTTACTATATATACAAAACAATATTTAACTCAACTTAAGCAAAGGTAGATAACTCTTTTTACAAGCTCTCATGAACTAAATGTTATAATACAAGATTAAATCAGAGCAATAAAACCAAACACAGATTTACGTAATTTTTATATTTACTGTCCTCTTTTGTTTGAGAGGAAAAAATGACCTGACTTTGTGTATATTTTTGAACCAGTCACATAATAAGGATGGGTGTAATATGCACTCTAGGCAGAGGCTACTGACCTTATCAGAGTCCATAGTGGGACACTTCCAGTTGTAGAGGTAATACTGCAGATTTCCATCTCCAATACCAAACTTAAGCTTCTCCAGAAATACTTTATTCTCCATCAGATCCAAGGCATTAAAAACATCAAAACCTTTCTGCAAAAAACAAAACAACAAAATAAAAATAAACAAAACACTAGGATACCTGTCCAGGTGTACTTTTTGGAAATATCTTTCTGGTAAAAAGTACCAGCTTGGCCAGGATCAGTGCATCATTCATTAGGTCCAGTAGTGGTGTGTGTGTATGAACATTGTAGAAAGAGTAAGCTGCCTTCAGGCTCCGATGGAGAGGGTGATGCATCACAGTCGAGGGCAAAGTGTAGAAACTAGTAAAATCTGTCAGAACACCACCTGCACCCTGAAAAACAGACCCCCACAAACAGTCTGTTAGAGCAGTAAAGGAGTTACCGTTAGTTTGTGGATTGGCAATAACAGCTCATACTTCTACAACAAATGTGTCGATTATGTTCTCCTGGGGTAGAAGCCAGTGAGCCACGTCCTCTTCTCCCACTGATGGTGCAAGATGGAAACGTCTCAAGTATTTCTGCAGCAGCTCGGTGACCCGGTGGATGTCACGCCTCTCCATTGGCCGCAGACCTGGAGTCTTGGTGCTCTGTTTGTGACGGAGAGCACAAGTTTAATTTCCTTCCATGAAAAGGAAGAGCAAAAGGAGAATATGCACTGACAAGTGAGCGCGCTTACATCTGATAATCTGTACAGCTTCATGGTTCTTTGCAGGGTCATGTTTCTGCTCAGATGGGAGAATTTTACTTCCACAAGTTTTCTGGGGTTTAAAGAACGATGCCAGTACCTGGAGAAGGACAAACGGAAACGAAGAGTTCAGGAGGTGTGTTTTGACACCATACCCTGTGCATTGTGATTAAATGTTTCATGATCATACCTGCATGTAGACACTGGTTTAGGCAGCACGACTCCAGCTGTGTAAACTGCCTGAAATATTCCCTCTAGGTTCACTCTCCGTGTTATCTCTCTGATTAGCACAGGAGCAACACGCTTTGAACGCAGTTTCTTATGAACACACAGGAAGTTGATTTCTACCATCTTCTTTATCCTGCAACAACATGAACAAAGAAGACGGACTGTGCGTTACAGTAAAAGGGTTTCCATTGCTTCATACCACTCTCTCACCCCCTCCATATATGCTCAGTTTAAGGTTCTCACGTGTCATAGATGCGTATGTCTGCAGGGATGGCACTGATGAAGCCAACAAGCTTCTTGTTTGAGGACACTCGGACTCCACAGTGCCACTGCGGTAACCAGCCAGGTGGACGCAGAGCCCTAAGAGAGGTCAACAAAAGACATTGAGCAGAATAAGCAAATATAACATGATAAAAATAAAAAAAAATGTCCGAACCACTTACCATTTCAGAAAACTTGGAGAATAATCAAATCGGAACATGTTATCGTCGTCCTCTACATAATTTTCATTTAACAATGTATACAGCTCCTTCAGCTGGGAAAAAAAAACACACACATATTGTAAATTAATAATTTACTGTCTAAATTTGAGTGCAAAAGACAAGCAGTCCACTTACTACATCTGCATTACTGAGGTCCAACGTGTCCCACATAAAGCCTTGAGGTAAAGAGTATGGCTCCTGTCTGATGTTTTCTTTGTCGGCTTCAATCGGCCCGTGACTCGTCACAACTTCATCTGTAAAGATAGCAGCAAGGATTACCACAAGAGAAATAACTACTGCCTTTAAGTGACATGGTAAAGGTCTTCACCTTTAAATTTAAGCAACACAGAGTGTTCTTTTTTGTTCCATTTACATCAAACCAGACAACTGCTGACAGCATCAATCATGCCCTATAAAAATCAGCTTCAGTTGGCCCTGTGTTGACCAGGCCAGCCGGTGACATGACTCTATGGGCCATGGTTGCCATGGAAACAGCTCAATCTAACGCTGCTGAGCACACCCAGCTGAAAAGCTCTGAGCCTCGCTGTATATCACAGCTGACATGCTGTTGGGACACTGGGTTTGGGCAACTCTAAAAGTGATGAAATAAAACTTATTATGGCACTAATCTACTGATAGCAAACACAACACTGTTTAAATTACTCAATTAACCCTTATTTTAAATAAAAGCTTTTCTTGACCATAACACTGTTAACTGACAAACATTAAGTTGACATTGCTGTTTTTCGTTCCTCCACTTTATTTAGTTTTAGTTGACACTCACTTAACTTTGGGACAGGCTGGGTGTCCCAGAATTGGTACTTGTGCTTCGCTGCGTCATCAATACTTTTTGCTGGACCCTGGCAGGACAGCAGCTCCATGGCTCGTTGGATATCCTGCAGCTTTTGAATGGGCAAGCCAGGGTTCTGAGTTAAAAAAAGAGAAGATTTGTAAAAAAAAAAAAGTTTCAAAAACAGAGATGAGGACAGCACAGATGTCATTTTAAATTATATAGCATTGTTTTCAAGGGTCTACTGCACGACTCTACCGCAGTAATTTAGATTATTTTAGTACAAATTTTAAATTTAAATAAACAAAAGCTTAAATTACCAATACAGTTATTTATTTATGATTAAAACAATTAGTCATTTGTATTTTGGAGCTTATTTACATCATAAAAATTGTTATATTTCATGAGCCTATATAATTTCCGAACACATTTCAACTGAGAGTGTCTGCTGTGTTTTCCCCCAATAATTACGAATTAATTTTTGCATCTAAAGTAAAACAGAACTTCATAGTCATTATAACCCCCAATACCTCAAAACTGTGAACAGAAGGAAAACAGTAAAACTGGATCCGTTTTACTGTGAAGGACAGACTATAAATGATGTATCGTAGTATCACCTCCTTCTTTGTTACGTTAATGGTAATTGTCAGATTTGGCACATAGAGTCTGATGTTCTTCACTGTCAAAGGTCTAATCGACAAAATGTTTGCTTCAGAACACTGTTTGCGACGCCTGACAACAAAAGTTGGCGTTTCAAGCCTTACTAACACCTATAATGAATGTAATTTATTGTTATCTGTGGCAGATATGATAAAAGAAGAACATACTGGAAAGTTTTAGTTTACTGGAGAAAATGTGTGTATTGTGTGGACCTACTTTCACATCCTGGTGAAATAAACCACCATTTGTTGCTGTATAAGCATACTCTGATTTCAGACAGCATTAAAGCATTGCTTATTCAGCCTTTACTACCCAAATAAGTGACTCCATTAATTATGAGTTAGTAGCTTCTGCTTTGAAAGGGAGTGTGCACACTTTTCATGACGATTATCCTCATCCCACCTTGATCTCTTGGGAGTCAGACGCAGAGTCAGATTTGGCTCCCCCCGAGCTGGGCTTCTCTTTTTTCCGCTTCTGTTTCTTCTTCTTCCTCTTGGCACCCAGATCTCCCCCTGGACTGCTGTAAACACGAGGACAAACGCACAGGAACATTAGAGACGGAGGGCTGACTTAGCTGGACTCAACACACACGCGCAGCTAACCTTAGCTGCCATAGCAACGACTCGACTGACAGCTGAGCTACTCGCTGTTAGCCGACTAATGGTTTGTCCTAACAACAGTCGTGACATTCAGTCTGAAAGAGTACAAATGTGTACGAGCAGTCGTTTTACTTCTTTGAAGCGACACATGCTTCAAACAGAGCCGTTCTTGCTTTACCAACGGCCCGTTAACAGCTTGTGCTGTGTGTGCTAACATTAGCTAATTGCGCTAGCCGCCGCTCATAAATAGTAGCGGCTAAAATATCGTTTGTCGGACCCCCGGTTAAGGCCATCCTCTCACCCCTGCATGTGCTCGTTCTCCTCCTCGTTGTCTCCATCTATCCCGCAGGTGTCCTGGTCGTCCAGCTCCAGGCTCTGCTGACTGGCCGCAGATTCACTGTCCTCCGCCATCATAAAAAAAAAACCGTTTTAAAAACAGCCCAGCCGCCGCTTTAGGAGAGCTCGCGAACACCCGGCGAGAGACAGACGAAAAAAAAAACAAAGAAATTGTGTTGGAAACGGCGCCCCCTGCAGGTCAAGTGTGAAAAAAACTTACGCCGGCGTTGCCAGATTTACAGCAATTATGGTATTTACACGATGGTTTTAGGGTATTTCGACATAGTATTTAAAAAAGCCGATGCATACATAATTTTAGCAATTACGTTTACACCCCCACCTGCGTTGGCTAGGAAAAATGGACCCTCGCTTACTACATACGATATAGTCTGGCTCAAAATATGATTTTTAGGCGGAACAGTTTTTCGTTATTTCTTATCTGGCAACTGACTACTGCCTTTAAGTTTATCATCAGTTTCCATGTTTTAAGCCGAATTCACAACTTTAACAATAAATTATGACTTTAAATATCTTGTTATACGCATATTTAAAACACGTAACCCTTGTTTTCATCCAGTCTTATTAACTTTACTTTTTTGTTGCACAAAAATGGTCTAACTTCTTTTGGCTTTTCGCTCTTCATGGGTTGCCACAGCGGGTCATCCTCCGCCATCTCACTCTGTCCTCTGCATTCTTTGGCCTCACACCATCTACCTCCATGTCCTCTCTAACATCATCCACATATCTTCTCTTTGGCCTTCCGTTTGTCTTTTTCCTGCCAGCTGCATTTCTAACATCCATCCATTATCTTTACTCGCTTCTTCCTTCAAGGGGTCGCGGGGGTCACTGGTGCCCATGTCATATCACATATCACTGTGCGAAAGGTGGGGAACACCTTGGACAGGTTGCAAGTCCATCACAGGGCCACATAGAGACAAACGAGACAAACAACCTCACTCACTCACATCTAGGAACAATTTAGAATTACCAATTAGCCTAACATAAATGTTTTTGGTCTATGGAAGGAAACCAGAATACCTGGGGAAAACGCATGCATACACAAGGAGAGCATGCAGGCTCCACCCAGGGAGGCCCCCAGCCGGGATTTGAACCAGGGCGATCTACTCGCTGAGAGGCAGTGGCTCTACCAACTGCGCCACGGTGCTGCCCGCTTTTCTAACATCCTTCTACTAATATACCCACTGTCCCTCCTCTAGACATGCCCAAAGCATCTCAGTCTGGCCTCTCTAACTTTATCTCCCAGTTGTTCGACCTGTGCTGTACCTCTGATGATAAATCGTATTCATCCTTGTCACTCCTAAGGAGTCTCCAGAACATACAACATATTCTCACCACTGTCTTGTAAACTTTTCCTTTGACCTTTGTTGACACCTTTTTGTCACAAATTACTCCTGAAACTTTTCTCCACTCCATCTTGCCTGGACTCTCTTCTTCACCTCTTTACCACACTCCCCATTTTCCTGGACAGTGGACCCCAAGTACTTGAAGTCCTGCACCTTTGTGACCTCTGCTCCTTGTAGCTTCACTGTTCCACCGGCCTTCCTCTCATTCACACACATTTACTCTGTCTTACTACGGCTGACTTTCATTCCTCTTCTTTCAAGTGCACACCTCCACCTCTCCAAGTTCTCTTCCACCTGTTCCCTGTTCACACCACATATCACAATGTCATCTGCTAACATCATAATCCACGGGGATTCCTACCTGACTTCATTTGCTGGTTTTCTTCTCCTTTTCTCTTCTTCAAAACAACAGTCATTCTACACACAACAATCTAATGCTGTCAGGCCATGCTCTCCCGTCACAACCTTACAGTCCCCAATCTCCCTCAGGTTTTCGCTTCTAAACAGAATAGACGGTAGTCTACCTGCATACTCAATTCAATTCAAAAATACTTTATTAATCCCAAAGGGAAATTATTTGTTGTTGTAAATCGTTATGCTCGTTTCATTAAGAGATGTTATAGATACTGATGGCTGTAGGCAGGAAGAATCTCTTGTAAAGGTCCATCCAACAGTGGATCTTAAGACACTGGCTGCAGATGCTGTCCGATCCATCCACCCAGACTCGGCTGGCCTCTCCGTTCCCCCGGGCTGTAGGACCGCCCGAATGCTGGGCAGAACTCCTCCCAGAGCGATGGCCACTCCTCCCAGCAGTCTGCCGAGCTCCTCGTCGCTGCGGACAGCCAACTGTACGTGCCGAGGGACGATCCTATCCTTCCGCTGTCCTGAGCCGTGTTTCCTGCTAGTTCCAGGATCTCAGTGGTCAGGCACTCGAGCACAGCTGGCAGGTAGATGAGAATCTACTACTCCTAATCTACTCCTTCCTCCAATCTTATAGGGATATAGCTATGTTCTGCCCTTTATTGGAAATAAGTGTTGTCTACAGCCATTTACATTCTCTTGGCAAAATCCACCCCCATCTGTCCTTTCTGGTTTCTTTCCTTGACACCAAACCTATCCATCACTTCCTCATCCCCTCTGTTTCCTTCACCAACATGTCCATTCAGGTCTGCTACAATCACACTCTCTCCTCCCCAATTTATTTTATTTATCCTCTGTCACATCCAACCTGTGGAGCACAATCACTGACAACATTTAGCATCAGACCATCTACTTCTACCTTCAGACACACCACCCTATCTGACACTGTTTTCACCTCTACTACATTATTTGCCAACTCCTTCTTCAGGATCACCCCTACTCCACCTCTCTTTCTATCTACACCATAGCAAAACAGTTTAAACCCTGCTCCAATGCTACGAGCCTTGCTGCTCTTCCATTTGGTTTCTTGGACGCACAAAACATCTACCTTCCTTCTCTGCATCATGTCAGCCAGCTCTCTGCCTTTGCCTGTCATTGTCCCCACATTTAGAGTTGCAACTCTCAGTCCTACATTTTTGACTTTCCTCTTCTCCCTCCGTCTCCTGACACATTTCCATCCTCGTGGTCTTTGACTAACGATAGCACAATTTCCACCAGCACCCTGATTCTCAACAGCACTGGTGGTGGTTGTTAACACAGGCCTCGACTGATACAGTATGGTGTCACTTAGATTAACTCGTATGTTAGTTTTGGCAAAAGTGAATTATGTCAAATTCTTGACACAACTCTCACCATTTACCCGGGCTTGGGACCGGTAGAAGAAACCAGCCCTAGTGGCTGGTTTCAAAAATGTTCTAACTAGACCCACAACATGAAAATTAACTGTACAGTAATACAGTAGTCCCTCGCTACTTAGCGGTTCATTTTTCGCAGATTCGCTATATCATAGTTTTTCAAAGTAAGACTGGACATGACACTGATTGATGGATGAGCCATGGATTGTTTATTTTAAATAAATTATTTTAAATGACTTTGCACCATGTGTGCAGCCCACAAGTGCTGGGGAAATCTCCCTCCTGCAGCTGATCTCCTTCTCTGCCACTCACATTTCTCCTGCTGCATCAGCGTTGTTATCCAGATGCACCGATCAACTTTTGTCTTCCAACTTAAAATTCAAAGTATGCTGCATCAGAAAATCCTCATAATCACAAAATATAAGTGTTGTTATTTTTAATTATTTTAGAACTTCTATGTTCAGTTGTTTCAGTGTAATTGATCAAGTACATTTCTGCTCTGTGCTGCTGAACTGTGTGAAGGGTTAACCCTTTGATGTCCTGCTGCGCTTCTCTTCTCTAAATACTGTAACAATTTAAATAAACAATCCATGATGCATGGATTGTTTATTTAAAATGTTACAGTATTTAAATTTCAATTGTTCATTTATGGAGGGAAATTAGGAGCAACAGGTGATGAGTGCAATTGCAGCCTGGCACATGTCATGACAAAAATGACTGAACTTGAACTGAACTTGGACTACTGTATTCTACTTCGTTGTTTTTCATTTATCGCGGGTGGGCGTGGTCCCCCATCACCCGCGACAAACGAGGGACCACTGTAACTTATATTAGGATGGGATACAAAGAATGATAGAATGCTTTGATGTACTAATTAGGATACAAACTCAAAATTAAAACTTAACATGTAATAAATATGATAGTAACTTATTCATGATGACCTTGCATCGCATTATGACTTAGCAACTCATTATGACCAAGCAACCCATAATGAGATATCTCAAAATAATTTCACATTTCACAATTATTACTAAGTATCTCATTATTATGAGATGCCATCTTAAAACATGACAGTGCATCTTTTTCTTCAGAATGGTGAAAATAGGCTTACAAATCTGCTTGGTAAGAAAACTACCAGTAAGTTCAATAACGCCAACAGTGATTAGCTTATAAAACAATAGAGTTTGTGTTTAAATGTGCACTTACAGTAAAGATTGGGGTTGCAAATGACATTTACATTTACTCAAGTCATTGACAAGGACACTCAAAATATAAATTTATTTTGTTTATTCAGAATAATAGGCTTAAAATATAATGCAAGCAATCAGTTTACACACTCAGGATCTTGTATTGCTACAGCTTTCAATAAACTGGAGGGTGTTGCAGAACACAAGAGAAAAAAAATCCCACTTACATCAATTTGTACGTTATTTGAAACTGGCATAAGTGAGGAAATAATTAAAACACATTCTGAAATATGATTGGTATAGCTACATAAACCTTGATTTGATGTATGTTGTATGCAGTATCTGAGACAGACACTTAAGCACATTCAAGACATTCATTCTCCAAAAACACAAAATTAAAGAAAAGCACTGATATAACCTGCAGCGTAGCTTCACATACAATCGCAATCAGCTTCATCTTTCCTGAAAACTTCTACAAACACTGACCTGCTTACTACAAAAGGAAGTGGTGCCTTGCCATTTTGTGTAAAAGATGATTGCAGCAGCTTGTAGACATTTTGTGAGATGTCTGCAGAGCAGCTTTTGTAGTGCTGAGGAAAGTTTACTGCATGCTGTTTCTTCACAAGCAAGAACAAAAGGAGAGGACTGAGGTAGGAGAGGAGAGCTGAAGGCAAAAGAAGGTGAGAAATAAATACGGTGTTCTACAATTTACTTGTAGAATCAAAATGTTCAAAGGCACTTTGCTTGTGTGTGTGAGGGGGAGAATGGAGTAAAAAATAATCTGATAAACAGTTTACAGCTTGGTCTCAGCTAAATTATACAAATTAAGTAGCTTTAACAAACTGGTTAGAAAGAAAATCCCTTTACATATTAAAAGAAATAAAAGTAGACTATTTTCAGGTAAAATACTTCATGTTTGGCAATTAAACGTATAGCAATTAAAATTAGCAACAAAAAAGGGCATTTTAAGCTGTAGTATAAAAACAATGCATAGCCTTAAAAGCAAAAATATTCATGTCAGTGATTGAGCAACGACAAAACCCTTCATCATTTCAAACTCCACAATTATTTTTACAGCTTCGTAGTGGTGATTCATCCTCGCTCACCAGAAAAGTGGTGCGTCACATTATCTGATTACGCTAAAGAGCTGATAGTGGTTTAATTTTAAATTCTCATCTCCTGCGGAGCTCTTTTAGCTCCCACTGAATCACTCGACAGGCTAGATTAAACTCTAGCAACTTACTGGAAACCTTCGAAAAGCAGAGGATTTATGTCAAGGCTTATACTTTTGTAGAGCTCAGATAAACTCCTGGAACACACAACAAGATTCCTATCAGAGTGTAAAAATAAAAAAAGGGAAAAATGACCTGTTGCTGTGCTTCACAACAATTAAAATAAACAGTGATTATGGCTGAATTGAATATTACGCTCGTGTCAAATGACAATTGCAAGTTTCAACATTTTGCCTGTGGTCTCATACCAGTATGGCTCAAGAAAAAGGCTGCCATCTCCAGGATTTTTGAAAGTCACCCATAAGTCATTTCAACCACAGTCCAGTTATATTACCAAGGCTGTCCATTAAAAAAAAGGCATACATTTGTTGTGCATAAAGTATCCTTACATCTCGCCTCCAGTCTGGTTTTCCTCTCAGGCTAGCCCAAGCTTGTTGCGTCAGGATGACAAATGGTGGTCACTTCTTAAAAGTTCCAAGTGTTTACGAGAGATCCGAATAGTTCAGTTCTGGACTGGAGCAGATCCCAGAGGTGAGCTCAGTGCTATATTTAGAGCGAGGGGCTTCAGTTTAAACAGAGTAATCCTTCATGTTATTGTCTGAGCAGTGGTTGGTAATGGAAAGGTTTACATTTTTGTCTGCAAAAGAAAACTGAAATGTCCGTGTCTGCAAATAGATCATAAGTGATCTTAGTCAAGAGATAGAGATAAAATACTTATTCAATGTAAAATTTGTTTTCATTTTAGCTGAATTACAACAATATTTTCTAATATTATTTAAATCCACGAGGGGGGGATTATAATCTTTTTTCCAATGCATCGCGATGTGGAAGGAAAAAGAAGTCTGACTGAGACACAAAACAGCACTTTTGTATTGACAGCCACTGTTTTCATTGTTTTTTTTATTATTATATCATATATTTTATCATATTTTATTGTATTTCTGCTTCTGTGAAGTTAAAGGGGAAAATGATGTTGACAAAAGTCTCGACGTGTTTTCCCTCGGAGGCGGAAGAAGAAATAAAAATATATTTTTTAAACTGGTGATAGCTACTAGCTGCTGCTGCTAACAGAGGGGAATTGAACAAGCAACGTCAAAGTTTCCACCTAACCCAGAAAAGGCGAAGTGAAATACAAAGTCCGTTGCAACGATTATCGCAGAGGATTCATGTCTGCATCTAGTGGTTAAAAACCAGGGCTTGTTGTGCATTGCTTCATAGCATGGAGCCACAATACAACATGTTCATCTTACAGAATGTATGAAGTTAAACAAGCACTCCCATGTTTTACAACAGGACCAAGAAGCGGTGGAAATACTGTAAAAAGCATTTAAGATAGCTCTAACATGTGATGCATGATGGACATCCATTGCCACAGGATCTTTTGCCACTGGACTCAGTATTTTGACTCATTTTGTTCAAATTCTTATTTGTTTGAAAACTGTTTTATCTGTAGTGTAAAGTAACATTTGTTTTAGGTCTGAGAGTCTATGGTCAGGATTTTGTTAAAAGTGTGATAATGGATACATCCAGATGCACTGATAATATTTGTATAATCACTTTGCAACCCTGTGAATTGTATTCCAACTGAATCTTGAGGTGCCTACATTTTTGCACTCTTAATCCTAAATTTAATCGCTCGTTTTAAGATAATTTATCTGTTTTAAGTTGCCAGTAATTACACAACGAATGCAAGAAAGTTTAGTTAAGTCTCTTTACACAGGAAATAAACTGGGCTTTTACGCTTGAGTTACTTTTTTAAAAGAATCAGTGTGAACATGAAAAAACTGTCTCCAAAAGTACTTTGGGTAAATTCAGGCTGTGGAGAAAAATGTAAACCTTTCCTTAGATGGGCCTCTGTGACTTATTTGAGGTTGAAGGCCAGCAGGGGTCGCTCCTCTCTTCTCTGCCAGGGGCTTTTCTTCTCCTCTCCCTCATCATGTGCTGCTTCATCTTCTGGGGAGACCGACAGCAGCGTATGATCAGTCCTGAAAGTCACTCCCTCTGGTGTGGGGAGGGGAGGAGGAGAAGCAGGGGATGCTGGGGAAAGTGAAGGAGGTTCCTCTTGTATTTGTACTTCCTCAGCTGTTTTCCCCTCAGCACCCTCCTGTCTCTGATCCTGTCTGTTACCCTCTGATGTGTTTGGTAAGGCGGGTTTTGTCTTATCCTGGGGGCTACACTTCTCCTCCATATTGCTTTCCTCATCTAGGTTATCCACATAAACTAGCTGAGTGTAGGCCATGGCTAGTGTAGCAGGCTTTGTTCTGTCTTTCTCAGCCTCTCTTTCCTCTTGTTCTACGTCTTTCCCCCTGCGTCCCATTCTTGGCTCATTCAGGTCCACACCAGAGTCCAGACTGGCATCGTTGCTGTTGCCGTGTCTCCCGCTGCCACCATCATCTTGACCTCCTGAACTCTGAGAACCGCTGTGACACCCTGCCCGCTGGAGGTCGATGTACGAGTGGCGGATGTGAGCGTTGGAGCGGCCATCCAGTGAGACAAACCAAGCTCGTGGGTGAGGCAGAGGTTTCCCTCCTCTCAGCTCCATTAAAGTCTTTTCAGCCAGCAAGGTGTCCTCTTTGTTAATTTCAACCAGCGCTGTCTCCCCTAGAGCGGCAGGAATAGACAGAGACTCTGAAAGTTTGAGACCCTCCCTGTCACCCTGCTTGTTGGAACTCGGGGTGCAGTCGGGGGGAGGTTGTCCCAGCGGCTGTTGAGAATGTGAGGCATTGAGCTCGGCCTGGATGGTCTCTAAGTCGCTCTGCTGGTCGGTTTGCAGTAGCAGGGCCTGACCGGACAGCGGGTGCTCGCCAGGGAGGCGCATGTAATGTGCAGGGATCACCAGTGTGGGGCGCACTCTTGAGTAGCCTTCTCCTCCACTCAGCAGATCTACAGAACCGCAGCAGAGCAGCTGACCTGGGCGGGAGAGCGACTGGAGGTTGGGACGCTCCAAGTGATCTACAGAGCGGGACAGAAGGTGGTCCGGTGCTCTGCACTCCCCTACCTCCCCTCTGCTGGGGGAGTGAGGAGGAGAGGATGGAGAGATGCAATCAATAACGCCAACACTGCTCAGCAGTGTAGCCGACACCTGACCGTGATTGGATGAGGACAGTGCTTCTGACATGTGGTTGCTGGATGAACAGACGGAGGTGTATGATTGGCGGTAGCCCCTTTCTGTCCCAGACGACAAGGCAGCCTTCAGCTGGAAAGTCTCTGTAGACTGCCGGTAGTCTCTGCTGCGAGGCGTCAGATTACCAAGGGACGAGCCGTGCTGGCTGTGGTTGCAGAGAGAAGAACGGCTCTGTTTGGTGTGATGGATGAGACTCTGACGCTGATTGTCTTGGGGCTCATATGAAAAAGGCTTCAACATTGGAGTCGTCATGTCAGGCTCAGTCGCTGTGGAAACAAATTCTAGCTGCACCTGAAGACAAAAACAAAACGAGACTCAGGAAACTCTAAACTTTGCCACATGAAGTAAAATGTTACAGAAACAGATGAAACAAAACATTGTATTTCAATACAGACATGTTTAACGCAGTTGTTAGGAAAATTATTAGTGAATTTCTTAGGCACCGCTTGGTTTGTGTGTTAGCCAAAATGCAGCTGAAACACCAAAAGTTCACTCAGGAGATCTTTTTACACAAATTCTGCACATTAATGTTGCAAAACAAATGCCCTCATTTTGCCACTTTTGTTCATTCAGCCTCATTGAGGCGACATGATACTGTCAAAGTATGTACAGTTAAATCTCATGAAAGCATTATGAGTCTGACACACTGAGGAGGATGTCACAATGGTTCATTTGAATATGTGACCTCCTCCACCGTTGACTCAGAGGCCCAGAAACCACAACCAGGCAGCGTAAAATGTGTTAAAGGTTCAGTTGAATTACGCTAGCATTAACATAACATCCAAAAAACAGATAAATCTATTTTGTATTTTATAATTTATTAACTGAGCTGTTGTCTGAAAGTGAGACAGACCTCATTGCTGATGAGGTTCACATTGGACATGGAGGTGGCTTGATCCTTCGTACTGCCGTCCAGACCAGACGACAGCGTAAACTTACGATGAGTCCCTCGAGGTTTCAAACAACGACGTCTGCTTGATGCAAAGACACAGCAAAGAACATCAATTAATAAAGTTAACTTCACAGTTTCTGCTTAAATATAATTACATAATAAATATAATGTTAAAAAAAATCCAAAGTTTTTGTTGGAATTACATTTGTTGTATCGATCAACAGAGTCTTAACACATTTCTCGTGTTGTATCCTAGTTTGATTTAGTTATGCAATTATGGTCAGTTTTTAGGTAAATGGGAAATTGATTTACTGACTTTATTTACTTTAAGGTGCCTGTGACATTGAATTTTTGTAATAAATATGAATGCATTTTTTGGAAAGATAACAATAGCAATGTACTGCAAAAAATAAAAATTAAATAAAATCATGCCGCTGAGATGAACAGTTGTTGATATTTGCATGCACAGTAACAGGCAGTAATGACAAAGCCTGTGAACAGAGCATTGCTATGATGGCTAACATCACAGACAGTAACTAAAGAGGTTAAATCGTGTCATCTGGACACAGACAGTAGAAGAATCTGATGTTTCTTTAAATTATCAGAGTCATTATCAGAGAGAGATGAAGAAGAGTCAGAGTTCAAATAATGTTTTTTCCATAAATAAAGAACAGGGAGTTCCCCTTTTTTAAAGAGTACCCATTTGATGTCACTTCTTGTTTCACTTTGGCTGCTCTGAGTTCAAAAGAAAATATGCCAGTTATGTAACAAACGGGGTAAAATCATGTGTGTTGTGCCAAATTTCTTAATTATTAGGATATATTCTTTTTTTTTAAATTTGTAGGATATGCATGTCACAGGCACTTTCAAAGATGCAGAACAGAAAATGTTTGTTTCAAAACACATAATTCAATCGAACGCCTCACACCAACATTGACATGCTTGCTGTAGAGCAGTCATGACAACAGTAAATAAACTGCACAAAAATTAGGAGCAAACATAAATAGATTCAAATAGCTAATTCATATTTTCCACATAAAAGACTAAAGCTGAGGACACACTACATAATTGTTTTGCCAGTTTTACCCAGGGTTCCCTGCTGGGCAAAGCCTGCACCGATCCGCTTTAGTTGGAAGTCGGCATGGCTAGCTGGAACAAAAATATTTTCATGTGTGACGGGTAAAGATTCAAAAACTGCAAGTGATTGGAACATGTTAATCTGGGGTTAAATCTGGGCGCAGTTTGTTAATGTGAACAGATCACCGACCAAAATGTAAACATGTTGTCAACAGCCATTGAAAAAGAGAGGGCACAAGAAGTAACGTAAGGCCGTTTATGCGTTGTAAAGCCTGGACTGGACTGTCCACAGTCGGCTAAGCCCCGGTCTTCCTCTGGTTTTGTTTGCTTTCAGCAGAGTATCTCCTCGATGTGGGCAGGATCGTCTTAGCAAGACCACACAAATCTCAGCCCAGCAACCTTGTTGTTTTTCCAGGGCACTGGTGCTATCTATTACATTGCCATTTTTTCTACAGAAAAATATGAGATGTGTCCCCGTCACACAACCAGCCAGAAGCAAGTAGCTGAAGGAAATGGTGGTAATGAGTAGTCGCTGGAAGTATGACTCATCTGTGATGTGACCCCCACGAGCCGGCGAACCAATCAATGGCTGGCAGTCTGCTGACATCAAATCTGCAGCACCAGCCCGGCCTGAGTGGAACCCCAGGTCTCTAGGTTCCAAAAGTCGAGCTGGAAATGGGCCAGACTGTCCAATGCCAACATTCAAAACCTGGGGCAGAACCCAGGTCAAGCCAGTCACGGTCAGGGCAAGCCTTTCAATGCATAAGGTTCAAGGTTCTTTATTGTCATTCGCATCACATGTGGTAGGTGGAACTAAACTGTGTAGTCAAAAGGACCATAAGAAGAGCAGATTAAATATGTGGACAACAGCAGCGGTGAGCAGATTGTCATCCCCGTTTGTTTTCCTTTCAAAAGTTTGTGCAAGAGTTTAATGTGTTCGGCTGGATTTAGTTTTTTGACAAATTTTTAGTCTGTGATTCTTTCTCAGGTACAGTTATATAGTGTGTGATCCCCAGTCTTTCATTCATCATGCAAAAATTTACAAGAGTCTGTTAAGTGTTCACTAAGACTTTGAAAGTTGTGTAGTGTGTCCAACTTAATAGAACTGTGTGGCACCATTATTGTCAAGACATTTGCCTTTTACTGCTCATTTGAGAGCTTAAATGGGAAACTTCTTGTGGGACATATTACTGCAGAAAAGCAGAGTTTCACAAACCGGCAGTAGTACAACAGAAGGCACAGCAGGCAGAGTAGAATGAGAGCCATCCCTCCGAGTATGGCCAACAGAAACACAGTGTGGTATGTGCTGATGTCCCTCGCAACCAATGGGCCTGCAGGAAGGACCAACAATTTAAAGGGGGGGAAATTAAAACAGTTAAGTGTTGTCAATAACTAGCAGAATTTATGATTTATTGTTAGGATTATTATTCTTTTTATATACCACAGCGTTCTTCATTCTAGTTTAGTTTCCCACCTGAGTGCAGAGGGGACATGGCGGCCACCCAGTACCCCAACTGGGGTGCAATGTATGTCAGAACGAGTTGGTCTCCCTCCTTCTGGACGTGACCCCAACTGCTCTTTATCCAGGAACCTGCACAAAACACACAGACACGTTTTTAAACTAAATTATCCAACAACGACAGTACTGTGACAAAAATAACTTCAGTGAATCAGTGACAAAGTGAAAACAGCATGACCTGCAGCAGCTCCCACCTGACTCTCCCTACGTAGGAATGGAGACATTTCATGCACTTTCACAAAAATGACAAAAACAAACAGGAAAAGGACGTGTAGAGACTCCAGAGTTGTTACGGTTTACAACGCTAAATGAAAACTTTAGTAAACTTTTATATTTAAAACGGTCTTGATCAACAGTTCTTCAGATCTTCTGAAGGCATTTTTTTAACTTTTTTTTTTTTTTTTACTAAAGTTGCGACATTCTATAAGCTGCATTTTGAGCTGTGTGCTAAAACAAGAACAAGAAAGGACAGAAGTGATACTGTCAAGTCTAAAAACACTCAAGTATTTATAGTAGATGAAAAGAACTGTTTATTTTTTTAAGGTCAGATGTTTTTCAGGCTTAAATGGTTGCAAGTCATAGTTAAATTGCTTAACAACAAAAACACATCCTCCTCTGATAATGGTTGGGTGCTGAACTAAAATAGTGCTAAAAAAAAACAAAAGTCCAAAGAAAAACTATGAAAACCCACCAGAAAGTATTGATGGTATTGAAGTATTGAATGGTATTGAAGTATTGATCAAGATAACTTAAAAAAAAAAAAAAAAACAAGAATACAGTATCTGACCACTTCAAAACAATTATTTTCTTAAATAAAAGGAACATTGCCTTCCATAGAATATTTTTAATGAACCTTAAAGATAATTAAAAGTTTTGGTCATCTGATGACAAATACTGGGACTAAATAAAATGTTTCCTGTGTTTTGGCGATACTTAAATCAGCCACAGGGAGGCAGCGTGCACATATCAGCAGAAGTGAGTAATAGGGAAATGACTGCACACACAGCCAGTCCAGTAAAGACAAACAAAAATAATTTACAAAGCCAAAGACACTGATTGACCATCTCACAGTGAATCACCACCAAGAGGAAACACTCACTAAACTTTCTGACCTTCTGGGTCTCAAGGACATCCCGGCAAGAGTCACTTTGTTTCCAAGTTTACCCAAACTTACACAAAGTGTTCAGGAATTTGCTCTGACATGCAGAATAAAGGAAAGGAAGCAGAAGATATTTAAAGAGCAAAGCACAGTGAGAGGAGAAAACCGTCACAAGTAAACAAAACAAAAAACATCATACTGGAGGAATGGAATGAGAGATAAGAGAAAACTAAACACTAGACTTCTCTTTCTGGGAGACAAACATTGTGTTCAGCCCTGCCTGCCTGGACTCAATGCGCTGCAGTCCGTTTCCACAGGGGACTCCTCTCAGAGCCTGACTGACCCGTTTAATCGTGACATTTAATGACTCCGTTCCCACGCTTCTGCACAATACAGCGCAGAAAATCTGGGAACTTCCAAAGCTCTGCAAATATTCTGAATGTAAACACAGCCCTTATATATTACGTCTCCCTTTTTACTCTTTCATGCAAAGTAAACACAGCTAGCTATAGACAGTAGCCGGTTCCTTGGAGGGAGCTGCGCTTATTTGCGTCGGACATCCCTCAAAATGAAGGTGTGACTGTGGGTTGGACACGCACAGACAGCAGGTGAATTTGATCCGTTTGCACATGACATCGTGTTTCTTCGTGCTTGTTTGACGTCCGACAACAAGGCAAACAGGTTTTTTTGTGCGTGTGCTGTCCGTGTGGGCACATCTTAAATAAAACCAGCTTGAAGGTCCTCTCCGAAAGAACAGAAAGGACTTGAAAGTTCTTTTCTCTGGGCCACCGTGTTATTCTTTGTTTAATGCATGCGTAACTGAAAAAATAAATAAAAAGTGTTTTGATGAAACTGATTTTATTCTGTTGTGTTACTGGTGGGTTACTAAAAAAGAAACAAGACTGCAGAGGGGTCCGGACTTCTGTTGTGGAAATCCTGCTACAGGCTGTGTGTCTGTGATTTACATAGAATCTTATTTAATTTCATAAATGTTCAGTCATGCCTGCAGACAGTCGTGAAACAAACGATCCAATAAATGGTCCAATTTAGGGAATATTCTGTAAGACGGATTAGTCTTATCAGATATGTATCTAAAGGTAAAATGTTTTATGTATAAGTCTTTTATTTTGCTGATTATCTTGTTAATTCCTTAAAGCTTTAATGTCTGCATTAGTTTACTAATCAACCAAAAACTAAACATACAGGAAACTTTGAAAAAAAAAAAAAAACACTTGGGAAGCTGTAACTATGAATCCACAAATATAAAAAAATTTAAATAATTAAAATATTTTATACTGTTTAAAGTTTCATTGTTTATCATATCAAAGTTTAAGTTTTCTGGCTTGAATTTTTACTATTTTGTTTCAATTTCTGCTCTAAACCCTTACCATACCACACAGGAGCAGCTAATTTGTGTATTATAATTATTTGTATTTTAAGTTTTTATTTATATGGCTATCCATCACCCATCCCTCTTGGGAGTAGGCTTTATGACACACAGGCCTTCAGGTAACTAACTACATGTACCAAGCCTCTCGCTCAGGGTTTCAAAATTTCTACCATAACTCCACCCACTCTGTCATCATGTGACCAGAAGTCTAACCGAAATGACCAATGAGCACCAATATGTTGTGCATTAATTTCTTCAGATCGTAACCATATTTTGTGCCTCATGCACAGACCGTGTTCTTCTACAGCGATAATGGAAAACGCACGGAGAATTTCTTATGATGCAGCTTTCAAGTTAAAAGCGGTGGATCTGGCTGTCGAAGAAGGACGGAGGCGGTGTGTGATGATGTTTTTCTGAGCCTTGACGAGGACTTTAGTTCACAGGAGGAAGAAGAACATAGCGATGAGTAACTTTTGGTTTTCTACCAGTACTTTTTTTTTTAAGCCATGGTAAAGGCATTTTTCAGAAAAAAAAAAAACATTTACCGGCTGTTTCCCCTCCTCCTGGGTCATGTGGGCTCCGCTGAGCAGAAGTCGTCAACATTTATTTTTAAAGCAGTCAAGTCTGGTATGCGTTTTAATAAAAGTGTATGGTAAATATGTGTTTAAATACCAGCATTTCATTTAAGCTCACATCCGAACGCATGAAACGCAGCGGAGGAGAGAACAGGAGGAAGGGGCTCTTCCCCCTTCCTCCCTCCTCCCCTGTTCTCCGCTGAGCAGAAATCACATCAAATGTATTTAGAAAGTACATTTAAAAACAGCAGCTGTTACCAAAAGCGTTTAACAATAAAAATCAATGGTACTAATTTAATGAATATTTGCTGTATTTTACCGGTACCATCTATGTGACTCAGTCACATGACCTCGCTAGTTGTTGGTACAAATTGACCGGTATACCATTTTTAAACAACTTCGATTACGTAGGTGTTTGGCACTGTTCTGTCCAGTAATGATGCTTAGATAGTTCTTGTGTTCATTCTGTAGGTTGAATGGTTTTAAGCACGAGTCAGACAGCGAAGCATCATGAAGACTTCTGACGATCACCAAGCCGTAGTCCATGAAACGCCATCCAGTGGCTGATTCTTGTACTACAACAAGAGCTGCACACAATGCCAGGAGGCAGGCACAGATTCTGATGATGAAACGTGGATACCTGCGGCTTAATAACCGGAGCGTCTATTTTATGCACAAAATTATGATTTATCTTAAATTTAATATGTGCGGCTAAAGTCAGGTGCGTTCTGTAGCCCAGCAATTATGGTAATTTTTTCAATGCTTACAGATATTTTAGTTTACCGTGTAAAAAAATAATCTTGTTGAAATATGCATTTAAAAATACAGTGTGGATAAAAATGATATAAAACACATACTTTCTGCCTATTATACTAAACAATGAAAAAGGGTGAACATAGTTAAACTTTTACAAACTAAAGTTCAGAATGTTTTTAGAGCTGATGATGATAGAAAAAAAACTGTAAAATGAAGCTAAAATATTTTAAAGTAAACTGTGTGTCCTAAATGAGAAATATATTAAGACAATACATTAATTTTCCAACAACGAGTAGGGAAATGTCAGAGTTTGTCTCTGTGGCCTGCAAGTTGTCACCAAATAATTTATAACTTTCTAAACTAGTATGTAATTAACAGATCTGACTCTAAATGAAACAATGCAAAACATTTTATTTCACCAAAGGAATTTTAATTAGTCATGAAAGACTGTGCTGGCAAAAACGCAAACAGACAGCAAGTCTGCAAATGTGGGACTTGTATATAAATGCAGCGAAACATTATTTTGTGTGCAAATTTGTTTGACTGCACTGATCTGTTCACAGCTTTCAAAGCAGCCTGACAAAAGTAACTGGGCGTGTCCCTCAGTGGGACGTTTGACAGCCCAGATTTTGTGAATAAATCAAGAGTTTGTACAATAACGCTTGAAGTGCCTCAGATTTATGAGCCAACAACGCAAATCCTTTTGTTTTTGTTTGTTCAGTTCAAGATCTAGCACAGAGGCCAAGTAGATTTTGCATTCTCGGTTCAAACTTTGCTTTGCAGATTATTGTGTGCATGGGATTTTGATTACTGTATGACTTATGAAGAATGTTATTCATCATTCATTCTGGTAAACAGGCACGACCTGGGACCTGACTGCACAGTACGTGTACAAACATGGTTTGCAATACATGAAAATAACTCGGAACTCTACTTTCAGGATGACTATGGGTTAGTTGTGTATTTATGATTGAACGTACCTAAACGTGGGTCAAATCTCCACGCGGGAATGTGATCATTTTCCTTCAGAGTGCTGTCAGCCGGCAGTGGCACGGAGACTGTGATTGGCTCATTCACCTGCAGCTCCACTCCGTCGCTGGCCAGTAGGTGAACGGAGATGGCTGCTACAGGAGTCAACTCAAACTTTTTCTCTGCGCCTGTGAGAGAGCAAGTAGGAGAGCGTAAGAGAGAAAAATGCAGCCAAAAGGAAAGTGAGCAGGAGAAAAGTAAGGTGCAGGAGGGGGAGCGGAGACGAGAGCAGACAGTGGGGTGGTGACATAAAAACAGCTTAGATGAATGAGAGCTGTCAAGACAGGAAAGAAAACAAAGGGAAAAACAGGAAATAAGGAAACCAGGGTGGAGGAAAAAAACTGGAGTGAGGTTGTTAGGTGTCACAAAGAATAACATGCCTTTGGTGTGTGAAAGTAGAAGATACAAGCAGTGGAAAGGAGAGGGCTGTCGGAAAGTGCCCAAAGATATTACTTAAAAATATTACTGCACATATCAAGACACAGATAAGATTCCCTGAAAGCGTACAGCTATAAGGTTTGTGTGTGAGAACACAGGGGTTATTGTGCTTCAGGGCCACTGCTGCTTCACTTCCCCCTCTGTCATCTGTGGTGCTACGCTTTGATTCTGTCTTTAGTTTCCACCGAACTTCAAGTCCAAACCTCACCTGTACTGTTGCTGCCAAGAACCTGCAGGTGAGGAAAGTGCTGGATGTGTGAGGGGGAGCTGGCCACGGTGAACAGAGCTGTCAGGTTGGCGTAGGACGTGTTGGAGGGGAGACTCAAAGCTCTGCGCTGGAAATTAACTCTGGGCTGGCTTCTTAAACCTTCAAGAGTGATAAACACATAATGTCTGAAACCATAAAAATGTGTTTTTGTTTTTACTTTTTTCAAATTATAAAATTTATTGTTTTTAGATCAGTGGTTCTCAGACTTCTTGTAATGAGTTCCACCTTAGAGAATACTAAGACAATAAAATGAAGACAAACATAAAGCGAACCCTTAACCCTGGTTTAGAAGAGTAGTTTAAAGCATGATGTTTCATACATTTGTTGCAGTTGTCACATTGGTTGTGATTTTGAATCTTCCCCTGCTTCACAACAAATTAATTAAAAAAATTTAAAAAACTTGGATAACTTTAATCAAATTTTTTGGCGGTTTGCACCTTTTGTTTTTCAGAAGACTTTAGACACGTCATTGGATTTATGAAAATATATTTCCTTCCAAACTTTTTAAGCAGTTAATTAATTAATTTGGAGCCAAGACTGTGATTTACTTGAGCTCATTTTTGGGCTCTCTCTGTTTTATGTAATTGCACATCGCAGTTCATTTTATAATATTGATATTCGTCTTTCAGCTGATCCCTTCTGCAGGGGTCGTCACAGTGTGGGAACTCTCATGAAAGATTTGGCAAATGTTTTACACCGGATGCCCTTCTTGACACAACCTGAGTTCGAACCTGCAGCCTCAGGATAACAAGACAGCAGCACTGCCCACCAAGCTAAGTTAAGAGTTACAAGCTGAAGCTCATTAGTTCAGCTTCTAAAAAGTAACTAAAAATAATACCGTATCTGAAAATCACACATTGGATCAGCTGAGTTAGGATAACACAAAGTAGTCACATAACAATCCTGCAAAAATAATTAAGTTTTGACTCTAAAACATTTAAATATGTAATAAAAAAAATTTAAAAATGGAGGTACTGTACTTTCCGCCGTACATGTCGCACCACCATTTAAGTCGCATCAGTCCAAATATGTCTAATAAAGTGGGAAAAACATAAATATGTTGCTTCGCCGTATAAGTCGCATCTATTATGCGTCACCACTGACAACCTGGAAATGGTGGCTGGGAAGTGTGACGGGAGGACTTTAACAAGAATTTAACAAGATTTGCACTTAAAAACAATTATTTGCTTGCTCGACATTATAGTAAAGGTGTGTCTCAGTTTAACTTTTCCTTAATAAATGCACTTTATCAGCTGCATTTCAAAAGCCGATTTGTGGCTGCAGGAGCGTGCAGAGGGAGGACTTGTTGTGCATTTCTTCAAAATTTAACAAAATAACCACCTTAAAACAATTATTTGTTTACTCGATATTATAGTAAAGGTGTGTCTCAGATTAACTTTTCCTTAATAATAATAATAATAATAATACTTTTATTTATAAAGCCCTTTAAAACAACTACAGCTGCAACAAAGTGCTGTACATATAAAATCAAGAACATTTAAACACATAAAACAGTTGTTAAAACATTAAGATCAATAAAAACAATGCACTTTAACGGTCAAATCAGCTGCATATCGCCTGGGCGGCGCGGCGAAATGCAGCTGATTTGACGTTTGCTCCAGGAGTTCCAGAGCGAGACGAAGGTGGCTTGTTATGGCAAGTCGTGTCTCATTAATAGCCACTTTTACCTATTAATGAGACACTTAGCTTGCCATATTACTCAAGCACCTTCTAGCGGCTGAAAATGTTAGTGTACAATATTTTCCATGTCAGAATGAATGAAATTGTCAGATCTCAGCCAAAAATTGGGTTATAAATGTGGGAAAAAACATAAATACATCGCTTCACTGTAAAAGTTGCAGGGCATGCTAATTTATGTAAAAAGGTGCAACTTATACAGCAAAAAGTACGGTAAAAGGTTTAAATAAATTTTAGGTTAAAATGAACAATGAGCTAGAAGATGAGTAAAATAAGAATTTAACAGCATGACTGAGGATTTAAACCTTGAAGTGTCACAATGCCACTCATTCAGGCAACGTAAAGATATTTTACACTTTTAGTAATAATTATATTATTTTCGATAGTGGGCCGAGATGGTGTAGAGGCAGGGCAGTCGGCTTGGGACCCGAAAGTCCCAGGTTCAATCCCCAGTTATTGCATACCACGTGGTGTCTCTGGGCAGCACACCTGATCCCCAAAATGCCCGGCGCTCCCAATAGCTGCCCACTGCACCACCCGGTGGTGGATGGGTTAAATGCAGAGACTAATTTCGCCATTGTATGGAAACATACAGTGATGACATTGTGAAGACATTATTATTATTTTCCTTGTTATATTGACACATGAAATTTTGGCTTCAACACTCTGTCCTCTTTTACTCTTTGAGGGAACTGACTTACAGAAAACTTGTTGTCTCTGCAAAATAAAAACATTCCAACGCCTGTGGAAGATTAGTGGAAGTGATGTACAGGAAGTTCAAGTCAATCTGAGGGTTTCCCACATTTTTCTGCAGATTGTATCATCCGTTCCATCATATAGTTGCAACATTCTCATTCCGTGAGTGCTGAATTATTTGTGAATTCCTTTACTCCTGAACTAATAGGTCTTAATAGTTCCCATAGAGGCAGATTGCGCCTTCAGTGTCCACTGTGCAGATGAGCTCACTTTGCTTTAAACACCAGTTTACAAGCCCTGGGAGATGCCTCACCAACCACAGAAGCATTAAAGAGCATCGACTGCCAGCATCATCTAAATCATTTCGGGTCCGTGTTTCTGTGCCGGAGGGCGACAGACGTAACCACAAACATCAACATGTTTCGCTCATGTACCCAAAGACTAAAGATGGTTACTGTAATTCTCTGTGCCGGAGGTGGTTGAGGTAACTCGGCAGGGGAATTCCTCCAAAACAGACATGAGTACAGGTCTGGTTATTGACACTGTGAGTCAGCCTTTTATACAGGCTGAATACAAGACACTAACATTTGCACAAGTCACTCCTCTTTAAGTAGTACTTGTTAAAAACCGAGCCCCGCCGTGTCAAACAAGTCCCGGCAGACCAACGCATTCTTGTTTTGGTTTAATAAATAGGGTTTGTAGATAATCATAAAGCTGCAGCGCTTCTTCTTCTTTTTTTATACGGTAATTGATTTAGGGGTTTGAGGATGAAAGCTACAAGTGATGGTGATGCATGACTAAAAGGCTTTAAATCACTCGTGTACTGGAGACTAAAAACCAGAGGGTGAACATTTTTCAAAAAAGGAAGGGGAGATGTACATTTATCTTGTCTAATAACGTAAAATGTTAAAACTCAGGTAGAGACACATGTTTTACAAAGAGATTAAACTAATGTGAGGTCTGGTCGCCCTAACTCACATGAAATTAACAACCCATCTTTGACCCTTACGTTCATTTTACAAGACAATTTCATTTCCCTCATCACTGCCTAATGCATTTCCATAATTTCAGCCATCAACGAGGCCTAATGGAAGTAAATCTGGATCGATACATTAAAGACAATGCACCGGGTCAGCCTTTTCTTGCTGCCGTGCTGTTGACATTTCCCTGCACAAGTAAATGTTTCCATTTTACTCCCCACATTCACTGCCTCCCATCCAGTCTCCCCCTGCCATCAACACATTGCACATTAAATACAATTAAAAAAAGAAAATAAGTGCATGTTGCTAATCTCAGCAAGGTGATGTCATTTTTGTGGTCAGCCCTGAGTCGAGTGCACATTCCTGAGCAGTGAGACAGAACCAGAAGTAGGCGAGTGTTCCCCATTTGCGTTTCTTCCTTTCTTCTGATATGATTTTTGGATCTGCAGCAGGAGGACAACTTCCACGCAGTCCTAAAAAATGAGGTTTGACTGGTGTTTTCTTTCTGCGGCTCTGTTTTAACGCAAGCAAATGACCCACTTGCTGTTCTTTATGTGTCCCCTTCCTCAACTCGTCTTTTTCCCTCCACTTTTCTCTCGTCTGTTTCTCCCTCTGTTGGACACCGATCTGCCCATCCCCCTTTCAGCCATCACTTCCCATTCACTCAAACTGCTCCACCCACGACCCCACATCCCAGAATACTGTATTCTTTCTCTTCTCTTCCCCCTCGCCTCCTATTATATTTATTTATGCCACACGCCAAAGTTTACCCCCCACCCCCCCTTAGTGCTTAGGATCACAGTGTCCACTTGGGCACGTGCTCAGAACAGGAGGTTCACATATTAATGGAGCCTGCTGAGTATTTCTGTCATTTTCTTTTTTTGTGTCGGACAATACGGCTGAATTACACCCTTGGTGGTCACAAATACACAAAAGGCCCTGCAGACAAAGCGACTGAATTAATTTGCCTGAGTAGGACAGCCTTGTCTAATATCATTACACCTGAACAAAGCAGCTGAACCACACACTCGTGAATTATATTTGCAAATGTGTGCAAACACAAAAGTGCTTTTTTTCCTATAGTGTCCCTTTAGAGAGTCTTTTAAATGTATTTAAGGCGATCAGCATTTCTGTTTTTTAAGTGAAAATAAGTTTAAAAAAAAAATTTAAATAAAGAATTATTTATTATTTTATATAAATGAAATCAGAATTTGAACTCTTGAATTTAAGACTACATAATAATAATAATTTATTCAATTTGTACTGCCCTTTATATTTTACGATCTCAAAGTGCTACAATATAAAATATCTAAAGAGAATAAAACATGGACATGAAAAAAAAGACTAAAAAATTTTGAAAGCTCAAAAACTAAAAAAGAAAACCTGCAGGACTAAAAATACCTTTAAACACCATAAACTCTTTTAAATAAAAAGGTCTTTAGTCCTTTCTTAAAACTTTCTGTAGTCTGGGGTATCCTTAGATGGTTGGGAAGGTTGTTCCACAGACGAGGAGCAGCAGAGCAAAAGTCCCCGTCACCCATCGTGCACAGTTTTGTCCGGGGAGGGTGGAGCTGGTAGGAATTTGTGGAGCGGAGGGATCGTGTTGATGTCTGAGCTGTTCTTTAAGGTAGTGTGGAGCATTGCCGTGAATGGATTGGTGGGTGAGTAAGGAAACCTTGTATTCAATACTAAAAGGATTGTAAATTCCAAGCTTTGATGGATGCTCTAAAGCAGAGGTGCCCAAAGTGGGGCCCGTGGGCCAAAGTTTGCCCGCCTAGCCATTTGAGTTGGACCGCCAAGATGTCCTCGTTACGATATTAAAATTTCCTTTGAAGAATCAATGTGTTTTCACTCAGTCATTCCACCCATTGATTCAAGGTTCACTTGTCGTTCCACCACATGTACCACATGTGGTGGAACAAAACTATGTACTGTATACAGGGTACAGGTTGACTTTAATGTTAGATGGAAAAGTCGACCAATTGACTACCGTATTTATGGTACTGTTTATTTATGTTCAAATTATTGTTGCTGTTAAGTTGTGTGTTGTGCCTTTTTTTTTACATTTTGCACTACATATACATATAGAAATGCCAAAATTTTGACATTTGTTTTAATTTCTTATATATGACTTATTTGTTATATTTTGTGTTCTGTAATGTTCTTTATTCAGAATTAAAGGTTAAATAACTGTATAATAAATAAATGGACTTTACTTAAAGATGGATTTGCATTTCGTGAATTATATGTTTTCATTTGGCCCGCAGCCTTCTGATAGATTTTAAATTTGGCCCTCTCAGGGAAAAAGTTTGGGCACCCCTGCTCTATTTAAACTGCATTAAATCATCTTTTTTTTTAACAGATGGTCTTAGCCCAGTTGTTATGATAGTGTGGGGCTAGCCCGGGGTCCCTGCCTTCTGAAAGAGGTGCACTATAAATCACAGCGGTTTGAAAAGTCCCGCCTATTCATTTTGTAGATTGATGCGTTTTACGATCAAAACAGCAAACTCTAAAGGTGACTTCACTCATCATAATGAAACCAACAAGCAGATATAGAGTACAAAATCAAACATTATCTGCAAACTGGAATACAGAATAAAACATCAAACTGAGAGATAGACCAGTGTTCAGTTCACGTGGTGGTCGTTTGTTTTTATGCACATGTGCGCTTCAGAAAAAGTCAGGCGTTGTTGATATCAAGATATTTTTAGACGCATGTATAACGACTTATGGGGAAGGAATTCGTTTTTACTTTTATATTTGTTCAAGAACTTTTAAAATGTTTATTAAAACACCAAATATGCACTAAACTGTCACTGAGCAAAAGTAAATCTTGTTGCAATCGAAAGCTACAGAACAACTGAACAAAGGAGTCTTTAACTGGGCTGTGACTGGAGACGCAAAATTACAAGAAAATAGGCAACTTTTCCATTGCAGTGTCACTGATTTCTGAGTGTTAGCAAACAAGTGACCAGTGAGTCATGTAGAAACGTTCTGAAAGGACAGTTTTTAAAAGTCACAGCCTATTTTTGTGTAGCAAAACTGCTTTCTTGGCTGTGCACATTATTTTGTGGTTCATCTTCACCCACACCATGCACATTATTTATTATTGGTTGTTTTTTAGACCTGGACATGCTTTCTGCTAGACAAGCGCCCCCCGTGCAGGTGGCAAAATATTGCTTTTACATTGTTGAGGCTGGTTGGAGAATTCCAAGAAAGGGCTCAAGGTGCCTGCGTCCACTCTGAGACTATTTATCCGTTAGCTTTACCCGCTTCTTCCTTTTCAGGTCGTGGGGGCCACTGGTGCTTATATCCAGCAGTCACTGTGAGAGAGGCGGGAGACACCCTGGACAGGTCTCCAGTCCATCACAGGGACACAAAAACTATGTTTACATGCACAAAATTATTTGATCCGAAATGTTTTCAGATTAAATAATTCAAATGTATCGCTTACATGGGCACAATCCGCTCATGACGAGTGTTTACATGCAGCGGGCTTTTATTCTGAAAAGAAGTACTGACATGCACAGAGTGGTAAACTCTCCTTAAAAAAAAACACAGAAGAAGAAGTTCTACTTCCGTGATAAACGTAAACAAACCTGAGCGCCCAAAATGGACCCGCGACAGGTTTTAATCATGGTGGAGACGTTACTGCACTCCCTGACCGAGCTACAGGTCATACAGATCATTTTGAGCTCTTTCAAAGTTTCTAGTAGAAATGTTGTGTCGCTCACCAACCAGTTTTGCATCCCCGACATATTAGCATCTAGCCAGGCGGAAATGCGTGAGGTTGAAAGGTCGCACATGCGCAGTCAGGTCGGTTTTTCCACAATCGGAAAAAAAAAATTAACAGATTAAGTGTTTACATGCACATCGTTCGGATTATGAATCGGCATAAACTGCCCGTCTCATTCCGATTACAAATTTGTTCGGATCGAACTGAATCAACAGAAAAATAATCCGAACGGGCTGTTTACATGACGCATTTTTATTCCGAATGGCCGTTTAATCTGATTACTTATGTCCATGTAAACATAGCTATAGAGATAAACGAGACAAACAACCATTCACTCTCTCACTCACACCTAGGGTCAATTTAGAGTTACCAATCAGACTAACATATATGTTTTTGGTCTGTGGGAGAAAACCGGAGTACCTGGAGAAAACCCACGCACGCACGGAGAGAACATGCAAACTTCACCCAGAAAGGTCCATGATTGGGATTCGATCTGGCAACCTTCTCGCTGACAGGCAACAGCTCTACCAACTGAGCCACTGTGCAGCTCTCTCTGAAACTATTGCAAGAAATAATTTGCCACATTCAAAAAAAATGCTCAAAATTCAAGCGACAGGACTGTGTACCCCTACAACTCACACAAGGAAACTGAGACTGAGGTAACGTCATGAGATGTTCTGAAGACTCCTTCTCGAATGCTGTTCTCAAACTAGTTGCAGCCCAGTGAGAATTCACATGAATGGAAATTGTTATTAGACTGTATACTTATTTAATGAAATGTGTTTTTGATCAGAACAGGGTTTTTTTTTTAAAGGTTTTAAAAGAAAACTGTTGATTTTTTTGTGTTTGTTAAATTGTGAGTTGCAGGTATAGCTGAAGTCACACATTCAAACGCCGTGCTTACCTTGCATGCCAGAAACAATCTCAACAACATCGTCATACACCATCAGAGTAGCAGCTCTTTCTGGAAGCAGTTCCAGACTGATGGAGGAAAACACTAGAAGTGAAACACAAGAAGGAGCAACACTATGTTAATTGACAGAATAAATTCAGTCTCAGAGTAGAAACATACAGCCTGATCTCTATCAGATTTAACAAGTCATTAAAAGATCTGTCTTCACTTTTAATGCGCCTGCTTTCATTATGTCCGCACAGGACAGAAGTTTGACCCAGCAAACTGTACTCCTTCCCTCTTCCTTCCTTCCTTTCACTCCTCCATTGTTCAGATCTGGTAAGCGTGATAATCCAGTTGGCCGCCGTTCCACTGGCACATAAAAACCTCCTAAATAAACTGGCTCACAGCAACGCACACACACACTTCTGCAAGCTCTTGGGAGATATTTTGCGTTTGAGCATGTGTGTGCTTTAGAAAAAAGGGAAGCTTAGGAGCCCACATGCTGCGTTTTGACATCTAGTGAAATAAATTGGTAATGAAGCACTCCACTCTTCATTAGCTCACACACCTGGCACAAACATACAGTTTGCATAAACACACTCAACCTGGCAGCATGAATTCTTTAACCTGTCCACACAGAGATGCACTGACCTTCTAAATAAGACTAATGCAGAAATAAATGCTGCACTTATTTTAAAGTATCTCACGCACACACCTACCAGGTAATCTGGAGGGAGTCCAGGGAACAGAGTTTGGCACATAGCCCTGTTTTGTTGCAGTGACAACCAGTGGTGTCCCGAGGCGGTAGAGGAAGTGCAGGTAGGCGTTACCGTCAGCTGATGAGGTTTCCGTGGTTACAAAAGTGTGGTTGGAGAAGAGCTGCACGGTGGCTCCAAACAGTGGCTGGTGAGTGCTGGCATCGCTCAGATGAACCTTCAGAGTCACCTCTGTGAACACAGACAACTCGGTGAGTGCGCAGCTTTGGTTAAGCTTGGTGTGAAAACAAAAACGCTGTGTATAAAGTCTGAAGCCACAATGAAAAGGACGCTATAAAACCCAGAGGTGTTTTAACTACAGCCATCTTCATTCACTGGGTTTAGTTTTAGTGCCAGACGCTGCTGGGCCTCTAATCCACATCCCAGCAAAAGAGACGGCCGTCTGACCATTGATTGGACTTCAGCCAATGACACTTCCCCTCCAACACAATGGACCATTTCCTTCTCTCAAAGATGCCCAGGAACTGATGGGGGAAAACAACTGCACATAAAAGCATAACTCTAATGGAGATATGCTGGAAAATGTTGGACTGCCTGTTTAAATGCAATTATATTTTTATACATCCAATTCTATTAAAGAAACAATAAAGCTTATGCTTCATTTTATGTCTGGAAATACATGTCAGCTGGGGTGATGATTACCTGGCAGACTGCACTGCTGCAGTGTTGTGAATTTGTGTGTAAATATTTTTAAAGCTTGTGTGACAAATGAGCGTTTTAATCTTTTTTGATTACCGAAGACACAGTGGGAAAGAAATGAATGGTGCACCAGTAATTAACCGGAACTTTGGCATACAACATATAAATGCAACAACTTATTTTTAGATGTGCTGCCTTTCAACAAATGCCCTTCCACTCCGGATCCTCTGCAAGCGTCGCATCATCCTTTTCAAGACATGAATTTTCCATTTGTTTTAAAGTAATGATAAGTGTAGGACAAAAGTTAGATATTTACAACAACAGAACAATTTACCTCTTAATTATTTAATATTTACCACTTCATCGAAAGGTTTTTGAGGACAATTAACTTTAATTTTTCTGGTTTTTAGGCGGGTGTAGTGTAAACGAACGACCAAAATGCTACAGAAACGTTACAGGTTGCACTTTAAAACAGCGTTGTGTAAGCAGGGCCTGAGAGTCCTTCACAACGCATAGTGAAGACGCTTTCATAAAATAGTTCTGTGAAATGGTCGCACAGACCAGTCCATCTTTATCATAGACATAAATACATAGACGCCTCATTGAGCGGGCTGGCCCGCTGCAGCTGTACGTCGGAGCGTCCGCCATTTTAAATGCGGCGGAACTGCCAGTCAACTAATAGAAGGAAATGGACTGAACTTCATAAAGCACCGTTCTACAAAGTGTTTGAAGTAGATGCCTGTCATTCACACACACTAAAATATTTGGAAAACGGGAACCAAAGACAACATTTGTAACTTTTAAAGTTAAAAGTTGCTGCTGATTTATTTCACTCTGCTGTGTTCATTCGTACTCACCTGCTCACACAGACTCATGTCCGTGCTGCTGTTGTTTGGCGTATTGTTTTTGTACTACAAGTGCTTAGTGTATTTTTAGTTTAGTGTATTTCTTAGTTAATATTTTAAACCTTATTACTGTTTTTTTTTTTGTTTTTTTTTACAATTTATACTTTTGTTGGATGTAACTGGGACCCTGTGTACACAATTTCATCCCACCACGTATCACATGAGATGTGAATGACAATAAAGAAGCCTTGACTTTGATCAGTTCATCACTTAACTGAACTGTGGCACCGCAGAGCACTTTTACACATGTTTGCTGTTTCACCTCTGATACTACCTTGCTCCACAGAGGCGCACATGGGGTGGGCTGGCTCCGGTTCCCCCTTGCTGCCTCATACCGAGGTAGACAGAAGGTGTCTCAGCCCGGAATGAGCGGTCTTGTGAAAAAGCCTCGAGTGTGGCATTTTGCAATATCGCATAGGATTGCATTTGCACATAATGTTAATTTCAAAGTTTGACAGCTACAACTCTATCATTTGTCAACAGGAATTGATCTAAAACTCGGGCATGAAAAATGCTGGGTAATAAGCCATCGAGAAATATTAGTTTACGGTCACCCCTCACATGATTTTGCAACGATAAAAATGGTTTTATTTAGACACGAGCAACTCAAACGTTGCATCAGTAATTCACATGCTGGAACCAAACAAAAAGTCAGCCTGATGCTCATATTCCAGAGGTGTGATTAAAAAATAAAACTTGGCTGAAAAACACTATATTTCACCAACACACAAAGCCACACACTCTTCATTGTCTTTGCACACATCTCAGCCAGGCCCTGTCTGACCCATGGTGACCTCTCAATTACAGCTAAAACGTTTCCCCACCTCTCCTCATTCTTCACCAAACCATGCCCTCCTCCCCCGTACTTTTTCTGAAGCTGAACTGTGTCATAACTCTTTTGTGAAACCCCACCCTCAGCGACACACGTTAACACACCTATCCCTGGCTAGACACATTCTCCCTCCCCCCATCCTTTGGTCAGTCGGACCACTCTGTTAATCTGAAGAAGGGAGTTCAGCCACAGTGCGCCATACCTCACCTTAAAATAGCGCCTACATTTTTTTTAAAAAGTGCACCGCAAGACAAGATTTGGAAGAACAGTGTGTCAATTTTGAACCTTCCCTTCATTCTTCTCCTTTATTACATTAGTGTCACAACAGAGAACTGGATGCAAGACTTTCTTTCTTTCTCTCTTTCTTTTTTGCAAGATTATGACCTCACATCCCCTCCCACTCCCACTGATATGCTGCTAGGGGTACCAGCTGTGTTCACTTAAGAAAAAACTAAAACGAAAAACTCCCACGGGAGAGTCAAGCCTAAATCACACATACAAATCCAAGGGTCTCCTCCCAGTCCTCATCCAATAAATCAGTGCACAGCTGACATCATTGTTAAACAAGCTACGAGTCTCCTCTTTGCTCCAATGTACAAAAAAAGGGGGTGATGATCTGCTCATGGACTGATTCAAGAGCCCTCCATTTCAACATATTTTGTCTTAAGATGACTTCCTATTTGTGAATATGGTAAATAATCAAAAGGGTTTGGTCTCAGACTAATTATCTGCTGTGACAGAAGTCAGAGCAGCAGGGTGGTTGTGTGTTTGGATGTGAGCAGTAAGAAGGACACCCAGGAGGCAAACGCAAGGAGAGAATGAATGTGTGCGTGTTTTGTCCTCCCCACATCTCAAATTATCTTTCAGAGAGGCCGCTCAGTTTAGCACCATGGAGCTCAAGTGTGATGACATGGACATGGATGGCATGGCTGGCCTCCACTGGGTGTGTGTGAGAAATGTTTTGGCGTTCTTCCGAATAGGGGAAAGGAAGGCTCACATGTACATGACACTATGTTGAAGTGATTGATAGAACTTCACTGGTGGTGGAAAATCAGAAGTGTATTGCAAGTTACCAGGGTCAAAGTGAAGTTTTGTGTGTTTCAAATCATCAAATCGACTATTACAACACAATAACTTTTTTTTTAATCAATTTTCTTTCTTTGCAAGCTTGAAAAGCTTAAAAGTATAAAAACCTTCATTACAGGCTTACTGATGGACAAAAATTCCCTTTTGATTACTTCCATGAGTTTATGGATGTATGGATATTTATTTTAGATTAAGATCAGTGTGATCGGGTCTTTAACAAGCTGCAGAAAGATTAAATCCTGTGGCTTTGCAAAATCTAAAACAAAAGCTAAATTGCTTCACATTTTCTCTCTTCATACGAATTGTTGGACAGAAATCAAAACCTCAACATTACCATCGATATTTAAAATTATACTGAAGGAAAAGATTTTCACCACTGTGATTACCTCAGCAAACTATTTTAACACAAGAGTTGTAAATTATTCTGAAAGAATCTTTATTTTGTTTTGTTACAAGAAGCTGTGAAATGATAAAACAATGTATCTTGTATGATCAATGGGTTGTTTTCAAGCCTAAATCAAATTGCCTTCATGGGTATTTTAACACAACAACTAAAAACTTCCCTCCTGACCAGTATTTCGAGTGTATTAGCTGAATAAACAATTCGCTTTAGACGTTCACAGCAGGTAAATAAACATTTCTCTTCAGCATTTCTCTCTTGGGTTTTTGCTTATCTTTGTTTGTAACTGCACACTACACAACTGTGCTGTTACACAGTGGAAAAAGTGTGTGTCTAACAAATCCTTAACTCAGTAAATTGTGTTTTATGAGGCAAACTGCTACTGTTTAAGACCTAACTAACAATGAGACATTCTAGTTTCAATTTTGCATCGAGTGGCAAAAGATTTTGAATTATGTGACCTTCTTGAGGATACAATGATATAACTTGACCATTTGTTTATAATGAGATGGCAAAAATACATAATTGATGTGAATGCTATCAATGAGTATGCATCAGGATGCTATCAATATGTGTTACAGGAGGAAATACAGATGAAATTAAACTAACACACATTCCTGGTTTATATAAAGCTGCGTCAGTGGTGTAAGCAAAAAAAAAGAAACTATAGGCGTCTTTTTTTGCTATTTTTTCTCTACTTGATTAAAAGTAAGAACAGACAGAAATTGTCCATGCCATTAACTCAGCAGGGGAGGAGGTAATCACGTTACATTAACCGGCTGAAGAGCTAATGGACTCTCCTCAGTTCACGCAATGGTCTCGTCCAAACACAGTTCTGCTCTTCGGCCAACGAGGTCACTGACCTAATCTCTAAATGCAGTTCTTTACTCTTGACCTGGTCGAGCTGGGTGGACACAGGTTAGCGTTCACACCAGCCTTTATGATTAAAATCAAGCTTGGATGTCTGGCATGATTTGATTATTCTGCTTCCTGGCTGCCTTATATAGCTTTGGCAAATGTTTGTCTGTAGGAGATGCAATGCCATTCCTCCTCTGCACAGCGTAAGCCAGATCTATATCTGGGTAGCGTGTCTGTCTGGCTCCGCTCATCCACGCTGTTTGCTGGAGAAATTCTCAGTTATCGACCTGAAAACACACCCTCTCTGAGACATTAGAAGGTCAATCTGAGGCAGAGAAACAGATAGAGGCGAGTCTAACATAGACTTTAAAGTGGCACAATCTTGGAAATTATCAAAATATTTAGACCCAGATTTAGATCTTTTAAGGAAAATCAATTACTATTAATTTTTCCTCAGCTCTTGTCTGAGTTACCAAGACAGCTGTTGTGTTTATATTTATTCTCCTAGTGTAAAAGGTTTTGCTGAAAGAAATGTAGGCTAGCCTACAGCCAACATAAGTGAACACAGACGGCTGTAACTTGTGATGATGAACAGAAACGACCGATAAAACTGACGTGGTTCCACGTTCGGAGTTACTGTAATAACAGAGCAGCTTTGAAGTCATTGACTGAATGACAAGCAAACAGATTATTGTGATTCATAACCGCTTTAAACCTGTGCATGGGTCAGCTTTTGTGCTGAAAGGCTACCCTGACAGATCTGTTTACTGTACAAACCTGCCAGAGGGGAACAGTATTATATCCAGTTTCCACAAACTTTTTATACTTTTGTAGCTCATGATACTATTATCTGCAAACTAAAGGTTGTTCACACTCCCCTCCTTTTTATTGAACAGAAATAATTCAATCTCCATTATCATTTTCTCACTTAGTCTAGTTTGTAAATGTGACCGACCATCATTTTTATCTTCAGTGGAATGAAACCAGGGCATTCGTGATCATATTTACTGGTACATGTATTAAATATACACATTCTGTATTGTAATCGTTAACGTTATTGTATAAAAATATGTTAAAAACTATTCCGTTTTCATTGCTACATAAAAGAAATTGAGATTTTGAGGTTCATATAATCAATGCTCCTATTTAAAATATGTAAAAATGCACCCAAATGTACCTATAGAACTCAAAACTGCCAGTATGAAATAATCGCAAGGTCCTAAAACACAAAGTGATGCTTTACAACATTTGTATTTATTTAACAAACAGATTAAAATCAGGTTAGTTTACATCATAAAAGCATGAGAAGCAACAAGTCTTCACGTGTAAAAACACGGAAAGACATTTTTGCATTTCCTGTGTTAAAATGTGCAAATTATTTAAATGATCAAAACACTAACCAACTTCTGTGTTTTTCACAGGCTAGCATTTTATGTGGCATATATGTAGTTTAGATCTGTTTATTTATTTTCTCAACATATTTTATTTATAAAGTTAATAAAACAAATCCCAAATTCAGTAAGAAAATTGACTGATTTGTTAGTAATCACTATGTTCAAACACGTCTTTAAATGTTTTACATTCTCTCCAACAGCATTTTTTTTTTATAGCAAAATTGTTTAAAGGAGATTGATCAAAATTAATCAATCTGAATGTGTCATTTTAGGCTCTGTTGCTGTTCAGTCTTTTTTTTTTTTTTCATATTAATTGGTACTTATTAAATCAAAATTAGTCTTTAATTTATTCTAAAATTATCTAATGACAAACTAAACTATTTTGGATCCTGGCTTCAAGGAGAACCCCCAGTGTTTCTCATTTTAAACGCTTGTTAAGCTGAACAGACAAATCCAGTTGTTTACTGAAACAAACGACAGAAGAAAAAAATCACAGCAGCTGGGCTCAGTCTATCCCGAAGAAATGTTTTCACTCATTAAAATATATTTCCCTCGAAATACTTGAAAACCAAGCTGACTCCAAGAAATTATTTTATGAACCAAACACTTCAAAGATCCAAAACTTCTGGTTTTAGCTAGCATGCTAACGCTAGCTAACTTGGGATCAGCTCAGCATCCGAGCAGAGCTAGCTGCTCCGTTAGCCTGGGAAGAAGCCAGCTGTGCTCCTCGTTTGACCGAAACAAGCGAATAAAAACACGGAATCCACTTTTTACCTTGGCTCGCTGAATCCTCCCGTGAGGTTTTGGCGGCAGCTTTAGAGAAAAGATAACCCGAAAGGCAGAGCAGAGTCGCAGCGGTCCTGCTCCAGTCCACAGCCCACATCGTTGCAGATGTGGGAATCAAAAGCAAAAGGGTTTAAAAAATAAACAAAGTAAAAATATATGCGTTTCGCTTTTTTATAAAAGTCACTGTCGGTTCACAACTGTGTTTAACCCGCAAAGGAGGCGACACTCCATGTTCTGCATCAGAAGTCCAGGTTTTCAGCCCGTAAAGCTGTGTTTCACCGAGCATCCCCAGCCTCGTTTTTTTCCTCGTCGACCGACCAGGGTCAGGGAGGAAGACGGCCCGGTTCCTCTGAGCCTCCTGCCCCAGAGCAGCACCAACAGGCGGCTCGACTCACGCTCAGCACCGCAGTCATCTGTGGAGGTCTGGTGCCCCCTGCTGGACAAATACTATCACTACAAGTCATGGTTCACCACTTCAATAGCTAAAACTTCACTTATTTCTTATTTACTCTATTTTGGTAAAAATAAGGCATTATTACGACGTGAATGTTTCAAAGTTTTAAAGAAATGCAGTTATGACTGTGACTTTACAATACAGCTTCTTCTCCCTTACAGTGAAGTTAATTTTGAAATCAAATAGCATCTTTACATCTCATGTAGTATTCTTAGCAGTTTCTTTATTGTTTTCTTTACTAATCGTAGCTGCTTTGTTAGACTGTAGAACCTTTGCATTTACTGCACGCTGTCTTTTTTTTTTTTGTCTTTTATGTTTTTGGATATTTACATATTGGTTTAAATAAAATGGATTCCCCATTAAGTCTGGTTAAATTGTTAGTGTAGAACAAAATTATAATTGACACATACCTCTGTTTTACTATATAGCACAAAAAGTCAAAAAGTGACACTTGAGGGCTGTGCCTTCGATATTTGAATTATGGAGCCCAGGTATCAGACCTAAAATGTGGCAGTCACATGAACACCTTTATAAACAACTCAAGCATTTCTAAGTAACTTCTTTGGGGGAAAAAAAAAAAGCTGTTTTGACCTAACTGGGAGTAAAAAAAACAACTTTGGCTTGACACCCCCAAAAAATCTAATGAACAGCTGATAGTCCTTTTCCTGTTTAATGTATACTTCATTGTGTGTACTTAATGGCAAAGCCTTCATACGTCACATTGATTCATACATGACTGAAAAAATAATTTAGTTTGACAATTATTATTGAGACATTATTATTATTGAGGTGGCACAGTCGTTAGAGCTGCTGCCTCTCAGTGAGAAGGTCGCCTGATCAAATCCCGGCCAGAGACCTTTCTGAGTGGAGTTTGCATGTTCTTTCTGTGCATGTGTGGGTTTTCTCTGGGTACTTCAGTTTCCTCCCACAGACCAAAAACATGCATGTTAGGCTGATTGACTCTAAATTGTCTCTAAGTGTTAGTGAGAGAGTGAATATTTGTCTTGTTTGTCTCTATGTGTCCCTGTGATGGACTTGCGACCTTTTCAGGGTGTCCCCCGCCTCTCGCAGTGCTGGATGGATATGGGCACCAGTGACCCTCGTGACCCAAAAAGGAAGTAGCGGGTAAGGATAATGGATGGATGGATGAATCACAGCTGTTAAACTACAATCGGAAAAAATAAATTAATAAAACACTTGAACCATTTGAAATTGTGTGTTTTCTTAGAAAGAATTATATAATTTTTACCAAAAGGATTTGCAAAATGCCTAAAATCCATGTCGTCATACTGATCTACGTCTAACAGACCAGCAGGGGTTTTGTTTATTTCAAATGTTTTACAAGTGATGTAATCTTTTTACGGCTTGTTAAAGTTTGAATGGAACGTAATTCCTCTTGTTGTTGTAAAACCGTCACATTATCTGCAGTCACTTGTTGAATCATGTTTATGTCGTTCATTTACAGCCCTGGGAACATTCTTAAAGTCTCATGTTACCTGAGGAGATGATGCAACATCAGGTATGAAACAAACGAGACGTTCTCTCCTCATTACACGTCAATATTTTCTAACAAAGACAGCAAATTTTAGTCAGTTGAGATCAACCATTTGTAACACTGCTCTACTTTTTACAAGCTAACTTTACTTTAATATAAAGTGGTCCAAGTGCAATTTGAAATGTTCCATCCATCTATCCATTTTCCAAACCTATAGATTGGACTGAGCCAAACCCGGTTGTCACTGGGAGATAGGAGGAGTTCAACACAGAGCCAAAACAGAAATACACAAGACAAAATAATTTTACCCCTAAAATATCTGTGTTGCTACTGTAAAACTTCAGTCTTTAATCTCCAACAACATTTAAAACAATAACCCTGCTAATTATAATTTATTTAACCAGGTAAATCCCACTGAGAGAGCTCTTTTGCAACAGAGGCCTTGTCCTGAAGGAGGAAACCCAGAGAAAACCCACACTAACACCAAGAGAACATGCAAACTCCACACAGAAAAACCCCAGGTCCAAAATGAACCCAGGACCTTCTTGCTGTGAGACAACAGTGCTAACCATGGAGCCATCGTGCTGCCCGGTAAGATGTTAAATGCAAAATATGTGATGCTGGAAGGTTTTAAAGAAAATAAAATGCTAAAATCAATTGACAGCATAATAAAACAAAACAATCTGCGCTCCTGCACTTATCTCTTTAAAAACAAAAGTCTTAATTTGTGTCTAGACAGACTGCGATGCTGCAATGCAGTCTTCAGCACTGCTTCACAAACAGGACACGCCGCTGAATTCAAAGCAAACCGAGAAATATCAGTGAGTCTGTGGGAAACGAGTCACTGGGGCACATATGATGGGAATGTCACACACAATGCATGTATTTTTTGTGTCACTAGAAGAAGTACTTTCATTGATCTAAAGTCTTTTTAAGCTTCCAAAGGGAGTTTATGGATCACCATATTGCATGTAATGTGGAGTTTAAAGATTGTATCCTACATGTAAAAAGTCAAAATGGATATTTCATGTCTGTTAGAGATTGATTTTCTTTAATATATATATAATAAATACAATTCAATTCAGTGTCCCTCATGACAGGAAGAAACCTCCAGCAGAAGCAGGCTTAGGACAAGCTGCCATCTGCTTCAACCTGCTGGATTTGAGAGGACAGGAAAGAGAAACGGACACAGAATGGCAGGTCCAGGATGGAGGCGAGCAGGTGAGCAGGTCCTCACTAGGATGAAAGCTAAAAAACAACACATGTTAACATAGACTGTGATGGACTTGCGACCTGTCCAGGGTGTACCCCGCCTCTCACACAGTGATGGCTGGACATGGGCACCAGTGACCCCCGTGACCCCACAAAAGGAAGAAGCAGGTAAAGATAATGGATGGATGTTAAGATAGAAACATTTACAAATACAAATTATTCATTTGTAAATATTCATTTGATGAAATGAGGTCAATTTATCCTCCAGTAGTCTCAGTCTATAGCAGCACAGCTAAGGGATAGGTCAGGAAACCCAAGCTGACCCTTACTATAAGATTTGTCAAAAAGGAAAGACTTGAGCCTAGTTTTAAAACTGGAAAATGTGTCAGACTTATGGACAGAATTTGGAAGGTGGTTCCACGTGAGAGGAGCCCAGTAACTGAAGGCTCTGCCTCCCATTCTGCTTTTGGAAACTCTAGGCGGTCATCTTGAATGAAGTTGACTAAATGCTGCAGAAGAACATTCACTTATCAATTTTTGAGATATTTAAAAAAAATCAGTTTACTGGTTCATGAGATGTTTTGTTAAAAGACAAACAAACAAACCAAACCAAATACACACATTTCCAATGGCGTTGGCTGCCAATAACACATTTAAGCAGTCATAATTGATGGACAAACTCCTCCATATTTAACGTTTGAACATGTCGTGATTCAAATGGGTTTTATCTAATCACTAACACTACCTCTGAGCCTATCATCCATTTGTCCACCACAAAATATTTGGTGAATACTGTATGATTCACAGTTTGGACCAGTTCAGAAACCTGTCTGCGAGACAACGCGCAGGCTTTAAAAACCCACACACAACTGCCCATTCTGCGCATGCGTGAACAAATAATAATAATAATAATAATGAGCCGCTTTGGAATTTATTGTGTATTTCTCTTCTTGCTATTTAAAAGCCCGAGTCTAATTCTTTTCCTGTGTTTCGCCATATATGTTTACATTCATTACCGAACGCGATAATACAACAAGACGAAAGAATGGGTTAAATGCTGATTAAAAAAATGATGGTACATGCTGTGTATTTACAAACGTCATGGTCCAACACGGTTCTTCTCCCGTCCTTGTCTCAGCGGCTGAGGCTGAAGTGATGGACTGTGCTGTTCCCGTCCCGGAGGTCAGCACCCAAAACTGGGTCAAATCCTCTTACCGAGCCGCGATAAGAACCGCAGGATATGCGATAAGAGGTTTCTATAAATGACAGAGCAAGCATCAGTCTGAAGCTGAGGACCACGAACAGAGACAGACCAGGTAAGATCAAGATCTCGACTTTTTCACTTTAAAAGAGAACTAATATTTTAGTTTGGCTCCTCCAACAGGTGAAATAACCAGCATCAAATAAAGATTTGTGAAGATTATCTTGTTAAAGGTCTTCTCTTGACATTTCTCCAAATAAATCATTTAACTCCAATTTAATTACAGGAAGTCAATAAATAATCCTAATGGAGCACTGTACTTTTTGAGCAGTGGTTCCGCAAAGTGGAGTTTGGTTCTTATAATAAAATTAAAACAAGATTTCAAATTGCTGTTTTGAGTTTTCACTATGACACTGTTTGAAGGTGTTGTGGTTTTTATATGGCACATGATGCAGAGGTACCAGAGAGAACCAAGCTGATAACACAATAAAACAACATCAGGGGAAACAGACTACAATTCTGCAAACAAACAATGGGTTCTGACTATGATGTGAGGTGTGTGTGTGTGTGTGGGGGGGGGGGGGGGGGATTGCTGAGTGAGTGCAGCTGGGCAGATTAGCAAATGAGGGGCAGGTGAGTCCAGGGATAGCCATAATAAGTGACACAGAGAAAACTGAACTGAAAACATCCTGAACACAGAGAATCTATTAAAAAACACACACACAGTCAAGTAACTGCACTCATCAAAACAGCACAATCATGACATTAATTGGCTTTTTAGGCTTTTTTGCAACATATATTCACTTTAATCTGTATTTATAAGGGACAGAAGTCTCTGCTGGTGTTTGTTTTTAAGCTGATATGTGTTAAAGCCACTGCTTTAGAAAAACAGATATATCGTATTGGTATATTATGTCAATATGACTCAACCACAGCTTAAAATTACATTTTGTTTTCCTTACGTTGTTGCTATAGCTACTTATTAGAAGTCATAGACAGTTAGGAGTAATAAATTAACAACATCATGTAATAATGGAAGTGTAGCACGTCTGAATTGTGCTTATACCTACTGTATAAACTGAAATTCATGATGATAATCAGAATCAACATCATATAATGAAAGTAGTCTTCCTTGAAGGAATTCTTATCGAACAAAGGCGCTGTCTGTTTGTGCTTATGTGCTGGAGGTGACTCTCAGCTGCTATACACCAAATTTATCTCAATAACTGTAAAAAAAAAATAAAAAAAAAATAGCAGAGCTAAAGACATTTTTGTGTTTAAGGTCAGTCTGTTGTAGGTGTACTGTACGTTATTTGCTGTCGCAAAAATGTTATCACTGGTTTAGGAAATATTTTGCTAACACAAATGCAGGAAATTACATGATTGTCCAACTATCTGGACATCAGGTAATAAACAACATGAATTCACCTCCCTCAAGTATATTTTGAATGCATTTTCTATTTGTGCAGTAGTCGTATGATCTTGTTTTATATTTTAGCCAACAAGATCTTGTTCAGTCTATTCATGACAAATATGATCTACATGTACATACAGTGCCTTGTGAAAGTATTCGGCCCCCTTGAACTTTTCAACCTTTTGCCACATTTCAGGCTTCAAACATAAAGATATAACATTTTAATTTTTTGTGAAGAATCAACAACAAGTGGGACACAATCGAGAAGTGGAATGAAATTTATTGGATGTGTCAAACTTTTTTAACAAATAAAAAACTGAAAAGTGGGGCGTGCAATATTATTCAGCCCCTTTACTTTCAGTGCAGCAAACTCACTCCAGAAGTTCAGTGAGGATCTATGAATGATCCAATGTTGTCCCAAATGACTGATGATGATAAATAGAATCCACCTGTGTGTAATCAAGTCTCCGTATAAATGCACCTGCTCTGTGATAGTCTCAGGGTTCTGTTCAAAGCGCAGAGAGCATCATGAAGACCAAGGAACACACCAGGCAGGTCCGAGATACTGTTGTGGAGAAGTTTAAAGCCAGATTTGGATACAAAAAGATTTCCCAAGCTTTAAACATCCCAAGGAGCACTGTGCAAACAATCATATTGAAATGGAAGGAGTATCAGACCACTGCAAATCTACCAAGACCCGGCCGTCTTTCTAAACTTTCATCTGGAACAAGGAGAAGACTGATCAGAGATGCAGCCAAGAGCCCCATGATCACTCTGGATGAACTGCAGAGATCTACAGCTGAGGTGGGAGAGTCTGTCCATAGGACAACAATCAGTCATACACTGCACAAATCTGGCCTTTATGGAAGAGTGGCAAGAAGAAAGCCATTTCTCAAAGATATCCATAAAAAGTGTTGTTTAAAGTTTGTCACAAGCACCTGGGAGACACCAAACATGTGGAAGAAGGTGCTCTGGTCACATGAAACCAAAATCCAACTGTTTGGCCACAATGCAAAACGATATGTTTGGCGTAAAAGCAACACAGCTCATCACCCTGAACACACCATCCCCACTGCCAAACATGGTGGTGGCAGCATCATGGTTTGGGCCTGCTTTTCATCAGCAGGGACAGGGAAGATGGTCAGAATTGATGGGAAGATGGATGGGGCCAAATACAGAACCATTCTGGAAGAAAACCTGTTTGAGTCTGCAAGAGACCTGAGACTGGGACAGAGATTTATCTTCCAACAAGACAATGATCCAAAACATAAAGCCAAATCTACAATGGAATGGTTCACAAATAAACGTATCCAGGTGTTGGAATGGCCAAGTCAAAGTCCAGACCTGAATCCAATCGAGAATCTGTGGAAAGAGCTGAAGACTGCTGTTCACAAACGCTCTCCATCCAACCTCACTGAGCTCGAGCTGTTTTGCAAGAAGAATGGGCAAGAATTTCAGTGTCTCCATGTGCAAAACTGATAGAGACAAACCCCAAGAGACTTGCAGCTGGAACTGCAGCAAAAGGCGGCACTACAAAGTGTTAACGCAAGGGGGCCGAATAATATTGCACGCCCCACTTTTCAGTTTTTTATTTGTTAAAAAAGTTTGACACATCCAATAAATTTCATTCCACTTCATGATTGTGTCCCACTTGTTGTTGATTCTTCACAAAAAATTAAAATTTTATATCTTTATGTTTGAAGCCTGAAATGTGGCAAAAGGTTGAAAAGTTCAAGGGGTCCGAATACTTTTGCAAGGCACTGTATTTCTTCATATTTTTCAGCATCAACTGATTTGTTTTTGTGTGCTCTCCACAGTTCTCTGGTGACTCTCTGCTCTTCGTTCCAATGGGTCTCCTCATGTCTGCTTGGCTGTGTGGCCGAGCTCCTGACTGCACTCCATCTTCTTTCGCCTTCGTCCCGCTCGCCGTCCCGACCTCCTCACGCCTCGCACTCACTCTGAACTCTAGTCCAGTTTCCCCAGGAGACAGACGCTCACACTGGAGCTCGTCCCACCGCTCTCCTCACTTCCTGCTCTCTCCCTGCAAACAGGAAGTGATGCGCTCACCTGCGGAGCTCAGCAGCGATGGTGTGAGGGCGGAGGCCGGGGTGAAGAGCGGCCTTCATGTGTGGGAGCTAATGTGGAGTCCCAAACACAGAGGAAGTCATGCAGTAATGGGGGTTTCAAGGCAGGACTGTCCTTTGCAAGACTCTGGATATAAAGTGCTGGTGGGAGGAGACTCTCAGTCTTGGGGATGGGAACTTAAAACCAATCAGCTCTGGCATAGTGGGCAGACTTTAGAGTGCTACCCAGGTAAAAAGAGGAGGAGGTGCCTCTCTCAGGCTGCAAGCATTTCAAAACCACAATCCATCAGTTCTGTCAAAGAGGCGGAGACGCCTTTTCTCATTCCTGAGCGTGTCCTGCTGGTCCTGGATGCCGACGCAGGGACTCTGGGGTTTGTTGTTGACGGCAGCTTCCTTGGTGTAGCATTTAAGGGCCTTCCCACTGGGGTGGAACTGTTCCCAGCAATAAGCAGCGTGAGAGGAGGAGCCAGCATACGACTACGCTATCTGAACGGCACCACATGCGAGTATTACCAAACGTTCAGTATTATAAAAAATATTAACTTAGAATAGTAAAATACTCTCTCCTTCTTTTGTTCACAGGTAATCCCCCGGCCCTGATGGCTTTATGTGGACTGTCAGTTCTTCAGTACTTAGGACAGCGAAGACAGAATCAAACAGACAAATTGCCTTTACCACCTCTCCTCCAGCGTTACCTGCTTTCATGCAAATAGCATGCAATTCACTTTACTGCATTAAATCCTTTTAATGCAGTTCCATTTGATTTGAGGCAACTGTCGCCTTGCAGCAAAAAAGTTGCAAGTTCACCTATCGGCCTGGAGTTTGTATGTTCTCCCTGAGTACAAGTGGGTTTTCTCCCGGTAGTCCAGTTTCTTCCTGCAGAACAAAAACATGCATGTTAGGTTAATTGGTAACTCTAAAAATGTCTCTGGGTGTGAGTGAGAGTGTGCATGGTTGTTTGTCTAATTTGTCTCTATGTGGTCCTTTGATGGACTTGGACCTCTGTTGCCTCTTGCACAGTGACTGCTGAAGATGGGCACCAGCTCCCACGCTACCCAGAAAGGAAAACAAAAATGGGTAAAGAAGATGGATGGATATAAATGGATGACATTATCTTCAAAACAAAGGATTTTAGTTATTCTTATTTTGTTAGCAAATGCATGTAAACCTTTTAAAATTGCCTGTGAATATCATTACCATTAGAAAAGTGGGATTTTTTTTTAGCAATATTGTTTTGTAAAATTTGTAGTACATTATTTGATGTGAAAATAAATATTTTACGTTTGAATAAAAGTCGTTGTTTTTACTTTTTTATTTTGGCTTAACCAGTGCAAGCGAATAGCATTGCTTTATACATTTTACAACAGTTAAGTGCAGAAATTTTAATGAGCTTGAAGTTTGCTGGTGTAAATTCCCAGGACATTGTGAACACATAAATAAAACAACTGTCCGGGGAGCTCTCTCAATTCAAGCCTTTACATTAATATTTAAAGACTTTTACACTTGTTTTGCCTTCACAGAAATAAAAAGTAAAGCGTTAATAAATTTGTTTAAATCCCCAAAAGTACAATTTCCTTGTTTTCTCCTAAACGTAGCACCAGTCCAGCTCGCTGTCGTCATAGCAACGAGGGGAAGAAAAAAAAGCTCGCGCATGGAAGATTGCGCATTTATGGGTTTTAAAGTAAGACTATGTTTTCTCCTTGTATGAAACAACATTTAAACGTTTATGTGTCATGTTGGTGTTGCTACTAAAGCCGCAGCAAATAATTGTAAGTATTCTTTGTTTAGTGAGATATGTAGTAATGAAAGCTCAATTTAGCTAGCGTACGTTAGCATAAAACTTGCTAACCACAGCAACCTTTATGCAAAACTTCAAAGAAAATACACTTCAAATGCAAAAAAATATGGTTATGATTAATGAAGGTTTAAATTTTAACACACACACACACACATTTTTTTTTTTTTATATATATATATATATATATATATATATATATATATATATCTATATCTAATGTACATACACAGTGATGCTTGAATGTTTATGAACCCTTTAGGATTTTCTATATTTCTGCATTAATATGACCTAAAACATCAACAGATTTTCACAAAAGTCATAAAAGTAGATAGAGAACCCAGATAAACAAATGAGACAAACATATTATACTTAATCATTTATTTATTGAGGAAAATTATTACATATTTGTGAATGGCAAAACCTTTGCTTTCAGTATCTGGTGTGACCCTGTGCAACGATAACAATGTTTCTGGTAACTTGATCAGTCCTGCACACCGGAGGAATTTATTTATTTATTTATTTATTTTTTTGTTACCTTTTCCTTTTAGCCATCCTATATGTTTAAAAAAAAAAAAAAAAAACCTGCAGTATGACTTTTTATAACTGTTTATTGTTGTTGCTGTTGTCCATTGTTGTCATCTTTCTTTGTTGAAATCAGGCCTCTCTTGTAAATGAGTCCTCGAGGCTCAATGGGATTTACCTGTCTAAATAAAGGTTGATTGATAGTTCATTCCTTCATACAGAACAGCTTCAACTGAGATGTTTGTGGGTTTCCTCACATTAACTGCTCATTTCAGGTCCTTCCACAACATTTTGACTGAATTAAGGTCAGGACTTTGACTTGGCCATTCCAAAATATGAACTTTATTCTTCTTGTGCTTAGGGTCATTGTCTCGCTGCGTGACCCACCTTCTCTTGAGATTCAGTACATGGACAGATGTCCTGACATTTTCCTTTAGAATTCTTTATAATTTATACTTCATTGTTCCATCAATGGGCAGCATGGTGGTGCAACTGGTAGAGCTGCTGCCTCTCAGCGAGCAGGTCCTTGGTTCAAACCCCGGTCCAGGGGCCTTCTGGGCATGCGCGGGTTTTCTCCGGGTGCTCCGGTTTCCTCCCACAGACCAAAAACATGCATGTTAGGCTGATTGGTAACTCTAAATTGTCCCTAGGTGTGAGTAAGAGAGTGAATGGTTGTTTGTCTCGTTTGTCTCTATGTGGCCCTGTGATGGACTTGCGACCTGTCCAGGGTGTACCCCGCCCCTCGCACAGTGATTGCTGGACATGGGCACCAGCGACCCCCATGACCCAAAATGGAATAAGCGGGTAAAGATAATGGATGGATGTTCCATCAATGATAGTAAAGCCGTCCTGTCCCAGATGCAGCAAAACAGGCCCAAACCATGATACTACCACCACCACCGTGTTTCACAGATGGGATAAGATCTTATGCAGGAATGCAGTGTTTTCCTTTCTCCAAACATATCACTTTTCATTTAAACAAAAAAGTTCTATGTTGGTGTCATCCATCCACAAAACATTCTTCCAGTAGCCTTTTGGCTTGTCCACGTGATCTTTAGCAAACTGCAAATGAGCAGCAATGTTCCTTTTGGAGAGCAGTGGCTTTCTCCTTGCAACCCTGCCATGCACACCATTGTTGTTCTGCTGATGGTGGACTCATGAACATTAACAATAACCAAGTGAGAGAGGCCTTCAGTTGCTTAGAGGTGGGGTTCTTTGTGACCTTGCCTTGCTCTTGGAGTGATCTTTGTTGGTCAACCACTCCTGGGAAGGGTATAATGGTCTAAAATTTCCTCCATTTGTACACAATCTGTTTGACTGTGGATTGGTGGAGTCTAAACTCTAGAGATGGTTTTGTAAACTTTTCCAGCCTGATGAGCATCAACAACTTTTTTTTTTTCAGAAGTCCTCAGAGATCTCCTTTATTCGTGCCATGATACACTTCCACAAACATGTTGTGAAGAGCAAACTTTGATAGATCCCTGTTCTTTAAATCAAACCATTATTACCTGACTATAATTTCACCTTCAAATTAACTGCTAATCCTAGAGGTTCACATACTTGTGCCACTCACAAATATGTAATATTGGATAATTTCCCTCAATAAATAAATTACAAAATATAATATTTGTCTCATTTGTTTAACTGGGTTCTCTTTATCTTCTGTACTTTTGTGAAAATCTGATGATGTTTTAGATCAGATTTATGCAGAAATATAGAAAATTGTACAGTGTTCGCAAACATTCAAGTGCCACTAGAGAGAAAGTTTTATTATAAAAAGACAAAAATACAAAATTTTCTCTACACCAAAGATTGATTCAACCAACATGACAATGTTTGTATAAAATAAATTAAATCAATGGATGAAAACAAACTGTGAAACGTATTAACATGCCAAACGATTTGATGTGTTGACCCCTCACCTAGCACATTGGAATAAAAATAAACTTCTCAGGAAAAACACAAACAACAAACAACCCACAGTGATGAATGTTAATATTCTAGTTATATTTATATGGGTAAATAGACAATTCCTAATAGCCTTTTTTAAGAGTATAATATCACTTTGAGTGAGCCATTTTTTTGTAGCGTAATGGCAGCCGCTCCCGAGGATCTGAGAAGTGGAGGGATACTTTTTGGGGGCAGAAATGAAGATGACCAAGAGGAGGATGACACACCTGCGGTAAGATGCTCACATTCAGCAACTGAATCTATTGATTTCAATCGTAAAAGGAACTCATGTATTCATGTGACTATTTCTAGGTTTTATTGAGTGTTTTAGTGCAACATGGGCAGTTGGGCCTCTGCTTCTATGACAGTGAAGACTCTTCTTTACATTACATGGCAGATACTTCTGATAACCATGATCTCCAACTGTTGGACAGAGGTAAACAAATCACTAATAGCCTCTAATAGAATGCCAGTGTTGTCATTAACACAGGCTCAAGCTTATATTTTGATGTATCTACACTTAAAGATTAAATCATAGTTATATTTTTAGACTAATTTGTGATTTACTTTTTTGGCATTTTGTTTACGTCTTCAGTCATTCAGGAGGTTAAGCCCCATGTGATCATTACCAGTGCAAAGCAGGAACGATGCATGACTCACTACCTGAAACAACTTGGTGAGCTCTGCAAAGCAAAACTTATCTTTGGTTGGGGAAGTGGAATTAAAAACATGCTGAAGAGTACTTTATTTTCATGAGAAGTGGAACGAGTTGTTTTTTGGGTCAAGGGAATGTAATGAGATTAGAGATGTCTGACACTGTAGCCAAGAAGAGTGATAAGGAAAGATTGATTTTACTGTTGTTGTGTACTACATTTACTTTTGATGAGCAAACCTAACATGGCACAAAAATAGGGCTTCTGGTAATCTTTTTTTTCCTCTTTGATTTCAGGGTCTAACCTACAATATAAACCAGAGGTGGTTATTTATCCAAATGCTGATTTTGGTTAGCAATTGCTCATCTACATATATATTTTTTTAATTTTTCTGTTACTTGGGTTGTTTTGTGCTTAGTCTTTATAACTGCCACTAATTGTGCTTTAATTTTGAACTCTTCAGGTCTGGAGGTTGGTAAGCAGAGACTACTCTCTGCCCACTTGCCTTTCCTTCCAGGCAGCATTTCAGATGGAGACAAAATGTCCTATCTTACATCCTGCATCACTTTTGATTCACCCCTGATGGTGAGCCAGCTTTCTGTATTATCTTCCCACCTTCCAACCTCTGCAGAAGCTGATCCTAAACTACTGTGTCCATCACTCTCCTGCATTTAGAAGTGTTTGTTCATTTGTTGGTTAGCTTAGGGCTGTTGGAGCTCTGCTAAAATGTCTGGACAGGAGGAGAGTGGGAGTAGAACTGGAAGACAGCAGTGTTGGAGTTCCAATTCTGCAGTTTCATGCCTACACACTGTGAGACACAAAAACATCTAGTTAAACACACACATACACACACACACAATAGACTGTTATATTCTTTCCATAAAATAGAGCTTTTAAAGTCTGAAAGTTTTTGGAATGCATTTGTGACTAATTGTTTTCATTTGGAAATTATATCTACTATCCACCAACAAACCAAAGCTGCCAAATGTGATTCAGGTGTTTGTATGAATGAAAAGTGTTCCTTCGCTGAAGCATTTGTTTCTTCTTAATATAGTAAAGGTGTGGTGTACATTGACAGAGACACTTACAGGTAAGTTAGTAAATATTTCTTTTGAAGATTATTCTGGTCTGTTGATCTTCAGGTCTCCCTCTCAAGTGTATTTTTTTTCTCCATCCCTGATTCTAGTAAATGGGTTAAGTCTTTGGTGCTTCATTAAACTCATCAGAGACTTAACAAATGACACTTAATGCATTTAGTTGTTGGAGCAGAGAAAAGTGCCAAACATGCAGGGCAGGACTGAGAACCTGGTTTGGGAAACGTATTAATTGTGATTTTGTATACAGCAAAATTCACATTAAGGCTGTTAGTTCAATATAAATCAAGTGAAAGCTTAATTTTTCCCAAACATTTTTGTAAATCTTTGTAAAAATGTCATAGGTAAGGATTTTGTATTTGTTCCAGTGTACTACAAATTTTCAAATCAGATCTGCATCCGTCAGTGTACAAGCTGCAATCAGGTGAAAAGGAAGGCCTCAGTCTTTATGGTATGCATGCCAATCATAGAAATTCAGAATGTATTGCCTTTCCTTTTTAAAAATGTTAACGTGAAATCCTGTTTTTGTTATTTGTGTTATTTTGTGTTTTGCAGGAATTCTAAACCGCTGTAAGAGCAAGTCTGGGTCCAAACTTCTACGGTATGATTTACACAACATGAAATCACATCAAAAGGGAATATTTTGATTTTGATTAATTGCTTAAATATAAACCCAACATGTTTGTCTTGTTCTCTTTTGACAGTCAGTGGTTTCTTCGCCCTACTCAAGAACTGACTGTGTTACGCAGAAGACAGGAAGTGATACGTTTCTTTTCTTTACCGCGACACTCTGACATCCTGAAAACACTGCAAGCCTCACTGCGCAACATCAGAAACATACCAGTAACGTTCTCCGCATCTATTCCCCCTTATCACGATTTATCACCAAATGACATCATCAACCTAAACTAAGTTTACACATACAGCTGTGTGTCTGTGTGCATGTAGGGTGTCCTGCGTCGTATGACTCTCTCCAACAGCAAAGTGACTGACTGGCAGAGTCTCTACAAGGTTGGAAACAGTACATTGTTTCTCCAAGTGTCTTTGCTATATAAAGGTTCTGCTAAATGTAGATAAGTCAGTGTTTTTCTGTTTCTGTCTCAGACGGTTTGCAGCGCAGTGTGTATCAGGGATACGGTGCGAAACCTGCCTCAGTCCGTTCACCTCTTTCATGATATCAGCGAAAGGCTCTCTGATGATCTCCACTATATCGCCAATCTCATCAGCCGAGTTGTGGGTGGTTTTTACACAAGAACACACATTCGTTGAGGCTGTCTAGCGTTTTTGTCAGTAGATTAGAGTCGACAGGGGTGGTTGACTTCCAATGTTAATGACTTTAAGAATATTTCTGTAGGTGGATTTTGAAGCCAGTTTAGAAGAGAATCGCTTTACCATCAAACCAAACATCGATCCCGCCATCGATGAGAGTGAGTCTTCTGAATTACCCGCTCAGTTATCCGCTAATTTGAGCTTTTTATGCCCTGAGCCCTGCGCCGTTCACACTGTGTCCTCCTGTCAGAGAAGAGGAGGATGATGGGGCTGTCAGATTTCCTAACAGATGTTGCCAGAAAGGAGCTTGAAAACCTGGACCCTCAAATCTCCTCCTGCTGTGTCATTTACATCCCCCTGGTCAGATATTTACTTCACCATAGCTACTGCTTCAAACACATGTTTTTTTTTCAAAAACTTACTTAGATATATGCGTTGTCTTTGTGCTAATTATCTAATTATGATTGAGAGTAAACGTGTCCTTTCAGATTGGATTCCTGCTCTCTGTGCCTCGGCTGCCTAGCATGGTGGAAAAGGAGGATTTTGAAATGGCAGGGCTTGAATTTATGGTGTGTTTATAACCTTGTTTTTTGGGGGGAGGTTGTCATAAAATGACTAAATTAGTTATCTCCTACTGCTCTTTATATTATTGTTGTACGTATTTGTCTAAACTGTATGTGTGTGGGTGGATTAGTTCCTCTCAGGGGACCGACTGCATTACCGCAGTCAGAGAACCAGGGAGCTGGACAACCTCCTAGGAGACCTGCACTGTGACATTAGAGGTCTTTTATTTTCTTTCATAAATATTAGTATTCCTGATAGCTGCACAACTTAAACCTCAAGATGCTTTCCTTGATGGTCCTGTTTCTCAGATATGGAGATGGCAGTGATGACCCAGTTGCAGAACACAATCCTGGAGAAGAGCACTTCTCTGTATCAGGTTGGTGGGCGTCACTTAGCACATCTAGGTTACAATGTATAAAACCCGACTCCCACTCTGATGAAATAATAGCTGGCCTCAGCGTAACACTTTAAATATGTGTAGGTGGATTCCGTTGTGATTAACTTTTTCCTCGTGTAAAATAATTTGCTCAGTTTTATAAGAAAACCCGAGTCCTGATGCTGAAGCAGATTCCCATCAACAGTTGTGAAATGTGGATGTTAAATATTTGTTTCATTTTTTAAAAGCAGAAAACACATCAAGGTTTTTGTTTACACTTTATGTAACAAAAAGTCACAAACCACAGCAGTTACTCCAAAGTCTACTTCTACTGTAGTTTCCATATCTGCTTTGCATTTTCTAAATCACAAAATTTTACCAAAACATTAGTTTTAAGTGGAGACTTCCACCTCTGCCATATCATCCAATACACTTGATTTGTGTGTGATGAAGAAGTCCTTTCTTTCTTTCTTTTTTTTGTTGCATTTAATTTTAGGTTTTGGACCTCACAGCTGAGCTGGACTGTCTGATGGCCATGAGCAGTGCATCTCAGGAATACAGCTACACCTCGCCCAAGCTTACCAGCCAAAGAAAAATTTCAGTCATACAGGGCAGGTAAAAACATACACAAAAGAGTCAAATTACTAATACTACGCTGATCATAGACAATGGAACAAGAGCCTAGATACAAGCAGCTGAATGAGCTCCCTTAACCAGGCTCAGCCTTAGAAGTAGGGTGTTGAGATTTATTGTCATGGGGCAGCTCGGGGTAGAGATGCCTCTTCTTCTAATAGAAAGGAGTCAGTTGAGGTGGTTCAGCCATCTGATTAGGGTGCCTCTGGAACACCTCCCTTTGGAGGTTTTCTGGTCATGTCTCACTGGGAAGAGACCCCAGGACAGACCCAGAACTTTCTGACTTTCTGGAGGGATTTTGCATCCTCTCTGACCTGGGACCTTAGGATTTCCCAGAAGGAGCTGAAAAGTGTCACTGGAGAAAGGGATGTCAGGGTTTCCCGTCTGGAACTTTTACCTCCTTTACCCAATCATGAATTAGCAATAGAAGATAAATGGATGGATTACAAAGCAGATTATGCTACTTTTCTGTAATTATTGATCTTTCAGGCATCCACTACTGGAACTGTGTTCCCCTGTGTATGTGGCCAACTCCTTCCAGAGCTCTGAATCCGAAGGCAGAGTTAAGATCATCACTGGCCCCAACTCTTCTGGCAAGAGCATCTACCTCAAACAGGTAGCAACATCTGCAGCATGCAAGTACTGTGTATCAATACCAGCTACAATAATAAAGATGATTCTTTGACACTGGTTTGCTGATGAGGGTTCTGTTTGTGTAAGAGACACAGGTAAGAGGTAACAGGTCTCTGTTTTGATTTTTCCAGGTGGCTCTGATTGTGTTCATGGCTCTGATCGGCTCAGACGTCCCAGCAAAGGAGGCAGAGATTGGTATGATGGATGGGATCTTCACCCGCATGCAGAGCAGAGAGTCCATCTCTGTGGGCCTCAGCACCTTCATGATAGATCTCAATCAGGTACGTCTCATGTACAGTTTAACACACGCACATGTCAGTATTTGTGCGGGTGTACAAATTCCAACACTCCTGCCCTTTAGCTCCTCTCCCACTCTCCACCTGTTGAATGTTTTTTAAGAAGCACTGGTTGTTCTTCCTACAGCCTTCACAAACAAACAATAAAAGTGTTAAATAACAGTTTGTTGCTCTTTCCCCCCCACAGATGGCCCTGGCTCTTAACTCCAGTACTGGGAACTCATTGGTGCTCATCGATGAATTTGGAAAAGGAACTAACTCAGTAAGAGAATTTGTCCCACTTTTTGAATTAGGTACAAATATATACACATACCAAAATATCTGACAAAAATATAAACCTTCAACCCATCTAATGCAAAAAAGTAGTCTGTTTAGTCTAAAAACTGTTTTTTTCTCACCTCTAACAGTTAACATGAAGTCTTGCTGGGATGATGGAAATAGAAAAAGAAAAAACTGCTCATAGTTTTATTCATCTCTCCCATCACTGGATAGACACATCCAATAAATAAAACACATCTAATAAATAAAAACAGTAACAACTTGCACGATGAGTAAAACCCATCTTTACTCCATAAATATAAATAAAGAGCAACATGCATCACCTTATTGTTGCAGTGTGATCGGGTCAGTGATGTTGTTAGACAATTAAATCTAAAATCTCAATTAAACCTTGTAACACATTTTTCTAAGGACGAGTCTGGCAGTAACTTTTCTTTCTGTCTGTCATGTCATATAGTACCATTTAATGCCACACAGGACAAGCTGTTATCAGGAAAAAATCTTGTCAAATTTTTATTTTGGCCTGATTAGCGTAATAAAAAAAAATATCTGAGCGACAAGCCACATCCAGATCCAAACCAAAAATATTTGATTACTGAATACTATCCTAATGAGTTCAAATGTATCTCTATAAATGCCAGATCTGTAAATAAGCAACTGTTTGCCTAATAAAAATCTAAATGGATAATTAAGTTCATATGTGTTGAATTCACAACTTGTTGCTGCACTGAAGACAACAAATGTGTAGAATTGTGGCCTGCAGGTGTCACAAGTGCCACGACTGATTAATTTGTTGCATATTCTGTCAGATTATACAAACCTATGCTCATTTTTTTATTGTTCGGTATTAGAATTTAGAATAAAATCCCCCTACAGAGCTATTAGTTGCTAATATTGATTATCTTTCTTCAAGGTGGCACCTGTTGGCATTTACTGATGCACTTAAAGATTAAAAGATGACAAAACAGTAAATGTTTATTTTGATGCGTCAAGTAGAACACAAGTACATTGTAATTCAGTTGCAGAGCAGATTTAATTTTGATTACCGGTACTTATCCTGTAACATTTTACATTTTCATCATTTCAAATAGGATGCTTTATTAACATTTTGTTGTCCAAAAAAATTAAAAAAAAAAAGGGAATCTGATTATTTAACATTTCTTCTGCAGACCAGTTTTTAGATTGGTTGTGTCAGTTGCTTTATTTCTTACAGCAGCTCAGTCTTACACTATCAAATGTTTGTCTAAAAACATGAATTACAACAGAAGAGTTTGACCAGCAGCAGCAGAATAACGTTATTGTTCCCTGCTCAGGTGGATGGCCTGTCTTTACTGGCTTCATCAATCTCTCACTGGCTGAAGAAGTCTCTGGTAGATGTTCCTCACATCTTGTTGGCGACCAACTTCCACAGTCTGCTGCAGCTGGACCTGCTACCAACCAGTGGCCTTCTGTCGTTTCTGGTAGAGAAACAAACTGACCAAGCCTTAGCCTGAGGCATTTGTGTTTAATGATGACTAAAGGATAGTTTTGATGACATAAACGTCCAAATAACTAGTTAGATCTCATTTTTTTTAACCCTTGTAAATATGACAAAGTGATTAAATGCCTGTCATGTGTTTTGGGTAGACTCTGGAGACGGCCGTGAATGGAGATGAGTTGGTCTTTCTGTTCCAGCTGAAGGAAGGAATTTGCCAGTCCAGTTATGCTGCCAACATTGCTACACTGGCAGGTCTGCCAACTTGTCTTGTACACAGAGCTGTGGAGGTCAGCACACACACAGATATAAACACACACACATGCAGAAAGTCGCAGAAACAAACCTCGCTGAGCACATGTTCATGTTTGTTAAGGTGTCTGAGCATTACAGGACAGGGAAGCCCATCAAACACATTGACAAAGCATCATCAGATGAGCAGACCAAGAGGTTTGTCAAACTTTATTTGTATAAAATGAGAATGAAGCAAGTGTGTGAGACAAGAAAGTGTGTGTATATGTAACAGGTGCAGCTCTGTGGTGGCGAGGTTCCTGAGTCTCGACCTGGAGGACAAAGATTTGGATCTGCAGAGTTTTATGAAAGATGAGCTCCTGCCCTCTGCTGGAGAGAAGCTGAACCACAGCTGAACTCCTGCTGCAGCTGACATGTTTCCACACCTCTGTGGTCAGTGCGTTCAGTGATTATGAAATGTTTGAGGTTTGTTTTGAAAAGCAGCAAGATTTCAGTGAAGTTCACCTGCAGACAAAGTACAGATATGACAAATTTATGACAATAATTCCATTTAAATTACACAAAAGTATTTGTGTTCAACTGGGTTTTAATGGGTAATGTAACATAAAAGAAAACATGGGCTTGCTTTAATACAACAAATATATTTTCAGGTGTTCAGTACAAAACAAAATGAATGGGTTTATTTAGTCACTTAATAAATCATATAAAAACAATTAAAATATTTGTTATATTTGTTGTCTACTTTGTAAGTCAGTACAAAAACTGGTACCACTGAAGGTGCCCTTTACAAAGACTTTATTAATGCTTAATAACTAGGTTAATCATGAGTTTGTGGACACTATGAAGCATTTACAATCTTTTATTAAACACTGTTCATATGTTAAAACTGCTCCTTACCTGGCAACATCAGGTGTGCTTTGATTCATTCAGGTAAATTGAATTTACTGCTGCTTGCTCAGTTTACTTTTTTAAACTAAATTAATGTTATGCCAAAAAACAACAACAATGGATCACAAATGCTCATCGTGTTTGCATGCAGGTAGTGACCAATGTTTGATATTGAAAATCTAAATGATGAAATGAATAAAACTACAGCACTTGGTCATGCCAAATAGTGAATCCATTTCAATATAAAACAGTGCTTTATAGCTACTTTATAAATGATAGTTAATGCTTTATAATGGGGCTCTTAGTGGAAAGTGGTACCCAGAATTTTTAAACCTAACCTAAATCCTTGGTCATATGATTAAAGTTCTTTCAGCGTAACTTAACACAATCTTTTCTTTTAAACAAAATTAAATGAATGCCCATTAATTATCATATCAAGGCCTCAGTAAGGTGCCAGGCAGTTATGAAAGTCACATGTAGATGCAACAGTGTGGGGACACTAAGTGTGTGTGCTGAGTTGCAGAACGGTGTGTTGCAGCAGGATCTGGTCATGACAAAGATGGTGCTGTTCAAAAAGAGCGTCACTGTTGTCTCCACATCGCACTCCTCCGCTTTTACACAACCCAGCATCTTAATGTCCAGAGCATCAGCTGAAGGGACAAGTTAACATTCAGCGTGGTCAGTACATGATTTTTAAATCCACCTGATCTTTTCTCACGTGTATAAGATTACAGATCACCGTGCTGTTTGACACACCTGCCTTTGCTCGGCCCGTGAAACAACGCTCCCCATGGCTGCATTTGGTTTCAGTCGTGTAGCAAGCATCCCAGAAGCCGAGGTCACACCGAAAACACTCAAGATAATCTTCCTCATCGTGTAATCCCATTGACTCCACGAGAGTTTCCAGCCTCTCCTCTTCCTCACCTGACCTCAAAGAACAAAAGTTGCACTAGGATTTTTATTTTTTCACATCGCTAAATGAAAAAGAAAACACTTAAATCAGTTTTATAACTTTAGCTGACCAACATAAATATGATTGTTTCAGACCTTACTTACTTGTTTGTTTATTTTTCAAGCAGATAAATCTGAGAGATTCAAAACTATTGAGTTCCTTTCTGCCAGAAGACACCTAGCCTAAGCTGCTGTAACCGCGATGAATTCTGCACAACAAAGTAGATTTAAATGAAATATTTTAAGCCACTTATGTAATCTAATAGTCTTTTTGACACGTTATTTTTGGGAGTGTTTAACCAGACTGTTCAACACATTCAGTTTAACACGTTAGCACGTCAGAAATGAACATTTTGTTTGTTCTGCTGCAGTCTGTAAAGTTGCTTCTTTGAGTAGATAACTTTTGATAGTCAGGAAAAAAACAACTCTACAAGTTTGTAGATTATACTGTGATATATTTTAGTAAGACAGTTAAAGGGAGATACCAGAGATGTTGTCAGGAGAATAAAATGCAAGAGTGAGACAAACTGAGTCCCACGTCTGTTATTCCTCTTAGTTTTAAACTCAAAGGCAAAAGTTTAGTTTTGATTTTCAAATAACTCTTATCTGTGAACAAAAATGTGCGGATCATTAGACGTTTTAGATTTCTTCCTGAGGGCCATTAGATGCGTGAGCTGCAGTCACAGCCCTTATCCCCGTTGATCCTGTTAGTGCTCGCTCAGTTTAACCAGCAGACAAAAGAGAGGTGAGGCGTGGCTCATTAGCAGGAAAACTACCTTTGTATCCTCAAACTCTAAATTTGTTTCTTGTAAATGTTTTGAATAGAGTTTTAATTCTGCAGACCTGCAGTATTTATTAGTTTGTCTTATTTAGTTTTGTTTTGATGAAGGTTATAAATGTAGAATTGTTTCAGTTGATAATTGAATCTTGTGATGAACTTGAAGATTTGTAGTAGTAAGACATGTTGCTGGGTTTTGTGTGCCCTTTTTACACAGGAAAATTAAGTTACGTCTCATTTGATCACAAGTACTTCTGCGAAAACCATGGAAGCAGAAGTTTTTATTAAAATATTCACAACAAAGTACAACTTGTTGAGGTACCAAAGAGCTTACTGTTGTAGAAATAATTTTTCTGTTTGCCTTTTTATTTGCAGTTTTTTGATGCAGTAAGCAGAAAACAAACTATTTTAACGACTCGCCTCCTTATGTGGTTGACATTTTTTGCTGTTTTTAGGTAAACAGAAAATAAAAAGTCACATTTATTTAAAGTTTATAAATGCATCATTTAGCACGTGTGATTGCAGTGAATTTAAATCATGTGTGCACCTATCAGAAATGTACTTGATGAGCTGTAAGGAAACTCATGGAGACAGATCCAGCTGTGTGTAAGTGCCTTAAAAGGACAACACAAACTCCCTTTAGTGGAAACCCAGGCTTACCTTGAGCAGGTGTGAGCGCTGAGATGGCAAAAACAAATAATATCAGTCCTTTCATTCTGAACAGGTGTCCGTCTTTGACTGGACCATGAGGACAGCTGAGATAGCCGGAAGCCGCACTGAAATTGGATTAGTGAGTAAAGCACTTGTCATACCTGCTGCAAGGCCTCAAACCAGTCACTGCAGAGATTTGCGGATTTGCTTCGGAAAAATTAAAACCCAATTAGAAGGGACTTTATGTTTCTCTTGATATCCAAAAATGTAATTTATTTTATGAGCAACATTATTGGAAAATTGTGTTTGTTCCACAGCTTTTACTGAAGAACAACAGGAGTGTTTTTCCACACACTTTCAGTTGATGCTTTTAACTTTCCGAGACGACTCTTTTCTGCCCCCTGAAGAAAAGTGACATTTAACGATTAACCTGTTTCAGTTTGAAGTTTTCAGTCTGTGGAACTGTGTTTGTACTGCGTCAGCGTACAGTTAAGCAGCTTACAGCTTCCTGTCCGTCTGCTAAGATATGTATCAATGCACACACACTCCAACACACACACCAGAGCACAATTCTCTGAGAGGAGAGGATTTGACTCAGTCATATTCTCTGTGCAGCAACAAAACCTGCGCTGCTGACTTATGTAACAACCAGTCAGATCTATGAGTGAGGAGCTTTACTCAAATGTGTGGCAGTGACTTATATGTGCTGACGCCGTTCCCTCTCATCAGTTTAGTGTCGGGATCAGAGACACCAAATGTATAAGCACTGGTTGTGGCGTTTGCAACGCAGCCAGTTTCTCTCCAAGTGCGAACGCGTGAGATCATCTCACACTGAGCTGGACTCCCATATGGGTGAGAGTGAAGAGTGGGCTGCTTTCTGCTGAAGATATTAAAGGACTGAATCAAGATTCCGAAGCACCTCGGAACAGTTCCTATACTATGGCTGCTGTTTTTAGCGTGTGAAACCAGTACAGATTATCGTACACTTCAGTTTCACTCTTCATCTGCATGGCAGGATCCCAGCAAGAGCCCAAACAACAAGGAAATACTCATCAGTCCTGAAGCACCCATAAAACCCTTTAAAGTTATCTCCAATGTAATTAGAGACTGAAGGAGAAAACGCTGGAGATAATTAAAATAACACCCCCCCCCCCCCCCCTTCCTGTTTAAACAGCTCATTTGGTACCTGCTAACATTTTCCTCTGCTTTGTTTTTTTTTTTTTCTTTATTACTATTTCTCAGCTGCCAAGGATTGAGATGGAGAAATGAGAATTTGAATAACGTGTAGGAATCAGATGATGATAAGAAGGAGGATGAAAGGTCGTGATGGTGGGAGAGCGAGGCCTCAGTTACTCAACGGTTTTCTCAGCTAAGCCACGTTAAGAATAAATCATAACAGCCTCGTCAGAATATTTTAATTTTTTATGATGTTGATCATTTCGTCTCATTCACTCCCACAACCACAAAGACAGAAATCCTAGCAGCTGAACATGGGAATCCAAAGGAAGTGTAAGAAATTCAAATCTTCAACATGTTCAGAGCTCCAGCTGGTATTTATAGCCTGGTTTGTAGGTGTCCAGTGAGCGCAGTGTGGTCTTATGTGCTGCTCTTATTTAGGCTGAAACCCCATCCCCCCCCCCCCCCCCAAGATAAAAACAAGATTGCACGCCAAGACTGCATGCGAGATGAGATTAAGACTCAAGCCAACCTCTCCACCCGGACAAAAGTCAAAAAGAGGGTGTTCATCTCAGAATGGCAGCAGGATAACTTGTCAGCAAACATCCCGTACATCCAATTATGGTCAAAGAAGAAAGGATTTTTGAGGCTACGACAACAAGATGGAGAGCTGACATCAAACATCATAGCTCCAACTTTTTAAAACTGTGAGTCAGGGGGGGACAAAAGGTCATCAGTAGTGAATCGGTGTGCCACTCAGGCACCAAAACACACCAATAAATATATTTCATCTTCTTTATTGAGGAATGCATAGGCTCGTGTGCTTGTTGTCAAGTTGGTGAAGTCAGTGCTGAGGCAGCTCGGAGTCTGTCCGTCCGTTCACGGTGATCTCACTCGATTTGGAGGAGTCTGAGTGGACAGAGCCGTGAGAGATGGACAGGCAGGGGGAGGGTGGGTGAGGAGTGGGCTCCTGGTGGTGCAGAACACGGGTCAGCAGAATGGACTTTCCTTTCTCCTCTTTTCTGTCTCCCTCCTCTCTGTTTGCACCTCCTGCGTCAGGAGGAGGTGGCAGTGTTGGTTTGCTGCTGGTGTTGTGTCTGTTGGAAGGAGGCGAAGGAGGAAACGGGGTGCTCTGGCTTGAGAGGGGGAGTATGTGAACCGGGGTGGCCCAAGAAGTCTGCTCTCCATCTGGATCTTGCGAGTCCTCCCAGCAGCTCCCCCCTTTCAGATCCTCCATGTCGTCAGGCATGTCTGCTGAGAGGGTCTCCCGGTCCCGGTTCTCGTACAGCAGCGTGGCGGCGCAGATGAAAATGAAGAGGCCCACTCCCATGACCACGGGACCGGCCAGCTTCATCCTCTCAATGTGGGTGCCACCACGTCTGCCCACCGGCTTTGGCCCTGCAGAAACGTAGCCCGCCACTGCTACGCACATGCCCACCAGCACCACCAGGGCTCCCAGCAGGAGCCACACGCCTGGAGCGGAGCCCAGGCGCAGTTTGCTTCCGAGGGCTTTGCTTTTCCTCAGGTGTCTGTGGCATGCTGGGAGGCAGACAGGTGAGGAGTGGGAGGAGGAGGTGGGGCTGCAGGCTGGACTGGCAGCTGTCATCCTCTGGCTTCAGACTAAACACAGAGGAGCACAAAACAAGCATGAACGCACTGAACTGAGCATCTGTGAGTGAGCAGAGAGAGGACAGTTTACCCTGCACTGCACACAACAGGAAATAGCTGTTTTAATAAGACATGTGGTCGAGTTAATGAGATGCCAACGTCTCTGCAGTTCCTCCCTGCGTGTCTCTGTGGAGCAACACACACGCCTCAGTCAGCCTGAACCAGAACTTCACCGTTACTGAACCGCTCTTAAGATTTCTCTCCACATCTCACTGCAGTCCTCGAGTCATGTCTCAACTGAACTCATAATCTCATCTCAAGTGGACACAAGGGGCGCTTCGAGTCCAAGATGATGCATTTCTGATCAAGTTGAACACCTGAAGTGCTTTTAGGCATGCATCTGTAGCGTTTTTGTAATAATTCATTTAGGCTTGGCAGCACTGTTGCTCATTGACTGACTTCCTCATCTGTATACATTCAGAGTGGATACTTGCCTTGCTTTGGATGTAAATCTGAAACAGAAGTTGGCTCCTCGGCATCATCAAAATACATAATCCAACTCCTCCACTTTGATTTACAGGAGATTCACACTTTCCCCAAAAAAATTCCTCCTATAGGATCTCCACTGTCTCCTGGTGTGTGAGTCAGAGCGATGCGCAACAGCAGAGCCTGAAATGTAGCTTTTATTGTAAATAAAAGTGGTGCAGCGCTGCTCTGCCTCTCTGTGTGTCTCCTCCGCGCTGTTTGCCTGTGCGCCTATGCAGCCTCTTCCTCAGTGTGTGTGAGTGTGTGTGTGTGTGGAGAGGAGGGGTCGTGGGAATCTGAGGCTGGTCCAGGCCAGTCCCACGGTGAGCCCAGTTATTTATTTTCTGCAATCATCAGCCAGCGAGGCTTTTTGAAGAAGTCACTTTCAAGCCTTCTAAATGCATAAAACATGAAGAGGAGGGGAGCAAAAAAATCAATCCCTCACTTGACTACAAATATGTACTCTGCCAATTTAAAAAAAAAACTAATTTTAAAAGAAATGCTTGTAGATTTTTTTTTGTTTGTTTTTAAACCAGAATGAAGTGACCCCTGGGATAAGTGGGCCAAAATCCTTCAGGTGGGTTCTAAGATATTTTACATTATCACCCTTTGGCTTTCAGTAGAGGACAATATCAATACATATTTATCAATTTGACATTAACCGTCTAGGACCTGGCATCCACATATGCAAGAGTTCATGTCTTAGGAGGTTAAACACATTTAAAGGGCAAATAACTTGGTTTTTATCTATTAAAATTGACAAAGCACATTTCTCCAGTTCTAGATACTCGTCAGTTGTTCCTAAGAGTTGTCTTGTGCACATGAGAGATGTTTTGCAGGCCAACAAAAAACCCTAACAACCTTTTAGGAGGGATGGGAGGGAGAGTGATTTGCATTCAAGTTCAGCTTGCAAAAATGGAGCAACTCACTTCAGTCTGTGATACATTTTTCATTAAGTTGAGAAAAATCCACAAATGAGAAGCAAAACATCTTTAAAAAACCACCTTTATTTAATAATTAAAAAAACCTGTTTTCCCTAGATGTCTAACAATCTTCCCCGACACTGTGAGTGATGTTTGGGCAGATTGCTCCAGATGAATATGGATGGAGTGAAAATTTAATTCAATTCAATTTTTCAGTTCAACTTTATTTATACAGGTTAGTCTCATTGAGCCTTGATGACTCATTTACAAGAGAGACCTGTTTTAAACAAAGAACACCGTTGATGTACAAACAGCAATAGAAAAGCATATAAAATGAAAAGTAAAAGAAATTATTTAAAAATGAAACAAAAACAGCTACATTATAAAGCGATGTAAAATACTAAAAACAGGGAACATGTCTGCATTGGTATTTGCCATGAACTCAGCAGTTGTTTAAAATCCCTTAGGTCAAGAGTGTCAGATCTTTTTGTAAGATATTCCAGGAAACAGGAGCGGAGTAGGAGAAGGCCCTTTGGCCTAGTTCAGTCCACACTGAGGGAACACTGCAGGTAATAATGTCCTGAGAGCGCACGCTGTAGCTGCACTCACGCAGTGTCATGTAGATGTATGAAGGCAGCAGACCAAGAATTGATTTAAAGATGAAACTGTACCAGTGAGAGAGTCTGTGTGAAGTTAATGATGTCCAGTTAACCAGTGAATACAGTCTACAATGGTGGGTATGATCGTTACAACCAGTTATGAATCTTAGCGCACTGTGATAGACAGCATCCATCATCTGCAGAGTGCTTGTAGAGGCGTTCATGTAAATATTGTCACAGTAGTCAATGTAGGGGAGGAATGTTGCAGTTACAAGATATTTCCTAGTGTTCAAAGTTAAGACAGGATCTGTTTCTGAAAAAGATGCCCAGTTTAACTTTCAGTTTCTTTACCAAGTTTTTGACATGAGGGTTAAGAGAGATGCAAATCGACCAAGATACTCCAGTATTTGTAAGAATTGAAAAACTCAATACGAACACCATTCAAAGATAAAATAGAAGGACTGCTGGGACTTCTTGTTTGAAAACAACACATTTGGTTTTGTCGGCGTTTAGAACCAGTTTGAGATGGAACAAATCAGACTGGATGATGCTGAATGCAGACTGTAAAAGCTGGAAAAACTTAGCAACTGTTTTAGCTTGTCAATAAACAACTGTGTCGTCGGCATAGAAATGTAAGGAAGCAATAATGCATCTGACCTACATTACTAATTTAAATTGTGAAGAGGGTGGGTCCTAAGACTGAACCTTGTGGTACACCGTTGTTAACGGATAGCTGGAAGAAGTACCATTTTCTTGAACACTTTACTGTTAATTAATTTAATAATTTAATTAAATTTGACCTCTTCATATTGTGGATCCCTGCTCAGACAGAACTTTGTAAAATTGTGAGTCATTACCTTTCACATCACGTGTTAGCTTAGTGAACATTACCTGCAATAAGGACCAGATGTGGACCAACAAATGTCACATGGGCCAGTTGTTGTGCCAGTGGATACTTGACAAACACGCACACACCATCAGGCTATTTGTGAACTTTAATTTTATTTCGTTTTTTTACAAAGCAAGGTAGTTTGAGCCTGCTGTATATATGGGCCAGATGTGGCCCACACAGAGTACTGGTTTGAGGGCAAGCTTGCATGTGTGCCAGATGTGAGCGACACGCAGCGGTTCTGAGTTTGAGGGGGAAAATGAAACCGAGCTGCATGGAGATGATTTGCAGAGAAATTAGAGCCACATTTACATCTCCTAACAAGAAGGGTCAGTGACATCATGTCAGGTCATTTTGTGTTACAGCTCATTATAAACGATTCAACTGGTAAACTTTAAGAAATGCTCTAAAGAGCTCGTAATGAAGTCAAATTTTTATACAGTGACGGAGAGATGTCAGCTGGATCAAAAATAATGCAGCAAATATTTTGTAACCAATTAACCTGGAGCAGTGTGGTGATTCCTGTAAAAATAAAAACTAATATTGTGAAAACTTCAGGAAAAGAAAAGTAGCTGATTCAAAGCTGTTCTAAGTAATTAAATACTACTCTTGTTCTTCTTAAAGTATAACTGTGAAGTACACCTATTAAACTAGCTGGAAGGGTTTCATCGCTGAACTGTTAATGGAACTTGAATAGCTGACATTTGCTGAAAGTATTAAAACAGCAGAAATGTGTAGAAAAACCTGAATAGAGTAGAAATGAGCCGAATAAGGTGAAATAGGCAGAGAGGTTGCATTGGTTATAAAAAATTCTGAAATTAGCTAAATAGAAACTGACGAGCAGAGAAATGCTGTAATTGGCAAAAAAGGAAGCCACAAAAACAAAATAAGTTGCAACTAGTAGAAAGAGTGTGAAAGAAGCAATATGTATATATATGTGCTTAGTGTATATTTAGTTGTTTTTCTTAGTTCATATCTTAGATGTTATTACTGTTTTTCTTATACATTTTATTGTTGGATGTAACTGGAACCTTGTGTACATAATTTCGCTCCACCACATGTACCACATGAGGTGTGAATGACAATAAAGAAACTCTGACTTGGATATATATATATATATATATATATATATTTAAAAGAATAAACAGTAATGAGAGAAAAAAGGAGAAAAAGGCTAAAATTAGCAGAAAACTACCAAATAAAAGTAGCTGAAAAGCAGAAAAGGGCTGAATTTAGCAGAAAGAAGCTGAAAAGAGAATAAAAAGACGAAATTAGCAGAAACAAGCTAAAAGGAGCAGAAAATTTGATGAAATGACCAGAAAGGAGCTGACAGAAGCTGAACAAAAGATGAAATGAGCTGGAAAACATTTTAGCAACACAAAGGGGTTGAAGGATGTGAAAAGGACATGTTCATGAGAAGAAAAACATGGCAGAAAAAGCTAAATATTTTGAAAAGTAAAAAATGCACAAAATAGCAGGAATGTCCTGAATGAGCTGAAACTTTTGATACAAAAAAGCACAAAAATGGCAGAATGAGTTGGATGCCAAAGAAACATACGGAAGAATAACTGAGCTTTATAAGCATCGGCACCGTTACTTAAGTGTTTAATACAATAAACGTAGAAAACATAAAATAAGGAAAAGGTTGCTACAGGACTGGTAGATAAAATATGAAATAGTTCAGTTTTTAGGTGATGTTTGTGTTTTTATTTGTGCACGTCTGAAGTGCCTGGGGTTAAATAAGGAGAGCAGGCGATGTGCACCTCATTTATTTTCACAGTCCAACAAACAGCTGCAGCTTCCTCCGAGCCAGAATGGCCAACCGTTGTCCCATAACTTACAACACATAAATTAAAGCTGTTCGCATATAAACAGTTACTGATGTACACATTCAGACTTGCTGCAAAACATATTTACAAAAAAAAAAAAACACAAACCAAAGATGTCCAACTCCTCTCCTCCACCATTAAAATCTGTTTACATTTAGCAGTCCACTGCCACGGCGTCCTTCGTGTGCAGACCGAGTCTTTGCATAACTAAGCAAATGGTAAACTGGTTAGGAGCGGCTCTCCTGTTGTAGCTGTATATTATTTACACCGTAAGAGGTTACTTAAACCAAGAAGAATAAGTTGGCTATAAACAGAACAACTTTAAGTTGTTTAACATTCATATTCATTGGTTAAAAAAAAAAAAAAAAGCTGGTTCATTGTTTTGATTTTTCCATCTTAAGAGACGGCAAGAATCCTTGATTTAGCCCTTGGCCCGGTTCGTCACAAAGCAATGCTCCAACCAGAAAAAGCAACTGGACGGCAGGAAAACACATCCTCGTTTTCCAAACACTTAATATTTTGCGCAGATACGCAGCTTTTAGCATCCTTGTTGAATCTAGGCTTCGGCCAACTCTACGTATATTCAGGCTGTCGAGCTCTTTGAGCCTTCAAGCCGCCTCGAAGTGCTTCAGCTACATCGAGTTTCACATTTTTTTTAAACGTCTCACCACCTCACGATTGTATTTTGCAGCTTTATAAAAAGAAAAGGTAAAAAAGTCTTAAGTAGTAACCAAGACATACTTGTTCCATCTGCTCAGAGCTCCAGCAGCATTTCTTTAACTGTACAATGTTAGGAAGCCTTAAAGGTCCCGGTATTTTTTTCATTTTTAATGTTTTCATCGGAAGCTCTTCCTCAGGTTGAGCAGTGCCGTTCATCTTAAGAGAAAGAGGAGGGGGGGGGGGGGGGGGATGGGACGTTTTATTTTTTTCAATTTTTTAGATTTCTTCCTCTTGTTTCTCGCCGACAACAAATCAAACTTGTTCTGGCTGATTTTACGACAAGGTCCAAATTGAACGGAGACAGTCTGAACTGCAGGACCCGAGAGGAGGGAGCGAGTCCTCGTGGAGTCATGTTGGCTTTTGTTCTTTTTATTCTTCGTCCGTGTTCTTCAGCATGAGGATGGAGTTGTAGATCTTCAAAGCAGGTCCTAACTTGATTGACAGGATCTTAACGATGTCTGCTTGGGTGAGCAGAAGGAAGGACTCGCCATCTATTTGCTAAAGACAACAACAGTTTGATTAACACTTAAGCACTCTTTCCTTCCTAAATGACATTAATATTTATGCAAAACTTGTGAATATGCGAGAAGCTGTATGAAATGATGCACAGCGGACATAATAAAGTTTGCAGACAAACCACTGACGGCTGAACTTAAAGAAATATAGAGCTAATTTGTTCCTGACTGTATTATTGCAAGTTCTAGCACATGTACTGGATAACATGAGAATAATCAGCTGAAAAGCATGTTTACACTCCAAACCAACAAAAAAAATGGACATTTTAAATTACTAATTACTTAAACATTTAAACGATGCGTAATAATACACACACAAAAAAAGCAATTATTTTCAAAATAAAAGTTGGCAATAAGTTACAAATAATCTGTCGTTAATGAGCGGGTTTCAGCAGTGACTTGTGATCTTTAGCAGACGGTTTTGAAGTGCTAACCTCCGTTTTAAAAGTAGCAGCGTGTTCTTTACATCCTGGGAGTCCTTTGACGAAACCGGCCACCTGATGGAACAAAAACGACAAATAATCAAAGAAGCGCTCGTTCGTCCAGGCGGCGTGTTCATACGCAAACGTCTGAATCGTGTTGACCAGAGCGGAGCTCCTTGAATTATTCATGCACTTTGTTTGAACTACTTGTCTTCCTGTTGAACGAGTGAATGAGGAGCGTGTCTGTTTTTCATGTGCTGACACGGTGTGCGAGCGGGTCGGACCTCTTCAGCACTCCAAGTGGCCACTCTCTTGGCAGTCAGCCCCAGGACCTCAGGCAGCAGCTGGCAGTGTTTGTCCCAGCACAGAGCCACTCTGTGAGGAGGAGAGGCAGAGATGCCGGGGGAGAACACCGACTCGTGGAGGGCCTGCTGGAGAGAGATGGTTTCTGGAGAAGCTGCGGAGGAAGAGGAGGAGAGCAGCAGTCAGAGGGAGCGGACAGGAGTTTGTTTAACCACGTCACACTCGACTCACATTTTCCATCACTCATCTCCTCCTTGACGTAGTGCATCTTTAAGTATTTGGGAGCTGGAGCCATCCTGGAGAAAAACAACAGGTTAGAAGTTATCTTCTGACATGAGACATCATTCTGAGCCCTTCGGCTCAGCTTGGTGTGACCCACTGATGATAAACGGTACCGTTTGGGCCTTGTTCCATTCTGGCTTTGCTCGTTGGCACCACCCAGTGGTTCCAGCAGGTGGTTGCATCCCTGAAGCTCAGCTTCACCGGTCACTGGTTTCCTAGCAACACAGATAGTCTTTCAGGTAAAGTCCTTTATAAATATTTAATAGGACATGCTGTATAGATGTTTATGTGAACGAGTGAAGCACCTTGTTGGTGAGCTTAAATTTACAGTTCATTAAGTCGGACACAAAAGTCCCAATGAGAATGTTAACGAGCTTTTAAAGTCTGTTCTTGTTTTGTGAAAACGTGGCCTGCGGTGCGTTCAGGAGCAAACCTGTTTTGGGGCTCCACAGCCCCTTCAGGCTGTGGCAGAGTCGAGTTGGACTGAGGCGCACTATTTGTTTGAGGGTCGGTCCGTCGCCCCCGTGGCGGAAGCCCGCTGAGGGCGAGAGGTCGCTCGCCGCTGAGACGGTCGGGCACCAAACCCTCCTTGTTCAGATTCGTCTCAGAGTAGGGACAGCTCACCTGACTGTACACAGAAAGACACACAAACTTCACTTGATTTAAATTCACCTTACAGTTCTTAGTATTGTGCAAACGAACAGGCTGCTGCAAAAAGGAAGCAGAAGGGAGGTATTCTCTCCCAGACTCCCACAAACACAGCAACACATTTAGACTGCCACCCTCCCACACAAATACAAATGACATTTAAGAAAGCGGAGTCTCCGGCCCTCTTTTTTTTGCTCCATTACTAAGCCATGATTAAACAGGACAGTCGCCTTGAATGATCTGAATACGAACACTGCAACAGCAGAAACTGATGGAATACACCACAAATGTTACATGTTGATGTAAAATATATAAATCTGTGATTTCTTAGACATTCTTTGTTATATCTAAGCTTTTAGGAGCCACATGTTTTTTGACAAAGGATTGTGAGGTAACATGAGGTCACTTTATTAATGATCTAAATTAATCTAAATATGCTGCAACCTAAAATGACATTTCATGAAAGAAGAAAAGAAAACTGACAGAATCGTAGCCATTTTCATGCCGGCTGACTCACGAGTTAATTTGCCAACATTATACAGACCAACAGACACATCATCACTCGTATAGCACTGAAAGGTGCCTGATTAAAAACTTCACAAGTACCGAGAGAAGGAGTCTGAGTGTAAATAGAGTACGAGTAACTAACGTGTAGTGGGTCCCGTAGCGAGGCCCTCTGATGTGTCCGACACCGTTGCATCCTGGGGTGGGACACGCTTGTCCCAGGGCACTCAAAGGCTCACTGGTGCCTGAAACATACACACACAGAAGGAGAGTTGACGCAGCACTGGTCTCATCTCTTCAAACCACAGCCTGAAAAGATGCAGCCTGAGGCAGAATCGAAAAGCGTGTCTCACTGTTGGGATACTGCAGAGGATGTCCAGTTTTCTGACACCACCCAACTGGGTGCAGATCCGGGCAGTCCGTCTCGACCCAGTAGTCGTACTCAGAACTCCACCCGTCAAAGTGAATCTGCACGAGGAAGGGGAGCGGAAAAATGAAGAGCTGTTCAGCACAGCGTGAGTGAAAACCTTCGCTCAGATGTTTGTTGTTGTTGTTTCACCTTCAGTCGGTGGTCTTCTGCGTCCACTATGGTGGCAACACGGATGAGCATGGGGTTCCTCCTATCGACAGCTTCCACTTTCATCCCCATCTGGAAACCATGGAGAGGTCGCTGCAAACAGAGTCAAAAAATAAATAAAAATCATCAACGTCTCATGTCGTATATATGGATTATGTGCTGTAAGGGCTTGGTGATATATTGATTTAATTTATTTGGATTTTTAGTCCAAAAAAGCAGATTTCCTTGGTGATGCTTTAGCACTGTATTTAGGCGTTGGCCTAAACTACACTTGGTAAGAATCACAGCTCAAGAAGATGAATACCATAAATAAAGTCAAGTAAACTCAGGTATGTAGATGTTTCCAAGCATCAGGATAACCAGTTTAGCGGTGGGCTGTATCTAAAATCCAGTGGCTGCTTTATGAAGTCGCTCCCCATCAGATGTCTCAAATGGCGTTATCGAGACCATCGAGTATAAATTTTCATGGCTACGTTTTTAACTGTCTGCATCAAATTTATGGAGTTTGGTTTTTCCTCCTGTCTTCTAACGCACCACTCCCAGCAGACAGAAAACACCCCAGCCCACCCAGAAAATCATCCTGCTCAGCGTTTTGGTATCAGGAGAGAACGAAGCCGAAGGGAAAGGACAAATCCACGCACGTTTACAAGCATGGTTCAGTGCACGCCTGTTTTGAAATTAAAGCGTAGTGCCTTTGATACAGCTAGATATCTCTTCAACTGGAAAAGACGAGGACGGTTACTTTAGTTAGGACGTTTAAGACAATAAATTCAAACCACAAACATTTTAGAGCAACAAAGTTGCCAACTTCACTTTAAGAATCAAACTACACTAAAGCTAAAGGGAGTGTTGCGTTATATTACAGCATTTCTGCGTGAACGCTTCGCCAAACATGTTTTTGACCTCCTCGCCCAGTTTGAAATACAGTCAAATAGTTGTGTCGCAGTGCGCTGGTCTGTTTGGGTCGTACCGGTTTGAAGGCTCGGGCCGGAGCAGCCTGGGTCCCCGTTTCCTCCAGGTATTTCTCCCACGAGAAATTCTTGGGCTCTTTATACTCTAAAAGTAAACAGAAGCTCGTCACATAGAAAATGCCACATAAATACATTTACAACACAGGGGTGTCCAAAGTGCAGCCCAGGGGCCATTTGCGTCCCTCTGAGTGATTTTGTGTGGCCCGCAACGGCAGTTTAGAAGAAGTGTAATTTTGTCCCCGGGCTTAAGAAGCTGCTGCAGATAAGAAACTTTTAGCAAATTTAAGGGTGACATTTATTTAATAGATATTATTAGGTAGTTATTTTTATAGATTTTTATTATTAAATTATTAAGCTTATTATTAAGTTATTTATATATTTTATAGGTAGTTAATTTTACAGTTTCATGACGAAAAGGACCAAAAACTTTTACCAACTAGGACACTGGGCTTTGTTAAGGGAACGGGAAGAACTCGTATACAGTTTGATCACTGCCATCTACACCTTTTCAGTACTTCAAGGACTTGTTTGGAGCGGGCCAACCATGATTCTGGGAATTTATAAAGAACTCTCAGGTGGAATTTGAACTGAGAAACCAACAACATTTTCACTTCAGGCATCCACCACCAGATCCCACGACCACTTTTGAGTGACTTTTTTCAAAGAAAAGCAACTCATTTATGCTTCTGTTCTCAAGAATAGATTCAAATGGACTTTCCAAGTGCAGGGAAACGAAAACAAGAAACGAATCAAAGCAACAGTTTTGTTACTAAGAGAAACAAGCGGTACATTGATGAACCCCATTGCAGAGGGATTTGAAAAATAAATGTTTGTAGTTTTCGAGATGTGTTTTTCTGGACTGGAACTGAATGGAGTATTCAAGGAAACCTTAATGTTTATGGTGCAAGATATTCAAGTGGGCATGAGTTAAATTGTGTATAAGAAGAGAAGGTATTTTTTTTCCCTTGCCCGAGGCAGCGCAGAGTGACGGATCCTGGCGAGCGGAGAGAGCAATTTTATCCACCAGCAGGTGCAATGGCACTCTCAACATTCATGGATGAACAAGGTTATTCCCAGTTCCCTCTTTTGGCTCTGCGACGGAGGGTACTAATTGTGAAGGTGGTTTTAAAACTATGATTTAAAACTCCTTTTTCACCTAAATCATTGTAATTTAGCTCTTCCATAAAAATATTTTGTATTTAAAAAAATAAAAATGCCTTTTCTAAGCTAAATTTCCAATTTATTTGGCCCCATGGGTACTTTCAAGTTGCCAGTTTTGGACATCACTGCCACAAAGAATAAAAACTAAAGAGGCACTGAGATTCATAGAAAAAACATCTTCAGTCTAATCACTTAAAAACATGTTTTTGTCTCTCCCCTAGTTAACAAACTGCAATGTCCCTGAAGTTAATCTGCAATAATCTTTGATAAAGTTGAAGAATAGTCGGAAGTATTTTATTAATAAAGTGTTTTGGTGTCTTACCAGGTGGAGTTGTCAAAGTTAAGGCAACTTCTTCACAGAAACCAACAGGATGGATATATGGACTGCTGGCATCACACCTTCAGAGGACCCCGTAAACACAAAACATCACTTTTAGTTCTAATAAACTTTTCGTACAACTACAGTGCCTTGTGAAAGTATTCGGCCCCCTTGAACTTTTCAACCTTTTGCCACATTTCAGGCTTCAAACATAAAGATATAAAATTTAAATTTTTTGTGAAGAATCAACAAGTGGGACACAATCGAGAAGTGGAATGAAATTTATTGGATGTGTCAAACTTTTTTAACAAATAAAAAACTGAAAAGTGGGGCGTGCAATATTATTCGGCCCTTTTACTTTCAGTGCAGCAAACTCACTCCAGAAGTTCAGTGAGGATCTATGAATGATCCAATGTTGTCCCAAATGACTGATGATGATAAATAGAATCCACCTGTGTGTAATCAAGTCTCCGTATAAATGCACCTGCTCTGTGATAGTCTCAGTGTTCTGTTCAAAGCACAGAGAGCATCATGAAGACCAAGGAACACACCAGGCAGGTCCGAGATACTGTTGTGGAGAAGTTTAAAGCCGGATTTGGATCCAAAAAGATTTCCCAAGCTTTAAACATCCCAAGGAGCACTGTGCAAGCAATCATATTGAAATGGAAGGAGTATCAGACCACTGCAAATCTACCAAGACCCGGCCGTCCCTCTAAACTTTCATCTGGAACAAGGAGAAGACTGATCAGAGATGCAGCCAAGAGGCCCATGATCACTCTGGGTGAACTGCAGAGATCTACAGCTGAGGTGGGAGAGTCTGTCCATAGGACAACAATCAGTCGTACACTGCACAAATCTGGCCTTTATGGAAGAGTGGCAAGAAGAAAGCCATTTCTCAAAGATATCCATAAAAAGTGTTGTTTAAAGTTTGTCACATGCACCTGGGAGACACCAAACATGTGGAAGAAGGTGCTCTGGTCACAAGAAACCAAAATCCAACTGTTTGGCCACAATGCAAAACGATATGTTTGGCGTAAAAGCAACACAGCTCATCACTCTGAACACACTATCCCCACTGTCAAACATGGTGGTGGCAGCATCATGGTTTGGGCCTGCTTTTTATCAGCAGGGACAGGGAGGATGGTCAGAATTGATGGGAAGATGGATGGGGCCAAATACAGGAGCATTCTGGAAGAAAACCTGTTTGAGTCTGCAAGAGACCTGAGACTGGGACAGAGATTTATCTTCCAACAAGACAATGATCCAAAATATAAAGCCAAATCTACAATGGAATGGTTCACAAATAAACGTATCCAGGTGTTGGAATGGCCAAGTCAAAGTCCTGACCTGAATCCAATCGAGAATCTGTGGAAAGAGCTGAAGACTGCTGTTCACAAATGCTCTCCATCCAACCTCACTGAGCTCGAGCTGTTTTGCAAGAAAGAATGGGCAAGAATTTCAGTGTCTCCATGTGCACAACTGAGACAAACCCCAAGAGACTTGCAGCTGGAACTGCAGCAAAAGGCGGCGCTACAAAGTATTAACGCAAGGGGGCCGAATAATATTGTACGCCCCACTTTTCAGTTTTTTATTTGTTAAAAAAGTTTGACACATCCAATAAATTTCATTCAACTTCACGATTGTGTCCCACTTGTTGTTGATTCTTCACAAAAAAAATTAATTTTATATCTTTGTTTGAAGCCTGAAATGTGGCAAAAGGTTGAAAAGTTCAAGGAGGCCGAATACTTTCACTAGGCACTGTAAATGTGCAGATGTAGTATTGATACTGGAGCCTAAATTCCACATTAATTTAAACTTTAAAAAGGCAGAGCGGAGAATATATTTAGATAATTTGGTATTTTTCCATCAGGTTCTTACCAGTAATCATGCGTGTCATCCCAGTTGTCAAAATGAATCAGCAGGCGGTTGTCAACAACAGCAGCTATTGTTGCTACACAGACCATCGAAGGGTTTTTCCTGTCGGCTGCCTCTAGTTTCATCCCTGCTCTGAATCCAGATGGAGTCACAGACTAAAAAAACAAAACGAATAAAAACACTGTTAGCCATTAAATCCTTAAAAGTGAAATAAAGACACAAGTGCTGTATGAGTGAAATTTGTTGACGAATGTTAAAATGAGTTGTTGGAAAAAGCACAACACTCAAATACCAAAAAGCAAAATGCTAGCTAAAAGTAAAAAACACTCAAAAACAGAAAACGGTTAGTTCAAAGTTAAGAGTATCAAGTAGCTAAAATACCAATAGACTACCTAGAAACTAAAATAGCAAAATGCTGCATAAAAGCTAAAAGTAACAAAGGGCTACCTAAAAGCTAAACGTAGCAACAAAAAAAACTAGCCTGAAGCTATGTGTATCAGAAGACTAGCTAGAAGCTAAGTTACAAAAACCTAGCTAAAAGAATCAAGAAGCCAAAGAAAAGCTAAAGTTGGCAAAATGGTAAAGGCAGTAGAAAGCTAGCTAGAAGCTAAAAGTAAAATTTCTGTTAAAGGTGAAAGTAACAAGTTATCTAAAAACTCAACATAGCAAAAGGCTAAACAAAGCAAAATTCTAATTAAAAGTAACAAAAGGCTAGGAAATAGCAAGCAGAACGGCAGATTTAAGCATTAGAAGACAAAACATGGCAAGAATGTAGAAGCAGATTTTAAAGAGAACTGCGTTTTTGAAGGAACTGAAGACATCTGAACGCATTTCTAGGGAAAATATTTGTAAATGAAGGTTAAAGTTTTGAAATGTATAAAAGTTACAAAAATGAAATGTTAAAGCACCAGTCTCCTGAATGAGCTGAACGTTTTGAGAAAAGAACGGCTAAAACGGCAATATATGTAAAAGTAGCAAAAACTGTACAAAAAAGTAAAAAGTGTTTTCTTCTTCTTTCGGCTGCCCCCTGCGTTGGGGGTCACCATAGTGAATTAAGTCTCATGAAGACTTGGCAATTATTTATACACCGGATGTCCTTCCTGACGCAACCACAGACCACCGAGCTACCACAGCCCTCTGTGTGGAGCAGAGAGCTGCAGCTAGGGCGCCCAGAGGAGCAGATGGGGGTTAAGGGCCTTGCTCAAGGGCCCAGAGTGGGACGAATGAGGGTGAAGGCAGGTGTGGGTGCTTCACCTATCCCACTCACATTTTTTTTTAAAATGTTGTCTGTACCGGTAGTTGAACCGGCAATCTTCCGATCACAGGCCCACCTTCTCTAACCTCTGCACCACCACACCCTCCAGAAAATTAAAAGATTGATGATAAAAAGACCAGATGAAACGTTTGCTCAGAACTTACCGTGTTGAGGCTCTTGAAAAGATGTTTTGGAGCCAGCTGGCCCCTGCAGTTCTTCACATACATGCTCCAGTTAAACTCTCCGTCTTTACAGCCTACAAGAAGACAAACCAACCTTTTCACAGTCAAGTCCAAGCCTATGTGAATGTGCAAAACACCTGGTAAACATGTTTGCAGCTACCTTTGGGCAATAATAACTTGTGTCCGTTCTTCTCACACCAGCCGGCTGGTTTCAGATCCCACGAGTCGGCGTTGGCCCAGAAGTCGTAGCATTCGGGGTAACCGTCAAAGTGCAGTCTGACTCTGTAGCCTTGGATCTGCGGGGTGACAGGATGCCGCACACGTGAAAAAGTGAGTGAAACTCCTCACAGATTAAAAACCCAAACTTTAGCGGCACTCGTACCTCTGCGACGGTGAGCACGCAGAAGAGAGACGGGTGAGACGGGTCCAGTCCCTCCATCTTCATCCCGACCTTGAAACTGTTCCTGCTTTGAGGCAATGACTGGTGCTGCAGGACAAACGCAGCGAGGTTCAGAAAAATAGACCACTGAGGGGTAAAACAAACAGATGCAAGATGGAGGCTGGGTGTTTGAACCTCTTTGAACAGCTTCACAGGAGCAGCGACAGCTCTCTCTTCTTCCAGGTAAGCAGGCCAGCTCCAAGCCCGTTTCTTATTGGGAGGCGCGGTCACTGAGGAATAAAACAAAGAAAAATATACTACAAGTCAGTTTGGGCGGCAGGTGATATGCATTCCTTTCAAGTCTTTAATAATTTATGCATTTTTATTCTTGCGTTTTGTCACTTTTAGGCTCAAAGTTCAGAAAACTGTTAAGAGAATCTAAATAAATCTGAATTACAAAATTAATTAAAATTCTGACATTTTATCACCGATGATCTTTAAATTTTCAGCAGAAGAGCAATAAGAAACATTCACATCAGCAAAACTGAATCTAAAATGTAAGTGTTTTTGTGTTTATGGTCAACTGGGGGCTTAAACGTATCTCAAGTCAGACATTTAATGTTTTATTATAAACATCCCTCACTCCTTCAACCTACCAGGCTTGGTGATTTTGGCTCCTCTCCTGCCTTTGATGATCTTCGCTTTTTCCTGTTGAAAAAAACAAAAAGTTAAAAATATTGACTCTAGTCCAGAAGACGATTTTGAAGCGTTTACATCACTGTAGTGCTGTATACCTGGACTGGGCTTCATAGTGTTCTGCTCACCTCTGGCTCCTCTTGGTTGTCCTCCTCTTCATCACCAGAGTCCATGTAGATCTTCCTCTTTTTGCGAACACGTTTCCCCAGCCTCTCGCCCTCCACTGCCTGACTGTCCCGCGCTTCTGCCGGAGATGACCTTAGAGAAATAAAACATTAATATCAAATCAAATAATGAGACTCATGAAGAGCACAAGTTTTTTATTTTATGTTTACCTGCCGCTGGAAGGCTGAGCACAGACGGGGCTACAGAATTTGCCTTGAAGCAAAGCATCCCTGGGAACTGGTCCTCCGCAGGAGCAGCAGCGTGACAGCTCCCCGTTCTGACCCGTGTCTGCACTAGAACCCACTTCAACACCAGCAGGACCAAAATCCACTTTCATGCCGTCCTCTGAACAAAAACAAAAGATTAACAATTTAGTATTCACTGAAGGAATGCATATCACTGCTGTCTTTCATTTCAGAGTTTTAAACTAAGATCATCTTCTGATGAGGAGGGGATGAAGTTGTAGCCGTTTTGGTCAAAACAGTTTGTTCAATTTAAGCTTAACCGTGAGATGTTATGCTCAGAGTACGAGTTGTGTACCACTCTTCGCTATAACCACATTAAATTTGAGCTCAGTAGTCATAAAAGTGACTGAGTTTCAGCCATTTCTATGTTGGCTAATATTATAATCGCTGTCAAAAGACATGATATTTAATTTAATTAATTTTTTTATGTGTATCATCTATGATAAGAATAACCACTAAAAAACAATAAACAAAAAAATAATAATAACCAATAAATAACCAATCATTCTCTACCAAAAGTCTACCGTAGGATTTATAATAAATAAGCAAATTCAGCAGAACCGTGTTTTGTTGCCAACAACAAAGAGTCGTTTGTTTACATGGGAACGTTGATGTGCACAGTGCAGTCGGTCTTGGCACGCGATGAATATCGAGTCAGTAAAATAATTCCCAGATGTAAACAGTCAGACGGATAACAATGGATTCAGAGATGGCATGTTAAAAACAAAAAGTTGAAGTTCTTCCTTCTTCTGAAAAGAAACGGCGACTAAAAGCTGCACGGACGAGCGTCGACAGACGTACGAGTCAGTGTGGGGAGCGTCGAAGCAAATTTTGGGCCTAAGCTCACAAACAAATAAGCCGTGCTGAGATTTTTAAAATTCTATTCCTGAAACTTATCATAACAAATAAACAAATTTAGTTGTAAACAATGAAAAGGAATATTTGCTGTATTCTAATACTTTTTTTTTTTTACAAAAACCCTGATGACGATGAGTTACATTAACCCCCAAACAATCATTTAATCATGTAGAAAGTGTTAGAAGCATATACGTTCTAATAAAAACAGATAGAATTAGCTGTGGCAGCCATCTTAAACTGTGCCATCTTTAAATCATCTTGAAACATCATCAATGTCATCTTTGCTAAAAACAGGTCTCTTAAATGTAACTGAGTCCCCGAGACTCATTGAGACTAACCTGTATAAACAAAGGTTGAGTGACAAACAAACAAACTTAATTAGTAGTAGGCGTACGTACAAGGGTTACTTTCTGAAAGTTTCATTAAAATGTGTCCAGTTGTTCTAGAGATATTTTGTTAACAGACAAACAAGGCTCCAACAGCTAAGGCTAAAGTTGTAAACGAAGATCTCACACAATGAGCAGCTCTTTAATTCTTGTCAAACTGGCTGAACTGTCGAAATTCTTACGGTTTCCAGAGTTGATTGTAATAGCTAATGGCGTTTTGTTCAGAAAATGTGCAGAGGATCAGTCTCAGCTACTACCAAACAAAATTTTAGGTCATTACCATTCAAATTTAATTGGGTTACATCTACTTTAGGATCGGTTGGCTTTTCATGTAAACCCCACATTAAAAAGTTACCAGGACCAGTTTCTTCCGCCTGAACAATATCACTAAAAACGAAACGTCTTGTCCAAAAATGATGCAGAGAAGCAGCTCCGTGCATTCTTCCATTCCAGGTTGGACTATTGTAATTCTTTATCGTCTGGGTGTCCATAACAACTCTCTGCAAAGTCTTCTGTTGATCTGAAATGATGCTGCCCGAGTTCTGGTGAGACTTAGAACAGACCATATTTCTCCAGTTGTAGCTTCTCTCTCTCGGCTTCTGGTCAAATTCAGAACAGAGGACTTTACTCCTAGACGGCAGGTTTACTTGTGGTTCCTAGAGTTTCTAAAAGTTGAATGGGAGGCAGATCTTTCAGTTATCAGGCTCTTCTCTTGTGGAACCAACTTCCAGTTTCTGTCCATGAGGCTGACACCTTGTCTATTTTTAAGACTAGACTTAACCTTGGATGTTCTCCGTCTGCTGGACCCGGTTCTGAAGGGCAGTCTGGGAGGCAGCTGCTGCAGTCCTTATCATCATCATGCTGCTAACAAGACCTGCTAACGCTGCTAACAAGACCATGCCGCTAATAGAACCATGCTGCTGTAGATGTACAGGTATTTCACTTTTTCACTTCTGGTGCCTTGTCTTTGTATTTTTATTGCACGTTTTGGTATTTGTTGCTGCAGGGCTTTTTTTTTTGGAGAGTCGAGACGATTGACAAACTGCTCACATCTCTTCACTCTGCTGCTGTCGTTACTCGCTTCGTTTGAAATTATTTTCATCATTAACACGTTTTTGATTCTTCCCGTAGAATCGACACCTGGACCAGTCATTCTGTGTCTCCTCTCAAACCCCAGCCAGTTGAGACAGATGGTTACTCATCCTTAGCCCAGTTCTGGTTCTGCTGGAGGTTTCTTCTTGTTAAAAGGGAGTTGATCCTTTTCACTGTCACTGATGTGCTGCTCAGGATGGGAGATGGCGCCGAAGTAAAGTTTTTAACACAATCTGCTGGCTTCCTTACATAGATAATTGTTACTCGTTGGCATTTTGTTATGTATGTGAATGTTTCTGTACAGCGCTCTGAGGTGAGTCTTGTTCTAAGCTGTTGCTAAATAAATTAGATGAATTTAAATGGAACTGGAGCCATCTTGAATCTGGTTGAGTACAAAAGTTAACCTGTCGTAACACCGATGAGTGCTTTCTGCAAGTTTCATTAAAAATCACTCCGCGGTTCAAACCCACACACACACAAAAAGATGCGCAAAAACATGATCACCCTTTCACTTTGGACAGCAGGCAATAAAAAGCACAGCACGAGGAATTCAAAAATAGAGCTGAAGCTAAGACTTGTACAAAGTAAACCTGCACTTCTTCACAATAGCAATGTTTAACACCGGCAGTCGTACCTTTGGTTTGAGATGATCCTGGCTTACTCTGATTGGCTGGAGGGGCAGCTGTGCCCACCCGTGACTGGCCCTCTGGTGGAGGGGTGGGAGTGTGAGAAGGAACAGGGTTCAACGTCTCAGAGTTAGGTACTGCCTCTTGCCCTTTGACCTCCAAGTCTGTTACCATCTCTAGAATCCCAAATTCTGTCATACGAAACTTAAAAAGGGAGGGGGGGAAAAGCAGATGTTAAGTATAATCTGTGTAAAGGATCGGTCTAAAGCAACCACTTAAACATTTAAATGAATCTACCTTAATATCACTTCCTGGCAACGTGGCGATACCATCCTTCCAGTCCAGAGCACCTATCATGTCAAACTCAGCTCCCTGGGAGGGTCCATCATTTGGTGGAGTGTCAGTCATTCCCACTCTACTCATATGACCAACCTGAACAACAACACAAAACTTATTCCAAAATACAGAACTGAACAATTTAAAACACACGGAGCCTGACAACTAGAAATCCTTGCTATTTTTCTCCAAGTCTTTGCTTACAATTTAGATCCTTTGAAGCAAAGATGAAAGAAATGGGGACAGAATTATGCATCTTATTGTAACCAAAGATGTAAAAAACAGAATCAGTCTCTACAACGTTTTGTTTCGCATTATTGTAACAATATTGTGTTGAATGTATGAAAATATAACCGTGAGGCAGCTTCTCGTTTGTTTTCATGTTTCTGCCTGCAGTACGCTGCATCACCGCCAGGTGGCGACGGCGCGTCGGCTTGCAGGGTACACCGTGCACTTCGATTTCAGACAAAACACTCAGTAATAATATTATTTTGCCGGACAAATAACGGGAAAATACGAAAACAAACGCCCCCGTTGGGGTAAACATTTCCAACTATCGTTAACAACCAGAAGAAAATGTGTCTCAACTTTGAGTTAACCGCAGAAGTTCATCTTTTCCTTGTTTTAACGGTATCTACTGAAAACGACTGCTTGTCTGGTTAGGAGCAAGGGAGAGGGTTGTTTGGTCATTGATTATAAGAAGAACATTGTTTTCTGCACCAGCTGCACAAACTTATAAGCGTTTCGAAACATATTTTATTGCGATAAAACGTTTTAGTCCTGACGCATCTTCAACACTGAATTAAGGTTATATTTTCGGTTTGTACAGAGGTCACAATCATGTGCAAAGTAAACAACAATCAGTGCTAAAGAGTCTTGGTTAAGTTTGACTTTGCGCTTGATGCCTGAGTTTTATTCTAGCCATAAACAAAGTGTATGTTAGAGCGCCCATGATTAGCATTCGCCTTATACAAAATGGCGGAGCATAAGAAGAGGCCACCAACACGTTTAAACTATGTTAATTACTAAAGTTACAAATTTATACAAATTGTGCAACATCGCTACATGTCGAACAAAAGCGAACGGTCGTCGTGTAATTTTCTGACTGAGTGTTTTCATTCACTCTGCTCGTTTTTCTTTACTTTCCCCTTGTCACGGAATGTCAGCCCGGGTAGCTACGTTTAAGCTAACGTCAGCTAGCGCCGGTGTTGTGCCGAAAAAGGTATCCCCTCCTTGTAGGAAGCGTCTTTCAAGGCACTTGTTTTCACAAATTAATTCAGTGAAAGCCAAAAGTGACAAACGGGCTTGTGTTTGTCTGCAGCCGTGAACAGTGTGTTTTATTATTGGAAAGCGCCTCGAAATGCGCTTCCTTGTTAAGAGGGTGCTTTTCACGGCGGGGGTGTATTTGTTCGATACAACACCGCTCCGTTCAAACGAACGGAGCACTGCTACACAGCTAGCCGTATGTAGCATTGTGACTGGATGCAGCCAGCTAAGGACAATCTGTAATAAATAAGTTTACCGGCTAATAACAATAAGAAAACGCGTTTGCAAAACGATTAAAATTTCACAGAAAATCATTAACGCTCAAACAACACCGCGCTGCTGTTAGGAGCTTCAACATAAATGCTTTTTAAAAAAAATCTTCATTAGAAACTTAAAAAAAACGATTTATTCTCGCCGTTTTCAAATCAGAGTGGAAATAATAAAATCAAACACTTAATTCGCACGACAAGCACCGGGATTTCATTTTTCACCCATGTTAACAAGAACAAAACAGCATTAACGGTCGTAATCTGAGAAATTGTGGAACTCACCTCGTTTCTGTTTTAACTCTTATTTAGAGCTGGATAAGAACGGTGCGCATGCGCGCAAGATGCGCTTGCCTGACAAGTTTGGGATCTCGGAAAAAAAAAAAAAAAAGTTCGGTTCGCCACCCGCTGCCTGCGTGCGCCCGCAGCACGACTGAAAGTGAGCCCGGTGGCGATTTAACGAACAGTACTCGGTGCTGTCGGGCTCGTATTTCCCCTTTGCCTTCCGAAACAGCGTGTAAACTATGCTAACCCACCCCTCCGCCTCCCCCTTCAACAAGAAGTGTCAATGGAGCGCAGGGACCGCAGTGTCTCCATTAACCGTGGAGGAGCGTTCGGTTCCTCGTGCACTTTATTATATATATATATATTATTTATTTTTTTTACGTCTCCGTTTATAACGCAGACCGTACAGGTATTTCTCATGAGCGTGCTCCGACGACAAGCGGTTATTATTGTCTACGTCGTCAGTTAAATCAGAAAAAAAAAAAAAGTGACATAAACGGTAACCGGGAGCGGCTTAGCTCGTCTACTCATCCGCACGAGCAGAAACACGAACCCTGCACGCGCGAACGCTCCTCGAGCAAACCTTATCGAATAATACGTCAATGGAGATGACTTCTTTTTTTTTGTATTCTAGTGTGATATTTTGTATATTTTCGTCGCGTTAAGATGCTAAACATAAAGGTTGATGCTTTCACGTGACACCATCATTTTATTCACCTTAATCTGAAGTTATCTTTGTGTCTCTTGGCAGATTTGAATTGTTCTTCAGTGAATAAAAGCCTGCAGTATTCCCTCCCACATAGGGCGGATTTCTCCTCTCATGTTTGGTCCTCGCAAAAGAAGGCAGCGCGTTGAATGTAATAAATACAATCAGCGCCTGTGACAGTTCGTCTTGAGTAAATTTAATGGAAGTATGTTCCCCCCCTTCTGTCAACAAAGACTCGAATCGAGGTGAAATGAGTTCATTTTTAGGTGTAAAAAAAACGGCGACGTTGCTCGAAGTTCCGCGCTGCGCCGCCAGGGGGCGCTGCGAGCCCACAGGTTCTGGAGGATCAACCGGGTCGAGCTGCAGCAATCTGCTTCAATCTCTGCAAACACGCACAATCATGAGATGGCATTCAAAGGCGATTCGAAGGTAAGAGCTCCAGATCCGTCGCTCCAGGATGTGACTTATCAATGAAACGAGCTGTGATCGGTGTCCGGGTCGACGACCAATCAACGAACTGGGCCGGAGGACGGTTCCTGTTCTGCCAATATGATGCAAAACGTTCTGGTTTGTGGTCCAGCAGCTTTAAAGCCTGGAAGCTCACTGGTCTCGAGATGAAAAACATCGAGTTGGTTGCAAAAATATTTACCCCCTTGATAATTTTTCTCTTTTGCTGTCTGGGGTTTGATTGGCTTCCTAATTTGAATTATAAGTAATAATTCTACAGTATTTTTTTTTTCCTTCAGGTACGGTTCGGAGATGTCCGAACTGTTCCTTCAAGTTGGATGGGCTCCACTCCTGTACAAATAAATCAACTCCAGAAAGTTTCAGCTGAATGGAGGTCTGGGCTCAGACCGGACCATTTCTACTGAAACATCTGGAGCGTGTTGATTCTGGGTTCCAACAGGTGCACATCTTCTGGCTTTTTCCTTTCCAGGGGTCGTATTCTTCTCAAACCTCTGGAAGATTCAAACATGTTGTTTTTCCCTTCAAGAACATCTTTTTTTTTCTCCATCCATCTTTTATTCAACTTATAGTTTTTTGATGCTACTGATGAAAAAACATCCCACAACATGCGACTGCCACCACCATGCTTCCCTGTGGGGATCACGTTCTCACAGGTGGTTGATTGGCCTCAGACACAGTGATGCGCATGTCGTCCTTGATGGCCTTAAAGTTTGAGTTTGGTCCCATCTGACCAAACCATTTTGAGCACATTTCACCAGTTGTATCCTCCCTTCACTGGCTCCCTCTATGTGTCAGAATAGATTTTAAAATTCTCCTGTTGACCTTTAAGTGCCTAAATGGCCTTGCACCCTCACATCTCTCTGTGCTACTTCAAACATATTCCTTCATTGGCGCTGAGATCATCTGATCATCTTCTGGTTGTACCAAAACCCAGGTTGAAGCTCAGAGGCCTTTTCAGTCGCGGGCCCTAAACTTTGGAACAATCTGCCCCTCAACATTACAGACCACTTCACTTCCTGTGTTTTAAATCTCTTTGATAAACACATCTGTTTTCACTGAGCTTTAACACAGTGTGATTTGATTTAGTATTTTATTGATGCTATTAATTAACATTTTTTTCTTTAAATTACTGCCGTTGATTTTTATTGCTAAGCCCTTTGGTAACAGCTGCTGCTTTTAAATGTGCTTAATAAATAAATATGGCTTGACCGCAGCATCGTCTTCTACCTGATGAAATTCCAAATTGTCTTTTGTCGTTTTCTTTAAACAATAGATGTTCCAGGTCAATAACCATTCAAAGCTTATAGAACAGGGTTGAGCTAACCCATTTGTGGGATTTTTAGGGTTTCACATGTTTGTATAACAACCCTGGTTTGTACTTCTTTACATGTTTGTGTCAGACCTGTGTGCAGAGTTCCTTGATCTTCATGCTTTGTCTCTTGCTTGTTGGGTGTTAAAGGTGTCCTGCACCGTTGTGACCTCTGCTCCTCGTAGCACTGCTGCACCGGACTCCCTCTCTTTCACACGTGTACTCTGTTTTACTACAGCTGACTTTTTTCATTCCTCTTCTTTCAAATGCATACCTCCACCTCTCTAAGTTCTCTTCCACCTGTTCCCTGTTCTCACCACAGATGGCGTCATCTTCAACAGGTTTTACATCGTTTGACTTATTACTCACAGATGGATCTTTTTTAATTATGGACTTTTGAAGGCAATGGTTGGGGCTTTAAAGTAAAAGGAGTGCTTTTTTAATAGAACTATAACTTAACTTTTATTTAAGAGGTTGTGTGGCGGCACCAGAAAAACAGGTGAATACTTTTGCAGCACACGGTTTGTGGCGTCGACTGGTGGGATCTTGTAAATAACAACCACCTCTCTTTCTGCTTATCCTTTCACAGACGGTTCTTCTCAATCTGCTGCTGTGCCTGATCATATTTTACTCCCTCTTCTACATGATCGGGAGCGTTTGCTTCGGTGCCTTCAGGTAATCGTTTTGGTTAAAGACGCATGCTCGGTTACGCTAAAACTAATAAAACCAAGTCAGGTTTGTGTTATTGACATCACTTTCCCCACTTCCTGTGACCGATGTCAAGATCCATTTGAAGCCAAAGCTGACACAATTATACGTAGCATTCATTGTGAATAACTTCTTGTTTAGGTTGGATCACTTTGATGGAATGATTCTCTTCGACTTTGAGACAGAACCTGTCGAATCCAACTCCGAATATCTGGGTGAGCACACGCAGCACAACTTGTGTGATCGCCGTCAGCCACACTAAGTTTCAGCCTCGTCCGGATGACGTGTTTTCTGTCTTCTTCAGTCAACCTCATCTCATTGGAGCTCACCTACTTCTGCAGTGGCATTCTGTTTGCTGCAGTGGTGAAGAGGCAGGTTTGGGACTACGCTCTCACCGTCACACTTCTACATGTAATAATCACCAGCCTGGGTGAGCGGGACATCAATCCCCACACGCATGTGCTTACATGACTTCATCTGTTGAGCAACAGCATGTTTTGTTTCCATGTTTGCAGTCATGTTGGAGTTTCCCATGGTGTGGCAGTGGTGGCTGGCTTTAGGTAAATGAGCATCGCTGGCTGTTTTACCTGCGTGTTGTCACGATGCAGCTTTTTAATTCTCCAAACCTTTTTTTTTATTTTTTATCCACAGGCAGTGGCCTATTTCTGATGATTTGCAACGGTCAGCTGATCGCTTACTTCATGTGCCAAAGTGAGCAGAGCTAGCCACCTTCAGATACTACTGACCCCGACAAGGCCTTAAAACACATTTGTAGGTACCGTATTTTCCGGACTATAAGTCGCAGTTTTATTCATAGTTTTGCCAGTCCTGCGACTTATATACTTAAAAAATATATATTCATGATGCAATTTTTGACCGCCGCTTTAAATGTTCATTCAGACTGACATGAACCAGAGTAAGCATTATCATTTGCAGACACTAGAGGAGCGAGAGGGCCTTCTAGGCTTTTGACATCTACAGTTGTTCCTGTAACGCTAAGCCCCCGCCGCCCTCCTGCCAAACATTACTAAGCGAGTACAGAGGAGACAACAGAGAAAAGCGCAACAGAAGTAAAATGCCACCAAAAAGAAGATCCTATTCTGCCGATTATAAATTGCAGGTAATAAAATACGCAGCCGAAAATGGCAATCGAGCAGCAGAAAGAAAGTTTGGAGTGAGCGAGAAGCTTGTGAGGGACTGGCGAAAAGCAGAGGTCACTCTAACTGCGATGAAAAAAACAAAGAAAGCTAATCGCGGGATGAAAGCAAGGTGGCCAGAGCTGGAGGAACGAGTGCACAGATGGGTGCTGGAAGAACGCGCTGCTGGGAGAGGTTTGTCGACGGTCCAGTTACGTCTCCACGCCATGGCCATTGCCAAGGAGATGAAAATTAATGATTTTGCTGGCGGACCTTCTTGGTGTTATCGCTTTATGCAACGGAACCGCCTCTCCATCAGAGCACGGACATCGGTGTGTCCGAAGCTGCCAGTAGACTTTCAAAATAAGGTCGACACTTTCCGTGAGTTCGTTAAGAAGCATGTAGCGGAGCACAGCATGTCACCGGATCACATCATTAACATGGACGAGGTCCCCCTCACGTATGGCATCCCCATGGGCCCAAGTGTTGCACAGAAAAGTGTCAATATAGTGACAACTGGCCATGAGAAATCACACTTCACAGTGGTGCTGGCATGTTGTGGAGATGGATCGAAATTGCCACCGATGGTCATTTTCAAACGTAAAACTATGCCGAAAGATAAATTCCCCCCCAGCACAGTGGTGGCAGTGAATGAGAACGGTTGGATGGATCAGGAAATGATGAACATTTGGCTGACAAGGTGCTACAATAAGCGTCCTGGTGGCTTCTTTAAAACACGCAAAGCCCTGCTCGTGATGGACAGTATGCGCACGCACATAACACCACAATTCAACGACAAAATAAAAGCTTGCAACGCCATACCTGCCATCATCCCTGGAGGCTTAACCAAAGTACTCCAGCCTCTCGACATCTCCGTGAGCCGGAGCTTTAAGGCAGCCTTGCGTCGCCTGTGGGAGGCGTGGATGGTGGATGGAGAGCACTCGGTCACCGGACGGATGCGTCATGCAACTTTCCAGCAAGTCCTTGGATGGATCGACAAAGCGTGGACTTCAGTGACAACTGAAACCATCCTGTCGGGATTCAGAAAGGCCGGAATAACTGGAGCTGATGCGGAGTCTGACGACAGCGCCGGGGAAGAGGAGACTGCGCTTCATCTTCCTCCGGAGTCGGCCGAGCTGTTTGCAAGCGACACCGAGGATGAAGAATTTAATGGATTCAGTGATGTGAAATGAAATAATAAAAAAATAAATAATATAAATTGGTGTGTATGTTGATAATGTTAATATGACTTGTTGGCTTGTTAGCCGCGGGTGGGCGTGTTATGTTAATTAAGTCGTTCAGGATCTGGAATGTTCTGTGTGTTATTGTTTCAGAATAAATGCGACTTACACTCTGAAGTGATTAATATATGTTTTTTTCCTATATGATGCTTTTTTTTTTTGACTGATGCGACTATACTCCGGAAAATACGGTAAGTCTTTGAATTGAGGTAAAAATAATCTGAGCAGAAATGCACAAGATAATGTTTGTCAAATAAAATAAACTCAGCCGTGCACAAAGTCAGAGCTGGGTCAGGTTTGTGTTTATGTAAACATCACAAAAAGACACTTTCTGTGTTCTGCTTGTAAAGCACCTACTGTACAAAGAGACCATACAGATGTGACCATACAGAACTATGTGCGATAGGAATGTAGTGTTAACTGTGCAATACAAAAATGTAAGTTTTAAAAATAAAAATGTAAAGCGTTAAAAATAAAACCGTGTCTGGCCCTGTGTTTGTTGTAGAGACATCATAACTTAATACATACTTCTAAAACAATGACCAAACTTATCTATATCAAAATCATTTGTTACTCGACAGTAAAAATCTAAAAAAGAAAACAAAAAGTATAATTTAATCAAGTGCACCTAATGAAACAGTACTCTGCAGTGTCAGGGTTCACATATTTTGTCCATGTACCGAAAAATAGACTTACATTTAATAAAATATAACACGTAATACATATTTGAACCAACATGATCCCAGAGGGTTTGTTATGAAACTGGCTCTGCTGCAACATACTCTGCTGGCTTCATGTAAGAAAATCCAAGAAAGGCCTCGCTGGCCGCGGCCGCCTCTCTTCTCTCATTCACGAAGGCAGGAACCGGATGACGTGTGAACTCGGGATCGATGTAGCTGACGTCACAAGGACCAGTCTGGAGGGGGTGAAAGTGAGCACTTGGGTAAAACGAGCTTTTATAAAAATTAAAAAAAACATGTTCTGGACTGTTTTCTGATTTATTCATACCACATTTGGGATGAATGGGGGTCTAATCTTTCTGGTTACGAGGTCGTCCCAGTTGAGGAAGGCAAAGAAGGGATGCTCCTGCACCTCTTCCTGCCAACAAAACAAAATTAATCCCATCAGTGGTCTTTATATCAATCACTGCTGTTCTCTTCTGTGCATGTACTTACAATACCACGGCTGTGCCCGAGGCGTTTGGAGACGTCTCTTTCCAGCAGTCCCCGTAAAAGTAACTGTGCACTTTCAGAGAGCCCGCTGGGCAGCTGCAGAGGGGCACGGAGGATGTTCTCAAACATCTCTGCTTTGACCTCGCTGAAAAACGGAGGCTGGAGGAGCGAACAGTGAGGTGGAGTGAGGTGAAGATGTGAAAGACGAGGGACATTAGATGAAGGAAAAGGAAACATTTATTTCACCCACACTCACCAGCCCGCAGAGCATCTCAAAAAGCACAACGCCGAGTCCCCACCAGTCCACGGCTGAGCTATACGGGTGGCCTTGAAGAACCTCAGGGGCGAGATACTCCGGAGTCCCACAGATGGTGTACATGATCCCACCAGCGGCTACACTTTCTTTACAAAGCCCAAAGTCTGTTAACATCACGTGACCGTCGCTGTCCAGCAGGATGTTTTCTGGTTTGAGGTCTCTGTACGAAAATTAAAATGTGCTTTTAGTTCATAAGCACCTGTTTTGTGGTTTGACATCTTTATTTATTATTTGTACTGAGAATAAAACAGTGGCTTTTAAGAGCTGGGGTTACTCTGCATAAATGTATGTAGAACTTGTGTGAAATAAACATGAACAAATAAAGTAAGCATGGAGCGAGCCAGGAAATACTCAAAATAGAATGGGGCTGTCTGACTTGGAGCTTCCATGAGTTTATGTACCTGTAAACGATGTTCAGAGAGTGAAGGTAGCCCAACGCTGCGGCCATTTCTGCAGCGTAGAAAGCAGCTCTGTGTTCTGGAAATGACCCATCTCTCTGTAGATGGTAGAACAGCTGAGGATAAAAGATGAGAAATTTCATGAATTAAAGAAATCAATAAATCAGCAACACCAGAGAGCTGATTGAAATTTAGCTATAAAAATGTTGATAAAAACATTCACATACCTCTCCTCCATTAACATAGTCTAGGACAAAGTAGAGGGTGTTTGGTGTCTGGAATGAAAAATGGAGTCCAACCAGGAATGGATGTTGTAGTCCCTTCAGGAGCACACTCCTTTCAACCATCACATGCCTTTGCTGCAAAGATAAAATCAAATCAGTTGGATTTTTTTTTTTTTTAAAGCCCAAAAAACAGTCAGAAAAACAGTCAAGCAAACCTCTCTCCTCTTGATGATCGTCTGCTTCTGTAGAACTTTAACTGCATAGTAGCCTCCTTGTTTTCTGTGTCTTGCCAGCAGCACCTGCCATCATTTAGATATAATTTATTTAAATGTGAATTTAATAATTATAGAAAAAAAAACATAGAAGTGTATAAAAAAAAAACCTTCACCTTTCCAAAGCTTCCTCTGCCAATAACTTTGAGATATTCAAAATCTGATGGTTTCATCCTGGTCAAAGTAACAAAAAGTGAGAAATAAACAACAATTTCATAATGCTGTATAGAAAGATATGTGACTGAGTTATTAAAGATGAATAACATTTAGGAAGCCATACTGTGGTAGTAAAATAACCCTGTCTTGTAATTAATAGTATACTTTAAGACTAATACCATAATGTGTGATGTGAGTTCATAAAGGTAGGAACTAGCTCGGCAGTGGTGGGCACAGTTAACCAAAAAGTTAGATTTGCTAACCGCTAATTCGCTAATTAAAAAAAATTAGCTTTGCTAACGGTAACCAGCTAAACAGATAAAAAAAGTTATTGGAAGCTAACACAAAAGCACTCATTTTTATGCTGTCACTTACACTGTAAGACTGTCTGTAGTGTGACAACATTGTAAATGAGCACAACTCAAAGCAATTCATAAATCACAAGCGTCCATGTCCAGTTCAGAGGTGATCAGGTCCATCAGAACCAAAGAGGCGGAGCAGAACTCTGCTGTGCTCACTGTTGGATGTCTCCCTCGTGTCATTTGTAATGCACTAACTCAATTTGGCGATCCTCTTTGTGGTTAACTACTTTTATAAACTAACGACAAAAGTTCCTGTGCATCATCATCAATATTCACGCTGTGATAAATCTGATTGCATTAAAGTAATGATGCGTGAAATGTGTAAGAGTCACTTCCCAGAGACAGTGTGAAGCTTGCACAGCATGCTGGGTAGGAATTATGTGTGCAATGTTTCTGACAGTTTTCGATGTTTCTGAGTGTGAATGAATGTTAAAGTCTGTTATTGGCTGTAAACTGATACCGAGTCAGAGACTGTTTGCGGTAGGTATGACGGGGAAAAGCACTGCCATGTTGGTGACATCACTGGAGAGGGGGTACTTAGCCTCGCTTAGCTCTGCTTCATAGCATCGCCCCATGTAAATCACCATTCTTCTGTATGTTTTAGTGCGAGAAATTGTCTTTAAAAATCGTGCAAACTTGAATTGACCTGATATAAATTTAGCAGAAGCTAATTCTGCTGAAGGGCAGCACGGTGGCACAGTTGGTAGAGCTACCACCTCTCAGCAAGCAGGTTGCCCCGATTCAAATTCCAGCCAGGGACCTTTCTGGGTGGAGTTTGTATGTTCTTTTCGTGCATGTGTGGGTTTTCTCCGGGTACTCCAGTTTCCTCCCACAGACCAAAAACATGCATGTTAGGCTGATTGGTAACTCTAAATTGTCCCTAGGGGTGAGTGAGATGTGAGTGGTTGTTTGTCTCTCTAAGTGGCCCTGTGATAGATTTGTGACCTGTCTCGCACAGTGATGGCTGGATACTGGCACTCGTGAGTTGTAACCCTGCGACCCAAAAAGGATGAAGCGGGTAAAGATAATGAACGGATGGATAATTCTGCTAAAGGTTTTCGAAGTAAGCGAAACCACTAATCCTCTAAATGGAAAGTTAGGGCCACTATTAGTGGATTAGCAGAAACGTGCCCACCACTGCACCTCAAGGACCTTGTCCTCCTACCCCTATCACTGTATCAAAGCAAGTGCTTTTCAATAGACTGCTACAAAAGACAACATGGCTCTGTAAAACTTTTCTAGCATCAAGAACTACCACTCGGGGGTCCAAAAGGAAACGACTTACTGTGAGGCTTCTGTGTCTGCTGAGCTCTGAGGAAAAAAAAGACACATGGTCCAAACAGTCAGGAGGACAGTTTAGGTTTCCTCTCCTGCCAACATACAAGAACCAAGTCTGAACTCACCCAGGCAGCGTTCTCCTCCTCCTCCTGTTTTCTTAGCTTGCTTCGTCTCCGTAAAAGTTTCTGTGTGTCCAGGCTGCAAATAAAGCAAAACTGAGATTAGGGTTTGCTTCTCTTAAGGACAGAGCCATAAAACAAAGACAAAGTCATTATTTATTTTAACTTACTGCTGCTGGCCAGAGATAACTTTATGTAGGAGGTGACTGAAGCCAACTTTTTTGCCCTTGAGCAGAGCTGTAAATCAGACAGAGCCAGGGGTTGTTCAGTTCAGTTACATAAGAGATTACCATAGATTGAATTTACCCCCAAATGGCAGCTCCTTATACCGTCACAATGAGGCAAAGACACAAATGCAACAGATATGGAGATTTAAATACAACACTTTTTGCATTTCTTTAACAAATGATTTGTTAAGTCATTTTATTAGTTTTATAAGAGACCTCAAACTCTAGTTTTTGTCTGCTTTGCTAAACAGTTGCATTAAGTAATTCTGTCTAGTTAGTTTTAATTCCTGTCTGTGAATCAGTCATTTTCTTTTCTTTCAGCTAAGCTAACACAGCAATGAATTTAGATGTAAAAGTGGCGGGTTTTCAACCTCTTTTTTTTGTTTGTTACCTGAAAGAAACGATACTATCCCCTTCATTCTGGCGTAAGTGATCGGTCGTTCTTGAGTAACAGTCATCGGAAGAAAGTCTGACAACTCGCTGCTTTAAAAAAAATAATAATTTAGAGGAGGAAAGAGGAGCAGGTGGCTACTGAAATGTCCGCAACCGACTGAAACTTCCACTGGCCAGCTGCTCCATTTAAAAACCGTTGACGCACGAGACTCTAGCAGAGTTGCGTTCAAATTTCCTCGGATATGCTATAACTCCCGGTTGTGGTTAAATCTAACGCGAATACGCGTCTTTTAAAGTTCCTTTTCATGTATTTGTGACATTCATTCATGTTGCTGATGACATGTAGTACACGTAGTATAAACGTTTCTTGAAAAGTGTGTCTATTGTAATTTGATAGGCTTAACAAATGTCTGCGTTTCTAATTTCGCTGTCCACAATTTACCATGACACCTGAATGCAGCATCCCCGAGCAAGCGCGTGTAATTAAGAACCTGTGTAAACCAAACTTTTTCCTTTGTTCATAGAAATTTGTGTGCGATAATAGTGGGGAGAACCCAAATGCAGACATGGCTTCTGTGTCTATTCCATATTATTTTGTATATATTCGTAATAAAATAATTTGTAATATTGTATATATTTGTCTATATAGCACACACACACACACACACACACACACACACACACACACACACACAC